ACATAGAAATGATGAGCGGCTAACAAACTCTATGTAACCCTCTTCACCCTAGAGGGGCCGCAGGCGGCGGGGGGGGCATTTGACGAGCTTGGGAAGTTGCAGGGAGAGATACAGGAAGCGACACCAAACGCGCTGGGGGGCCGGGGGGGGGGCCTCCGCAGGCACCGTCCCTCGACTTGTTCCATCAATCCCTCGTCCCTATTGGAAACTTACTCAACTCCAGTAGTCATACATTCAGTATCTATAATGCAAACAGATGAGAGAAGATTGCCCATACACGCGCAATGACCGCGTCTCGGGCATCGAACAACTCGATCCGCAAGGGGGGAGAGACTTGCAAGTGGGGGTCGTATATCCTTGCACTGGTCAACAAGCATTTTTTGAATAATATGATACATCTCCAATACTCCGACACCCCCGCATCCGTACAACTCTACTTCTTCCCCTTCCCCCCCTCAAACCCAGGTCTTCCACCCTTCTTTGCCCCACCACTCGCCCCTCCCTTCCCTCCTCCACCACTTCCACCCTTCTTCCCACCACTTCCTCCCTTCTTCTTGTCGGCAGATCCACCAGCCCGCTTGTTGCGTTTATCTTCAAGACGTTTGGCAAGGTTGTCGTTTCGCTTCTTGATGGCGATTTCGGATGATTTTTGGAGTTCTCTCTTACGCTCAGACCTGGGTATTGAGTCAGCCGACAAGTCGTGAGGTTAAAGCGAGAGAAAGAGAGGGATATGGGGCGAAGGCGTCGAAGGGGGCGAGGAGGAACGGGAATAAGAAGGGAAAGGATTAACGAAAACTCACCATTCCTTTCCGCTCTTAGCCTTGCCCTTCTCCTTCCTCTTGACGGCATTCTTCAGAACCTTTTCCTGGTCGGCAACCTTTCCTCCACTAGCCCTCTCCTCCGCTTTCGCCCACCTCTCCTTCTCTTCAGCCTCCTTCCTCTTATCCTCCGGCAACGCCGCCAACTTGGCCTTCTGGTTCTCCAAAATGCGCCAGCGCCTGCGACGGGTTGGCGATGCGCTTGTACTGCGATTTTGGTCCTGACGACGACGAAGGGAGTGACCACCGAAGGAACGGAGAGCGGAGTTCTTCGTTGGGTGCGCCGGGGAGTTGGGGGACGATCAGTTGCGTTTTGGCGGGTTTGGCAGAAACGTCCGCCGGGCCCTTCTGCGCCGCCTTCTTCTCCTTCTTCACATCCTTCTCCGCCTTCTCCTTCCTCCTCTCCTCCTTCCTCTCATTCCTCCTCCTATCCCTCATCTCTCCCCGCTTTCTCCTCTGCTCCTGTTCCAACGCGTCTCGGGAAGCAGCGTCCTCGCCTTGGGCAGGCGCGCCGGTGGAGAAGGAAGAGGAGTCGTCGGCAGCGCGGTTGCGTCTGAAGTGGTCGAGGCGCATTTGGAGCTTGGCTCTCAGTTCGGAGATAGAGGCGGAAGGGGGAAGGGGGGTGAGGCGGGGGCGGGGGCGGCAAGGGGCGGCGCCGCCCAGACCTCTTGGGCGAGGATTTCGACGGTGGTACGGTTGTTGGCAGGGTCAAGCTAAATTTTGGTCAGCAAACTGCTTTGAGTATAGTAACACCCCCCCCCCCCCCGCCCCCCCCCCCCCCCCCCATATTGCCACATTCTCGTCTTCACTTCAAATTCCCAAAAGGAATCACATGCACACCCGACATACGGGCAGACTTGTCGTAGGGAAAGAACGTACCTTGGCGTGCTTGGACTTCTTCTTACTTTCCTTGAGCTCCTCTCCAGTCTTTCTCTTCTTGTTGATCATCCACTTGCTGTCGGCCTGCATTCTCCATCAGCAACAGCACACCATCGTATGCAAAATATTCACCTCCTCCGGGGCAAGCGCAATATAGTACTGGGCGGGAATGAGCGAGAGCAGCTGGGTGAAAGCCGCATTGTGCTTCTCCAAGGACGAATACAGGTCGGCAGGGATCTCTTGCGTTGTCGCCGACATGTTGCTGTTGTTTTGAGACTGGCGTGAGGGAGACAGAGACAGTTGACGACGGCTGGAAAGCAGAGCAGATGGACGAAATGAAATCTTGAAGACAAACCACGTGACTTGGAGATTGTTGAGGGCGGCGATGTGCGCTTATACGACTTGTAATGGGGATTTGGTTCCGCTAATGCGCTCGGTGGCCGAGAAGTGGAGGTCTCAAGATTTATCGTGAATCTGACACTCTATCACACAATGAAGCGCACAACCAACACCCGTCCCAATGGGCCAACCAAGTCCAAACCCGTACCATCTCTCGCCAAAGGAAAGGGCAAGCAAGTAGATCGCCCTGTCAAAAAAGCCAGAGTCGCGTCTCGGGCGAGCGAGGACAAGTCAGATGGAAGCGGCTCCGGGTCTGATAGCCACTCGGACAACGGCAGCTCTGACGACGAGAGCGACGGAGAGGAGGATGGGGAAGCACGCAAGGCCGCCCAACTAGCTGCTCTCGAGGCCCACTCTCGAGCTCTACTCGGTCTCCCTCCTCTCTCCCCACCTTCCAAACCCGACGACGACGACCATGTTGATAGCGCAGAGCAGGAAAGTGAAGAAGAGGCAGAAGACGACGAGGGAGAAGGAGAAGACTTTGAAAGTGATGATGGATGGGGAGCCGAGGATGGATTTGTGAGTGATAGCGAGGGCGAGCTTACCGGTACGTACTTGGTATTGACGACTATCGTCCACTGCTGACGTCTGACTTTAGCACAAGCTTCCACAACCAAATCAAAGCCGACAACCCCCCCTATGGAGACCTCAAATGTACCAGTCGTCGTCTTTGACCAACCTAGTGCTGCCTCGTCCTCTACTCTCTCCAAAGCCGAGCGCCGTGCTTTCCTCGTAAGTCATCTCATCAAGCGTCAACATGGCCAATTAACGATTTCTTCAGACTGGCAACTCTGCCAAAATGATGGGCATCACCTCCACCCCCGACTACCCCCCCTCCCGCAAACGTTCCCGCCAAACCGCCGAAGAAGACGACGAAGACGCCACCGCCGCCTCCCTCGACAAATCCCTCCACTCCATGCTCCTCAACTCCCTCCTCCCCGAACACGCCGCCTCCCTCGCCTCCCGCCCTGTCGACAAACGCAACGCCATGTCCGCCAGACTCCTCGAGCTTGCGAATTACGAGCTGCCTGGCGAGGGGAGCAAGGTGATGAAGACGCAGCACTTGAGCAAACATTCGGCGAAAATTAGGACCGGGATGGTGCACAAGCAGGAGGCCAGGGATAAGGCAAAGAGGCAGGAGGCTATCGAGTCGGGCAACAACGTCCGCGGTATGAGCAGCTTGGGCGAGGGTCTGAAAAAGTCTGGCGGCAAGGGGTCGCAACGAGCAATGATGGGTGTGGAGACGGGCAAGAAGAAGGGTATGGAAAGCCGGAAGAAGGGCGATGAGGATAGGGCGAGAGGTTTGGGGATGGGTGTCGGAAGGTTTGCTGGGGGTATGTTGAAGTTGACAAAGGGCGAGATTGATGGTGTCAATGGGGAATTTGAGAGGCGGAGAGAGAGTAGTCGGGGCGGAAGGGGTGGGCGAGGAGGAAGGGGCGGTCGAGGAGGAGGAGGGCGCGGAGGGGGAAGTCGAGGTGGGAAGAGATAGTGTCCATAGCAGTGCTCCATGCAGGCTCATCAATCATCATTGCCATTAGTGTCATTGTCGATGTACTCGTTCAGGATGGTGTGGCGGACGATCTAGACAGGATACATCATACTTGAGCCACAAGTCGCAGTATAGACATGGTACATCACTAGAACGTAAGCACATGTATCGCCCCCGACTATACACACGAGTCAGTCATCAAACCAAAGCTGCTACTATCTCGCAACTCACCGTAAACCCACTCAGCAACACCGTATTCCCATCAAATTTCACCCGCGGCATCATCCTCAAATCCATATCAATCTCCAACACCGCCGGCGCCTGCTCATTCGGATACGACGTCCGCTCGTAAATATAAGACTCCTTCGCATAAACAGCGAGTTCTCTGGAGCGAGGGTCGCGATGGAGGCGGACAGAGATTTCCCCGTCGGAAGCGCCGGTGGTGGTGGTGTGGGAAATGATGGTTTGTTGATCTTTGGCGCGAGCTTTGGCGGAAAGTTTCTGCAGTCGCTCCCTCGCCTCTCGCTCAAACTTTTCCCGCTTTGCCTCAATATGAGGCACAGGAAACACCACCGTCCGCCCGTTATAGTCATTCAGACTCAACACAAACGAAATCCTCTCAAAACTTTCTCCCAGCGCCACCTTTCCATTCTCATCCAGCTCGTCCCCCAGCAGCGTCGTGACCAGCCTCGCCTCTCTAGCGCCATACACCGAGCTGAATGCGGGCGCACACTCCATACGCAGGTGGCTCGTATTCGGATGGGATTGGAAAGAGTAGCGAGGGACGGAATCGGGATAAGCAAACATGTCGCCAAAGTTGTCGGTGTCGTACCCGTGGGTGGATCTGTATTCTAGCCATGCTGCCCCCAGAGGCGAGTCTCCGGGCTGAAATAAGGGTTTCCGTACAGCAACAGCCTTCCCTCTCCCTCTCCTGCTGCCCATCAACTTTCGGTTCACCGCCGGCGCCACCGCTTTCCGAACTACATCCCTCTTCACCCACTTTCCATCTGCGCCAATCCAATCTCCATACTCAAAGTGCGCCATGAACCGGGCTGTAAGTCTGACTTGATCTGCTATGGGCAAGCTCTGCGCAGTCTTGATGTCGGGCACTGGCGGAAAGTTGTTTCGGAATATGCGCTTCCTCGGAAGCTTGCCCGTCATGCGGGTGAGGGTGAAGGCGGTGGATACGTCAAGGATGGTATTGAGGTTGATAACGCTCGTCCTGCCCGACAATCGCCAAGACAAGACTCCATTCAACAGCCCGTTGTGCACATCCTCGCTATATCCACACTCGGCAATCGAGAAATTGCCAGGCTGATAGACCTTGTCGAGCGTGAATGGGACCAAGTCGTGGAATGGCAAGTCAAAGATACCTGCGGGAAAGACGTGCGGTATCGCCGCCATGTGCCACGAACACGGCACGTCGGGGTAAGGCGCCGCGTACGGGTTCTGGTCAGGGGGATCTGGTGTGTGCGGGGGGAAGCCCAAAGATGCTGGGAGAAGGGTGTAGGTGGTGAAGGATAATTGCATAAAGTAGCCTTCGGAGGCGGGGTGTGGGCCGGGGATACCGAGCTTTTCCAGGGCCGATGCGTAAAGGTCGGCTCTGAGAAAGGCGGGTATCTTGCTAGACGTGGACGCAATGACAAAAGGCCCCAGGAAGCCAACGCTTGTAATGACGCTGGTGGGGTCTAGAGCGCCCGGAAGAGCCTACACGTCGTCAGTACCAATCAGACACTATATTCGTCATCACTCACCCCTAACGAAACACCCTTCTTCCAATCCCAGAATCCCGCAAACACCGTCTTGTCCTGCTCCTGATTGCTCAACAACAAACTCATCTGCCCGCCTGCGCCCAACGCAAAGCCCGTCCCTACACCCCCCATCGGCATCGGTATAAGCACCTCGATGAATGGCAGCTTCGCTTCGGGATGTGGGATTGCTGGAATAGAGTCGCCGTTCTCGGGAGGTGCTGTGCCGATGGGAGGGACGAGGGTGTAGAAGAAGACGCGCATGGAGAGGGCACAAGTCTCGGGATTGGGACCATGGGGAAAATACGCGCCTTTATGTCTATCAACTCGTCAGTTTCGCTTTCGCTTTCCGAACAGAGCTCACTCACACAACAGCCACGACATTATCCTCTGCACACATGGCAATATAGTGATAGTCTATCCCTAGATCCGTCTTCCACCTCCACAGCCCCTGATCTTTCACTGCCCCTCTACTCTCCGCATCTTCGTCTGAGGCAGCGCCCTTGACGCGATATAGCTCCCACCCATCTGTCATTTCCGTATGGTGTGGCGCATCGGTGGAGAAAGCGAGAGCTTCTTGAAGAGCCTTACCGGGGACGCCAGCAAACAGCCTGCGAGGGCACGCCTCGTCGGTACAGTGGTGGTGATGGGACTCGTATGAAGATTCGGAGGTGTAGTCGTCCCAATCTGACTCGTCATCCCCGATACTCTCTTCTTCCGGCGGCCCTTCTATCCTCAGCTCCCCTGTATCTCCTTCCTCCTCGCCCTCGCTCCCTCCCTTGAAATCCGAATCATCAGACTCGCCAGAGACGTAGTTTGGATCCAACATCTTTTTCCGCTTGCTCGTATTGCTTCTCTTGCACTCAAATAGCATCAACCCTCCTTCAAAGTCCACCAGCTGTCCATCATCCTTCTCCAGCGTCTCCAAGGACCGCGGCCTGAAGCAATTCAACCTGTGCTCGCGGTCCTCCAGAAGAGCGATCTTTTCGGCGGAGCTCGTCGCATGTGAGGGGTGGAGGAAGGGTGCAGAGGGGGGACAAGAGTAGCGGCATAGCCGATTGGCGAGCTGGAGACGGGGGGATGTAGAGTAGATGTAGTACAGGAATTTTGAAGCCTGAATTTGAGTCAGCAAAGGTCCGTCGGCGACGAGAGTCGAATGAGCTGACCTGTGCAACGGCTAGCGCGTCCGCAGGTGGGAGATAGTCGTAGACCCTGAGCAAGATATCGTGGTGGACATCTAGGGCGAAGATACTGCCGAGAGATGTAGGGCCTCGGGCCGCCATGGCTTTTTGTCGGGGGCACGGGACGATTCCGCAGGCTGCGAACTGGCTCTGCTGGATTGTGCCGTTGTAGGGGAGTGAAGGGAGAAGTGAGGGGTGGGGTCGAGATGGGGATACGCGCCGAAAGCGATGAATGGGATGGAATGTATCAGCAAGAGGAACCAAAGACAGCGACCAGACCAAAGTCCGCGGGCTGGCAATTTGATCCCGCTCGGATACAGGCTGGACACGGTTGACCGATGCTTTGTCAGTCGTTGACTGGTGATAGCTCGAGTACGACGCAGTGCATGATGAGATGTCGGAAGCGGGAGCCGCAAGCTCATAGTATAGTGCCATAGCCCGGCGATCAATCTCATGATGCCCAGCCATCTGCGATTCTATTACACGAGCAGCTTAGTTCTTTCTTGCCTTTCCTCGCCCTCATTTCCAGGCGTTGTACGGCTACGACTGTCTCTATCCACGTTGTACACATGCAAGAGACACTACCTTTGAGCCATACCGGGTTTTCCTCTTATTCTGTAACTTGCTTTCGCAAAGTAAACGATGTCTTCAAAGTCGAAGTCAACATCACCAGCACGCTCAGCACTCGACTTCCAAGACTATCCATCATCAGGATTATGAGCTTCTAGAGCCCCCAGCAATCACCTGGCTATGCTGCATTATTCTGAGGATTCAAATCGCGAAATATAAAGTAGAACAGAATAAGGGTTGAACGATGTTGCGAGCCGACGACACGATAGACTTCAGACATCAGAGGCCTCATAGCAGAAACACAAACATCTCGTGACTTACTAGTTTGATGAAGTTGTACACTGTACTCTTTCACTACCCACTCACGCTGCCATCTCCGTCTCCCTGAATCTTATCATCAGGCTTGCGACGTCCGCGCCAGCGTTTCATCATTAATAGATTGTCCCGGCGGAACATTTTATCTATCTCACGCAACGGCCGACGCTCCTTCACTTCTTACCTTGGAAACGTTTTTCGGCTTCCACTGGAAGAACGGTAGAGCCACGCTGTTTGGTCCTCGCAGTCGGCGCACATTCCTTCACACCATACGTCCATGACTAGTCTTTCATATCGGTACAAGCTTACAGCGCAATCGGCTCCCCGACACGCTTAAACCGGATAGCCTTCAAACGATGCACAACCTTTCAATCAAATAAACTATGCGCAATTCCTTTTTAGCGCCGAAGGGCCCGAAGGGAGCATCCGCCCGCCTGCGGATATTCCGTCCTCCGTCTCTGAAAGTAGCGCTCAGTGAAGACGATACTCCCACAAATCGTGCATGTTGACAGCGCTCGTCCCGAACAACACCTCCATATACCATGCATACGGGATCGAATACAGCTGTGCCAGTACAGAGAGCGGCAAGAAATGAAGTGTCTTCTGAATTTTCGATAAGGACGAGCGCTTTTGTCCTCATGTCATCTCGCCTCCGATACCCTATACCTTCCTTCTCCTTGTCGTCTTCATTCACAGGCTTATCCAGTCAATCGGTTTCTGCTACTACAATTCCATGGGTATCTCGAATATCATTCTTGTTTCGGAGACAAAAATATGTCGGGTAACTACAAAGTCCAATTGAAAACGAAGCCATGCGTCAGAGGCGAGTGGCAGTCACGGAGGCAGGGGAGGGAGAAGATGTGCCACGACCTATCCTACTCCTTGGACTCATCACCTAGGACTCAACGATAACCGATATTCGAGGATTGAAATAGCAACATTGTAGCTCATTTCCCATTATTGTAACAAGCAACATTGATAGGCGAGTGCGTTGCCCACTTACGGAGTGACAGAATAGATCATGTCAATACAGTCTGTATGTTATAATCTTAAGATATACGATGATGAAACAGAGAAAGAATGTGATGAGAGCGAAAATGGTGACAACGACGAGACGCAGAGACAGTGAAATCATTTCAACGTGTCCGTGGAGCGTGCATGTGGGCAAGGGCGCCACATAAGTATTATATAGCTGTTAGCATCATAGCACAAGTCTCCATGTTTGACGGGGGAGGGAAACAACGAGTGATGGGACGAGGAGGAGGAATGAGCGCTTTCGCAATAATTATTCCTGTTGGCGTCATTGACGAGGCCTTGGCTGTGTTTTGGGGGCTGAGTGCCATAAGCGAACGCTGGCGAGCTGGGCATGGCATACAATGTGGCTTCGCCAATGCACTTTCAAATGTAGGAAGGCGAGCATGTCACAGCCAATGATGCTGCTTGTGCCATCCCCTCCCCCCCCTCTATGTCTCGCGCTCAACGGGCGTCGTCGGTGGATTGGGCGCTTTATCAAGGTAGTCATACTGTACAGCTCCAAAAGACCAAGCTCTACGGTATGAGACCTCCGTAGTGATCCAAGCGAGGCCTTTTGCAACGATTAACGCACATACAAGTAGGTGAACCATCTACCACCAAACGACCGACAGCCGCCGTATTCCTTCGTCTTTCCTTCAACAGCCGACCATTACCGTCAACGTTCACATTCGTGATTCATTCGATGGACCCTCGACGAGCGGTGCGCTATATTCGCACCCTGACACCATTTATCCTTTTGCATGTGCCGAAAAACCCTCGGAAAGGACTCTTGAGCGACGGCCGGCGCTTGATGCTCGAGGATGGTGTAAGCCCTGCCGTTCCCGCCGGGGGTTACAGAGCCTCTTCTACAGAACCCTCCTTCGTGTGCTGTGCTGCCTCATGCATCAAGCGTGTCGACCCCCTCATCTGCGAGAGCCCCTTCTGACAAGAACCTGATTCAATTGTCCCTCAATGATGCGAGAGATCCGCAAACACCCCATATACAAGTAGACGGAGGTCGTCACAATGCATGTTCGTCGGCCGATATAGAAAGGGTGTGTGCTTGGCGTAGCTTGGTACACAGGCAGTTGTACTCCCCCAGTCCCCCTGCTGTCCATGTCTGCGTGGAGAGCTCTATTCGAGCATCTGTCAGTCTGACCTGGGCCGAGACGATCAAGGGTCTCCCAGCTCTGTCCCCTCGTATGCATCTCCCTCGCCGAGCGCGATGACGGCGGTGACGAGATGGTTATCAGATACGGCGGCAGGCACGGACCACACAAGAGGGTTGATGTATGCGTGCCTGGGATCGGCGGGTAAAGAGCTAATGTCACTCCCGCCGCATCACGGCAGTGACTTCTCTATAAGACCCGAAAATTCTCATTCATCTGCATCCTCTTTCTCTTATAGAACTCTCACCCCTACTCATAGAGACCGCTGCCCATTGCTCTCGCCATGCCGCTCAAGAGCCTCTTCAGCAAGTCGCCGGAAACCTCGACCCTCGACCCTACCTCCCACGCCGACGTCGGGGGCGGTATCTACCCCGAAGAGCAAATTCATCGTTCCATCACCCACGAAGATGCTCACGACTCGCCCACCATCTTTGGTGAAAAGTCGCCGGGTGTGAGGAGGATTGAGATCATCACGTCGTGCTTTACCAGCTGGCACAAGTACATCTTGTTCGTGGGAGTCTTCTTAACGGCTTGTAAGTATCATACCTTGAAGGGCGCAGAAGGCTTTGAGAGCTGCATCCACAATGACGAGAGTGGCCTTGCGCCATCCATACCTTTCGCACGTGCTAACATTACTGCAGACGCATACGGACTCGACCTCACACTCAGAAGCACCTACCAGAACTATGCCCTCGCCAGTCTCGGTACTTCCGCCCAAGTCTCCACCGTCACCGTCGTTCGCTCTATTGTTGCTGCTGCCGTCCAGCCCGTCTACGCCAAGATCAGTGACTACTTTGGCCGAGTCAGTATCCTATTCATCAGCGTCATCTTCTATCTCGTCGGTAAGTTAACACCCTCCAATCATATCGATCTGAGCGCTGATATCATCCACAGGAACCATCGTAACAGCCACAGCATCCAACCTCGCGGCATACTGTGGCGGCTCCGTGCTCTACCAATTCGGCTACACCGGCGTCCAGCTGCTCGTCGAAGTCATCATCGCCGACATCACCTCCCTCCGCTCCCGTCTCATCTTCTCCTACATCCCCGCCACGCCCTTCCTTATCAACGCCTGGATCTCTGGCAACGTCGCTTCCGCCGTGCTGGGCCGTACTACCTGGGGCTGGGGTATCGGCATGTGGGCCATCATCTTCCCCGTCACTATCCTGCCCCTTCTCTTCTCCCTTATCGCTGCTGAATGGCGTGCCAAGCGTAAAGGTCTCTTGCGCAATATCCCCTCTCCCTTCCGTACTCTCATGAAGCCCCAGACATGGTCCGACATTTTCTGGCAGATTGATATTCTTGGCCTCTTCCTCCTCGCTGCCGTGCTCGCCCTCATCCTGCTCCCCTTCACCCTCGCCGGAGGTACTTCCAATCTCTGGCGAACCGCGCGAGTCATTGCGCCGCTCGTTGTCGGGTTCGTCGTCGCTCTTCCCGCTTTCGTACTTTGGGAGCTCAAGGGCGCAAGACATCCCTTGCTGCCTTTCGACATTTTAAAAGACAGGCAAGTCATCTGTGCATTGTTGATCGCCATGCTCCTCAACACTGCTTGGTATACCCAAGGCGACTATCTCTACTACACCCTGATCCTCGCATTCGACCGGTACGCCCCCTCCCCTCTCTCTGTTCTAGCATACTAATCACCGCTCTTTAGTGATATCATCTCGGCAACCCGAGTCACCAGCATCTACTCTTTCGTATCCGTCGTCATCGGCGTCTGCCTCGGGTTCGTCGTACGCTACGTCCGCCGCCTCAAATGGTTCATCGTCGCCGGTACCCTCCTCTTCGTAATCGCTTTCGGCCTCTTGATCCGTTACCGCGGCGGATACAGTCCCGCCGACTTTGCCGGTCTTGTAGCTGCCGAAGTCATCCTCGGTATCGCCGGCGGCCTGTTCCCCTACCCAACCCAAGTCCTGATCCAAAGCGCCGTCTCCCACGAACGCACCGCCACCGTAACCTCCCTCTACCTCGCCTCCTACTCTGTCGGCTCCGCCCTCGGCAACACCATCGCCGGCGCCATCTGGACCAACACCATGCCCTCCCACCTCCTCAACGCCCTCAACCGCTACTCCGTTTCGGACGCCTCCACCCTCGCTGCTTCGGCTTTCGCCGACCCCGTTACGATCACGACCAACTACCCGCCGGGAACGCCGGTGAGAGAGGCGGTGGGAGAGGCGTATAGGGAGGTGCAGCGGTATTTGACGATTACGGGGATTTGCTTGAGTACGGTCATTGTGGGGATTGCGTTGTTGTTGAGGAACCCGAGGTTGGGCGACTTGCAGAGTTTGCCAGAGGAGGAGCGAGAGGGTGATAAGGGGGTGGAGACGGGGAGAGGGGCGGGGTACGGCGGAGAGAAGGCGGGAGTGAGTAGGAGTGAGAAGACTGGAGAGTCGCAGTAGTATTTTTTTCGCGTTTAGAGTCATCGCCGGAGTCCTTGTTTTATAATCACACTCCGTGATGGCAGCTTCAAGATAAAGAGTAGTTTATTTCCATTTCCAATAATACAAAAGAGAGAAGTCATACACAAAAAGAGTTCCGTCCCAAACACAAATCTCGCCTTCCCGCTCAACATTCTTCCCGCGTATTCACTTCTTCCTGATAGTACACCCCATCGTCCAAATATGGGTCCATTCTCGCCAAGCTGAGGGGGGAAAGAGATGGAAGAAGTCGAGCGGGGGGGAGGGGGCGGGTCGATCTACTCGAAATCCTCGACAGCGTACTGCTCGAGCTCGCCAAACGTATTCTCCGACGCATACAACACATAAAGGAATCCTACTCTCCATCAGCCCGCACCCCTCGCCTTGAAAGAAGAGACGTACCATCTTCATCCTTGTGCTCGTCATAGATCGAACTCATCAGAGCCGCCGTGGGAGGGAGGATATCGTCGACAAAGATAAAGATGGCCTTTTCGGGGGCGAGCTTGATACGTTTGCGGATGACGTAGACGAATTGGCCGACCGTGAGATCCTACGGTGCTCTGTCAGGCGCGTCCAAATGCGCGAGAGAGAGAGAGAGAGGGCGTACAGCGGGGACGAGATACTTCTTCTTGTCGATTGTCGGGATATCACTCTTCTCGGCCTTTTCGCAGATAACCTACGGCAAGTCAGCAATGGTTCAACGGCTCCTTTGTCCCTTCTACGCGCGCCTATGCGCGCCGAAGACCCGCCGAGCATTCCGCCATCTCCCCCCGCGCCCAACACGTCCCGCCGGCTAAACACGCCTCCCGCCTTCGTGCGCGATACACGACCCATCCCGCACCCCCCCACCACTCTCTACGAAGACACACTCACCGGAATACGGTCCTGGTACTTTTGCCTGATCCTCTCTGCTTCCGCCTTCCTCTTGTCTACAAACGCTTATCAGCGGGGTCGCCCCTCGGTACCGGTACCATCCCGCCTTGTGCCCATGCCGCAGCTAGTGCACCCAGCGAGAGCGGAATGAAAAAGAGTGGCATACCGAAGGGGTGCTCGTCCTTGAATTTGCTCCTGACCATTGCGGATAGTATAAGTGTTGCTGATACTGCGGGGGGCGGGTAAGTGTTTATGCGACGAGCGAGAGACAAAGGGGTGCGTACGGTGGGATGGGATGGGCAGGAATGGGTACGAGGAGCTGTGGGGGGTTAGTGATGTCCACTATACACCCTCTGACTTACGTGTTGTAGAGATGTAAGAGAGGAAGACGCGCATTGACGCTGTTGTCATCGAGGGTGGCAACTCGCACGCCTATATTTGATCCCGCCCGCCCAGCAGGAAGGCGTGTCAGAATTGTTACGTAAGTGGACATGGCCGTCGGGCAGTATACTGGGAGACACTGGGGGTGCTGTGCTCTATGCATGGGCTGCACTGGCTGCTGTTTGTTTGGTTCTGCTGTAGTGCAGAGCATCCCTTGTAAGGGAATTACGCGACAAGATGAGCATGCAGGGCTATTTTGGGCTCACTCCATCGACATTCTCCATCTCGCAGGCGCATCGCAACAACGTCATCGGTGGAGGAAAAGTCTATGCAAGAGTCTATGAATACCCTTCTGCAACCTTCTTCCATCTGCATCCCTACATCTCCACGACGCAATGACAGACACCCCCAAAGAACACCATGTCCACCGCGTACGTCCCCTGCCTATGCATACAGCACCAGCTAACACATCGCAGGTCGGCGGCTGGATGTCCACCGACAAGAGGCACCACCACAAGTTTCTCAACGATACCGTCGAGCACGTCGACCAAAACCCCAAGCCCCTCCACCCCGTACTCCAAGACTTCAAAGCCGCCGTCGAGAAGAGCACGAGGCTCACCATGCTCTTTGATTTGATGTTCCAACAAGCAAGTTCTCGTCTCTTGGCGAGGGTACCAAGCTGACTTGGCGTAGATCCCAGCGGGCAAAGAGTACCTCAAGGACCCCTCCGGCGAAAACCAAGTCCGCGATTTCGATCACCTCCTCCAGCTTCTCAACCATGTCATCTCCACCGCTCCTCGCTGGACCGAGGCTGCTCACAAAGTGGGTGTCGTCGGTGTCCCCGTCAACGCTTTGCTCGACTGGCCCATGGGTACGAGCGCCGGGTTCTGTGTTTTCCAAGATCCTGAAGTGAACGAGCATGTACGTCCCCCTCCTTCCTCTTTACGACACACGCTGACGATCAAGCAGCTCAAAAAGATCCTCAACGTCTGGGGCGACTTCCTCTCCTCCCCTTCCTCTGCCTACGTCCTCGGCACCGGCCCCCACGACTGGCTCGGCCCCATCGGCAAACCCTCCCTCATGTCCGTCGCCAACGCCCCCCTCTCCACCTCTCATACTTTCGAAGAATTCTACCACTCCGACCCCTCCCTCCCTCACCACGGTTACGCATCCTGGGACGAATTCTTCACCCGCCGCTTCAAAGACGCCGTCCGCCCCGTCGCTTCCCCCTCAGACGACGGGATCGTCGCAAACGCCTGCGAAAGCACATTCTACAAGGTCGGTCGTGATATCAAAGCGCGTGACCAATTCTGGGTCAAAGGCCAGCCATATTCCGTCCTCGACATCCTCGCCTTCGACCCTCTTTCTTCCCAGTACATCGGCGGAACGATCTACCAAGCTTTCCTCTCCGCCCTCTCTTATCACCGCTGGCACGCCCCCGTCTCTGGTACTGTTAAGAAAGCATACATCATCCAGGGCACATACTTTTCCGAGCCCCTCTTTGTCGATTTTGACCAAGATGCCCAAGGAGGAGGAGGGAAAGGGAAGGAGGCGGACGTGCATGGCGAGACGACAAGTCAGGAGTACCTCTCGGCGACGGCGACGAGGGCCGTCATCTTTATCGAAGCGGATGATGAGCGGCTGGGGACGGTGGCGTTTTTGGGGATCGGGATGACGGAGGTTAGTACGTGTGAGATTACTGTCAAGGAAGGGGATAGGGTCAAGAAGGGCGATCAGACTGGGTAAGTCGTTCGTATATTTTGGGATGAGCGCTGATAGCAAGCAGCATGTTTCATTTCGGCGGGTCGACGCATTGTGTGCTGTTTGAGAAAGGTGTCGAGCTTGAGGGCTTCCCGGACTATACAGATAGGAATGTGCCCGTGAGGAGCAAGCTTTGTCACGTCGTGTAATCTGTGTCAGATGCAATATGTCAAGAATCAATCGCAGGAGATGGAGCAGTATTGTGATATACATGTGGCGCATCAGTGCGTGGTATTGACATTCTACTCGTTATTGACATTAGAAGTTGATAACATGATAATCGTAAGGCTACCTCATCATCAGCACAACCCACCATTTCAACAAAGAAAGATCACATACCGTAAATCCCCCCAAAACCAACGACTTCCCATCCAACATCACCAGCGGCGGTTTCACCATCTCCATCTCCATCTTCACCACCATCTCCCTTGACCGATTCATGAAGAACGTCCCTTCACATTGATCCTTGATATCCTCATAGTAGTTTTTCAGAACCTCGGGCATTTTGGGACTGGTGGTGGGGATGAGGGTGCGGGTGGTAGAGGGAACGGCGTGGGAGTCGGAACGGGTGGGTTTGCGGGGACGGTTCAGGGTAAGGGTGAGGTATGACGGGGGTGGGCGATCGGGTTGATGGCGAGCATTCGAGGGCAAAGCAGGCGCATCGTCCAGTCCCGGGCTGGCTGGCGCCTCCTCCCGCTCCTCCGCCACCCCATATACAGCCGCTAGCCCTTTCAACTCCTCAAACAACCACGCAACCTCCTCCCTCTCATCCGCCACCCCCATCAAACGCTGCGCCTGCGCTTCCACCAATTCCATCGCAGCCCTTGCCGTCGGGTCTTCTACATCTTCTCCCTCTCCTCCCTTCTCACGTATCTCATGTAGCATCCGTTCCATCTCCTCCCTCTCGATATTGATCCGAGCGTCAATTCTGGCAAGCTTTTTGCGGAGATCCGAGAGCTTCTTGTCGACCTTGGTCCTGCGAGACGCGACAGCGATATCGTCATCGACATCCGGCACATCGCGCACCAAGGCCTTGAACGATTCCACCTCCCTCTTCCGTCTCCCTGCCACCCTCTTCTTTGCCCGAACACCCTCCGCAAGCGTACTCTCGTTATAATCGCTCAAGCTCAGCACGAACGTCGAATTTCGGTCTTTCTCGTCTTCCTCCTCATCCCCCTCGTCCCACAGATGGACTTGGACTGGCACAAGCCTCGCCTCCCTCGACCCATACGCGCTCGCGAGCGTCGTTTCAGAGCCCATGCGCATGTGGCTGGACTGGCTCCACTCGTTATACGAGAGTACGGGGACGGTCGTGAGAGATAAGAAGGAGGTGACATCGCCTTGAAGATAGTTTGGCAGAAGCTTTGATGGGGGTGAAGCCGGAGACGAAGGGCTATCCGTCGAATGAGGGTCGGGGCTGGGGTGGGAGGTCGAGGCGGTGGTGTTGGGAGTGGGTTGGGGAGGGGGGAGGGAAAAGACAGATTTGAAAGACGCCACAAAATCTTTGCCGTGAACCGAGTCGATAAAGTTGGTATTCGGATCGTCCTTGTCGATGTCGCTGACGTCGCTCGCCTCGTCACCCGAGTCATCTTCCGCCCCGCTCTCGGATTCTCCGTCGCCCGCTTCCGAATCTTCAGCATGTTCCACTCTCCAACGCCCATCCTCTGCAACCCGTCTCTTATATCTCATCAATACAAGAGCCCTCGACGCTTTCCCCGCTATACCAGTCGGCTGGTCCCTCGCAGAGTCTGGCAACAATTCCCGAAGTCGAATCATCTCGTCTCCCGGCTTGTGCACCATTTCCGCCATGGCCAACCGGAAGGAGAGATCCGTAGCAACGCCGAGGAGAGCAGACAAGTCGGCAACATGCGTCTTGTCCCACAAACCCCAAGTAAAGATCCCGAGAGATTCGGAATTATGGACGGCAGGGGAATAGTGCAGGTCTTGGATGCTAAAGACTCCGGGCTGATAGGCGGCAGCCAGAGTGTAGGGAATGAGTTTCTCAAGCGGCAGGTTGAACTGTCCTACAAGGAAAGCAGGTGGTATATCAGGAAGGTACCAGCTACAGCTCTTATTCGGGTAAGCCTGCGCATGAGGATTCGCGTCTGGTGGGTCGGGCGTCATCGCTGGGAAGCCGAGGGAGGAAGGGAAGAGGACGTGGGCATCGAAGGAGTATTGTAGGAAGCCTTCGAGCTCGTCGGGGATGGCGGCTAGGGGAAGTTGAAGAGCAGCCATAGCTTTCGCGTACATGTCTGGAGAAGTAGAGGGCGGAGTACGGCGAGCAGATGCAGTAAAGGCGAAAGGGCCGCATGGGCTGACTGTGGATATATTTTGGTTTTCCGCGATAGGTATGGACTATACACTATCAGCTGGAAGTCCATATATGAGCAACGTACTTACACCAAGACTGACGCCCTTCTTCCAATCCCAAACACCTCCAAAGATTGTCTTGAACGAGTCACGACTATTGATCAAGATTGACATTTGTCCTCCCGGGCCAAACATCACATCCGTTTCCGCCGCACCCCATTGGACAGGGAACAAGAGCTCGATGAACGGCAGGGCAGCGTCAGGATGGGGAATGGGATCCAAGAAGCCTTTCGCGGGGGCGGGGGTGCCGAGAGGAGGAAGAGCCGAGTGAAATGTGATCCGAAGAGAGAGACGGGAGGTTTCTGGGTCCATACTATTGGAAAAGTATGCGCCTTTCTGACTATGACACAAGTTAGTACGGCCCAGATAACAGTCTCATAGCGGTCGCTTACATCAAAGCAACGAGGTTATCTTCTCCGCAAAGCTGGAGGTCTTGGAACTCTGCCGTGCTGCGCGTTTTCCAGTGCCACAGGCCTTGGTCCTTTACTCCGCCACGATTTATCGAGTCCCTGTCCAAAGCCGCTCCAGGCGCACGGTAAACGTCCCACCCACCCGTCTGACGACTCGCCAGCGCAGCCGTCCCCTGCAATGCAAGAGACCGACTGTTGAAACAATTGTTTGTAAAAGTCGTCTTCGAGGTCGTATCCCGAATGCGATGGTTTATCTGCTTGAGATCTTTCCCGAGGCTTGGGCGAGTCAGGATGATCCCCTTCGTGATCGTCTTCGCCGGCAACCCATTTCTTGACCCGCCGCTCGTGCTCCTCCTCGATCTGGTCGAGAGTCCTCTTGCGCTTTTTCAAATTCTCCCCTTCAACATGGAACACCAGCATGCCATTCTCGAGCCCGACCAGATCCGCATTCAGCTCCTTCCTGAAAGACTTTATGCACGAAGGGTCCAGCTCGTCCATGCGCCGTTGTCGCTCCTTGAGAGCGGACAGTCTGTCGGCTGGGGCGGCAGTCTGGTCGGATGCGGAGGGTGGGACGGAGAGGAGTCTTTGGGTATGCGCGAGTTGGAGGGGGGAAGGATTGGTGAAGACATGGTGGATATATTTATTGACCTGGGCGCTGTCAGTGGGTGTAGAGGGATGGGCGCGTCGCGACTCACTCGGATCAAGGTCACTACTTCTCGCAGCGTCAAGCAGTCGAATACCCCTATGAGCACCTCTGCATAGGCGCTCTGGGAGAAGAGGGGCAGGAGGGGGGACATGGCGATGGAAATGATTGGAGACGAATGATGCAATACACTGAACACCCAATGAACACCACTTGACAACGAGCGCGAACGCGAGCGGCGGATGCCGACGAACCCATCATGGGGGCAACATGGGTTGAACATGGGGGTAGAAATGCTGGGGTTGAGAAAGAAGCCGCCCGAGAGTAATGCCATTGACCGATACATAAACTGCTCACGTCAATCCTTGACATTTCATTCATTACTTAGTAGCTTCTGCGGCGCTCTCTCCCAATTAACGAACGTTTTCTTCAGTATGCCGCAACCAAACACATGATAGAGACTGAGGATTAGGCTTCTGCTCGTCTCGGCGATCGGTACCCTCTTCATTGTGGCTAAAAGGTGATGATATAATGGTCGCAAGGCTTCACTATTGTCAGCACCGGTCAAAGTCTGGAAGGAAGTCTCGACATACCGTCAATCCTGCCACGATAAAAGAGCTTCCAACCAGCGACATTGTCGGCTTCTTCGCGTTATCATCGTTCGCTACTAACAACATCTCCATCGGCTCTTTGCAGACATGGTCCATTCGATTGTCCCTTCGTTTCGATCACTCTGAGTATAGTAGCTTCTCAGAGCGTTGGGAAGAGTATTGTTGAATGATGGTGTAAGGAGGTAAGGAGCGGAAATGTGTTGAGGATGGGCAGAAGAATCGGCGGCAGGGGTAGGTATATCGGGAGGGGTGATGGTGAAAGTGAGATATAGTGGTGGCGGAAGGCTGAGTCTGCCTCGAGCATCCGAACAAGAGCCAGCCTCAACAGAGCTATCCTCCAGCAAGTCCCACCGTTCGCCCTTGCACGTCCCTCTCGATATCGATAGCCATTTCCAACACCTCTTGCCCCTCCCCATTGGAACGTACTCCCATTCAGGTCAACGCTCATTTGATTGGTAGAAATTCGGTCCCGTATGGTGAAGAGGTGGGCGAAAACGTTTGTCAGGATGTCTCCGTAGGCGCTGTCGCTGAAGAGCAAACCGAGTGATCCCATGTTGCTGTGAGGGTCTCGCGTGCTCCTTCGAGTAGTAGTGAGTGACGATGAGTGACTGTATGGAAGAGGAAGATGCAGGATGGGTCGTCAAGACCGGCAGTATGAGTTCAAATGACCATTTGATGCCGTTGATGGGGATGTTTGTACTGCTTACGGCTGACGCGATGTGCAAGTATCAACTCTCTAATCGTGTTGGTGTTAATGATAGAGCATATGCATCCAGCTCTGCCGCGCTCTTCAGCATCCCACTGCGAACATGCAGACTACCTTCCATCAAATACATGCCTCGATCCTAACCATCTACCGTCTACTCTTCCAACAGCTGCTTCTGCTCCGCCACAACGAAGCCCATCTTGCCCGTCCTCAAGCCCGTCTCCAAATTCCTCAAACAAACCGCCTCCATCTCCTCCTGCGTCTCCACCGTCACCGTCCCCACATGCGGTAGACACACCGCCCTCGGATCATCCAAAAGCTCCTTCGGGATCCTTGGCTCATTCTCATATACGTCCAACCCCACACCTGCCAGCTTGTTGTCTTTCAAAGCCTGGATCAGAGCGGTTTCGTCGATGATGGGGCCTCGGGCGGTGTTGATCAAAACGGCGGTGGGTTTGAGGAGGTCGAATTGGGGGGTGGAGATGAGGTGGTGGGTAGAAGGCGTGAGGGGAAGGTTGAGGGAGATGACGTCGGACGTCTTGAGAAGCTCCTCCAAAGATCTCACATATCGCACATCTAGCACCTGCTCCTTCCCAGCATCTACTCTGTTCCTGTTGTGGTAGATCACCTCCATCCCCAGTGCCTTCGCTCGCACCGCCAATGCACTGCCTATACCGCCCATCCCGACGATACCGAGTACCTTGCCTTTGGGATCGTTTGACAAGGGGAGCGCGGAATTGAAGGTGCCTGCTTGAGCATGGGCAAGGGCAAGTGGGAATTGGCGAAGGACAGAGAGAATGAGGAAGATACCGGTATCGGCGGTGGCGCCGTCAACGGCGGTGGGGACGTTGGAAACTTGTATCTTACGGGTGGTACAGGATGGGATGTCGACTACACGGCGGTGAGTGAAGTACAATGATCTAGGTGGTGGATCTTACTCTGGTCACTAAATGAAATGGTCAGTGACTAGTATCGTCTAGAGCTAGTGCGAGGAAAGCCTTACTATCCGGCGCCATTATGAGCGATGAACTTCAAGCTTTGAGGCAGTTTGTAGACAAGCTCTTGATCAAACCGTCCAGTGATCTATCAAAATGTCAGCAGTGATCCCGGGAAGACGTCAATTGAGACGATTGCGCAGATGCAACGTGTTCGGAAACATACCTTGATAGACTCGGACGCCTTGAAATGGCGGTATATGCCAGACACATCTTTGTACTTTGTCCCAAGGTCGGAGATGAACTGTTCTCGGGTGGTGCTTGTATTTGGCTGGAGATAGTATAGTGAGTACAGAATACAAATGCAAGTCGAATAATGCAGGACTCACAACAACAGTCGCGACCTTCTGGAATGCGGCAAGCTGTGTCTTTGCGAGCTTGATAGAGTCCAAGAAGAGTACCTTGGATCCCCGTGTGAGAGTCATGTCGAATAGCCTGTTGATGCTTGGGACTGGAAATACGAGAATTGAAAGAGAACAACATGATAATCGGCCCCAGCCGATGACCTCGGCGGACCGGTGCGACGGGATCAGATTGCAGGTACATACCGCGGTGCGCCTATGAACTCTTGCAATTTGCATATGCACATCTTCCAGCAGCTATCCGTCGACTCCATGCACATCTCAGTGCTTTTACAACTGGGGGTGTACTTACCCTGTCACTGACTTTTTTTATTTCCATACGCTCTTCTATTCTCTCCGATTGCTCGACAGCCAGCCGGCGCTTTCTCTTTGTAGACGGTAGCGACGACCGATGAATGCCTACCAGCAACGCGCCCGACAGATACATCGCCCCATATCAAGATGTACGTACTGTGTATGTGGCCCGCTGACACCTCTCACACGCAGCTGAAAGCGCATGATCTCTTATCTTTCTACATATGATCCGTAATCGCGGAGCCGAAGCCGCGTTTACCGACGGACGGCGAGCTGGCTAAATTCAGATAAGGCCGGGGTGCTCATATATGTCTTCTTTCGAATACTCTGCTACTTTACTTCAGAGACCCCACCCCTTCCGAATACAATGACGCTCTCGCCGCACCCCAAGATCCTCTTTCTCGACTCCATCAAGCTCGCAAAATCGCAGCTGGCGGCTTTGAGCAAGATAGCCACAATCATCGTGAGCCGCCATTTAGCTCTCTCAGTCAAACGTCCGCTGACCATCGTATACGGCTGTAGCCAAACACGAGCAAGAACAGGGACGATTTCATTCGAGACCTCGGCACAAAGTACAAGGATGTCACCGGTATCTACCGTCATTTCAAGGCATCCGAATCGATCAAGGTATGTCTGACTCCACAATTGCCACCCGATGGCGCTAATACCCATACCAGATAACAGGTCGCTTTGACGAAGAACTTGTCTCCCACATTCCCGAAAGTCTGCGATTCATAGCGCACAACGGAGCTGGATAGTAAGTCATTTCTCAGCTTTACTGCATAGAATCTGACCATTCTTTGCAGTGATCAAAGTATGTTCCCTCACTTCGAATGATTACAGGGCTCACCACTTTTCAGTCGACATCCCATCCTGCACATCCCGCAAGATTCAAGTCTCCAACGTCCCCACCGCCGTCGACGGCGCCACAGCCGACACCGCTGCTTTCCTCATCCTCTCCGTCCTGCGCCAATTCCCCTTTGCTCTCGCCCACGCCCAAGCCGGCACATTCAACTCTTCTATTCCCTTGTCGAATGACCCAAAGGGCAAGGTGCTCGGTATCGTCGGGATGGGCGGTATAGGCAGTGCGTTGGTGGTGAGAGCGAAGGCACTGGGTATGGACGTGGTCTATCATAATCGGAAGAGGGTGGATGCTGGAAAAGAGAAGGAGCTAGGTGTGCGATATGTGAGATCTTTGGAGGAGCTTCTCAAGACGTCCGACGTCATCTCCCTCAACCTTCCCCTCACGCCTTCTACCCACCACCTCATCTCCATCCCCCAATTCGACCTCCTCAAACCCACCGCCGTTTTGATCAACACCGCCCGAGGCCCCATCATCGACGAAACCGCTCTGATCCAGGCTTTGAAAGACAACAAGCTGGCAGGTGTGGGGTTGGACGTATATGAGAATGAGCCAAGGATCCCGAAGGAGCTTTTGGATGATCCGAGGGCGGTGTGTCTACCGCATGTGGGGACGGTGACGGTGGAGACGCAGGAGGAGATGGAGGCGGTTTGTTTGAGGAATTTGGAGACGGGGTTGAGGACGGGCAAGATGGGGTTTGTGGTGGCGGAACAGAAGCATATGTTGGAAGAGTAAAGTGGATGCGGATGCTGTAGATGGCTCCTTCTATCTTACGATGCAGACGCATGAACGGTATGATCATTCGTATGATGTCTGAACAAGCGCCTTGAAAGTGACTTACGTGCATGATGACACTCGCCCATCCAACACCAAAAATGCCAGGCAGAGTCAGACGATACCTGCCGGGCTTCTGGAACTGCCGACTGGAATATACACGTTCCTCCCGACCACACAACTGCACACTGGACGCAAGGCGCTCGTTCGTTCTGGCTTGGCAGCTGCTCCTCAGCGCCTCCGCAAGTCCCTCTTCCGGCCAGCCATGGCTACAAATACTCGATCCTGGCTTCTCTCTGGCGCCAATCCCATATCTCCTTGCTTCAGTCTACTCACCAACAATACCCATCAGCCCAGATGCCTGGCGGCGCTCTCACCCGCCGCACTCGTCGACCTGCAGGCAAACGTGCCGGCGAAAAATCAAGGCTCACCAAGCCACAATATGTGCCCATCGGGAGTGGCGAAAAACCGCATCTTCCCACAACAAACAAACCTCCCCAGAACGGGCATGTACTTCCCAAGAAAACCCGCAACAAACCCCTTCCGCCCATCCCTCCCGAGGCCAAAACAACTTTTCAAAAAGGCGAACTCTGGCATGCATTCAAATGGGAGCTCGACCGGCATGATCCTTATTTGAAATACATCATTGAGCAGATGCACAAGGCTCCAGATAAGACTAGCAAGGATTATCTGGCGAGGGTGGGCGGGGTGAGGCAGTTGAGGAGGGACGTGTTTGAACTGGGAGAAAGTGGGAGACATGCTCTTGTGGGGTCAAGAGCTATCATGCGATTGGTGGGATGTGTGTGCTGGTTACTGAAGGCTTGGCTGATATAAGCTCGCAGGCCGAAAGAACCTTGATGGTAATAAGAAACATGTACAAACGAACGTTAAGCATGACTCCCAACGCGGATGGCACTCCCATTTCACCTCCTGTCCTGAAATTCATAAGAGACCTGTCCAAGTAAGTCATGTTTCGCTGTTGAGAAATGCCCTGACAAGGTTAACAGCGAGTGTAAAAGAACCTCGCTACCGATCAAAGTGAGCAACACCATGACTTTACGGCGAAACATGGAAAAACGGTATCTCGATTCCATCGAAAAACGTATACTGGAAATGAATACGAGACTATCGCATATAGTCTATAGGCTGCAGGTGAGTATACTCGCTATCGTCATCCGGCAAGGCTCATGGTACTATAGCTCAGGGACAAGATGATATATCAACCCGACCAGTGGCCAGTAGAGGCGGTCATCACTTGGCGAGCAGAAATTCAGGAGGCTAGAATGGGTCAGGAGGGCCCAGAGGCCCAGAGAAAGACTCGCAAGCAGAGATGTGTCATCCAGTGATCCGCTGGACCGAATGTGTAGGTGGTGTGACAAGCCTGACTGTATAAACTGTGATTTCGGCTACTAATGAGCAATGCGTAGAATAAAGATATACGAAGTAGAATAAAGATATACGAATTTAATTCATTAAGCGTCAGACATTCAGCCTATGGCAAAGCCGCTTCTTCCGAGCTTACTTGGTTGGGTCACACTTTGTGAGATGCGATTATACGACGGGGGAGGAACCAAACAACGAGATGATGCCGCGGCTTTTGGCCGCGGCGCAACTCGCGAGTCGCGACACAGCGGCTGCCAGGTTGTACAACAGATGACAGCGACATGCATGGGCTACTATAACTAGACAGCAACGGTCAGAAACTGAAAGAGGTCACGCATGTCCATGCATCGCTGTGTCAAAATCTGGGCAAATGCTCCATTACGTAAATCATACATCTGTCCCCGTCGCAAGAGCTCGAGTTGTGAACGAAAAGTGAGATCATCTCTTCAAGCTTTGCATCTTCTGAATGTCTGCCCTCTTGCCGCTGTTCGCCCAGGATGCCTATTCGGAAGTCCTCATAGGGGTATTCGACTGTCTCGCGCTGAAAGACGTCCTGTCGCTGCTCCGAGTGAGTCGCAATCAATCGTCGCCGCAATCACTGACAGTTCACAGGTCAACAGATATGTACACGCCGTCTTCAAGACCTCCTCCCGAACCCAACTGACTCACACGCGCCGCTTATTCTCCGCCCCAGTCACTGGCAACTATGTCGTCGAAAACGCCTCAGGCCCCGCCGACCAGCTCGCAGCGCTGCGAGATAGAGAACGAAGACTCGACAACCTCGATTACTCGTCCATCATTAATATACGCAAAGACGCCGGCGAAAGGCTGATTGCATTTGAGCAAGGCCTCCTTATTTTTCGTGCGCGGCGAGACGGAGTTAGAGTGCCCAAGCGAGATTTTGATGAGCTCGATTCAGGGGAAGGGGAAGAGGAAGATGATGTAACGACAACGAAGGTGGCCCGCAATGACCCATCAAAGTCTGAAATTCTAGGTGAGTACATTCTTCCTCCGGTGATCTTCCTGACACTGTTCCAGGCCATCTTTCAGAGCACCCTGTTTCTGAACATGCCCACGAAACAATGGCCGACGCCGACGCCGAAGACCTAAAACGCAAATGGCGCGCCACGCATAAAGACCTCGCCTACTCTCAAAATTTCTCCAATGGAAGCTCCATCAAGGATGGCTGGGATGTCTACAGGGTGCCCGAGGCTGCGTCTGACGAAGACTCTCAGGCTAGAGGAGGGACTATCGATCAGGGAATGTGGTGCTGGAGGACGCGCGTGACCGAAGACTTGCAGACGGTGGAGATGTGCGGGCATGATGACCTGATGGCTGTCATGTAAGTGTAACGTCTGATATCAGTAGCATTCGAAAGCTGATAAAAGTCGTAGTCAAAGAGGCGCTTACTTTATCGACCGTGACGACCCTTCAAAGTTGAATCTGTCCATTCGCATATCATTCTTCTCCGCCCTTCCCCCGAGGGGCACGCCTACTCCTGTCACCGGGTATTTCGCCCCTATCCCCCATCCAGAGGCAGCCCTGCCCTTCATCGACATCAACTTTGACTTTGCCGAAAAGGACGTGAAGACGGACGTGACAGACGACGTGAAGCTGGAGGTGATGTTTGGCTATTATGGGCAGATGTCGGTTCTGGTCAAATACGGTCCAAAGACATTGTTCGCTGGTGTTTGGGATTGGAAGAATGGCGTTTGCTTAGGAGTGAGTTTCTTTCGGGTCCCTCTGGTATCTAGACACTTACTCGAAATGTAGAGCATTCCAATCGAAGACAACCAAACCGTGCCGTCGCTAAACGCCTCCGGTCCCTTCGCCATAACGGGCAGCGCTCGACACGTCCCTGGGTCGAAACATCAAGATGTTTATGATCTGGCTATTCGGATGATCCCTCTCCCCCAGGCAGCTATACCTGATTGGCGCGAGGGCTTCGTCCAACTTTCCTTCGACACCTACCTTCTATTCCCTCCATCACTTGGCTATCCTCCTGTCAAGCCCAAGCCCGACAGCAACCCCTTTGCGCCGCCTTATCCCGAACAAGCGTGTAGTTGGTTCATCAGCGATATCCCGCAGGTTATTCCTGTCTGCATCTTCGAGCTGCCCATCCCCGATCTACTCCCATGGACGCTCGCCGTGTGGTATCAAACCCACATATTCGGGATCCTCAATTTCGCCTACTCTCCCGAAGTGCACAATGCAGAGACGATCGGGATCTTTACGTGGATGCTATGGGAGAGGAAGCACATGTCCGACTTGTCGTATATGCTGCGGCAGGCGACGAACCTTGCATTAAAGTCTCTAGTTGGGCGAGTCATACACGGCAATGACAGACGCCGGATCGACAAGTACGGGCCTCTCATACCAGCCCCCCATCAGGCGAGCACCGATGTTGCCGAGGGCGTGAGCTGGGTCTCCACCCTTATGGTGCACGCCAATCGCGTATCGGAGGATGGTACATGGAGGAACGCAGAAGGCGTCATCATCCCATCCCAAACCCCCAGCAAGAAACCGACATATATTCGAGCCTCCTCCCACTTTGCACATACCGACTGGATCTATACCCGCGGTCTCGCCCTCCCATCAGTCGACATCACTGTCCCCACCGTCTCCTATCTTGATTGGCACGGTGCCAACCAGATGCGCATAGACTTTTACGAGACTGTCAGTGCAGCGTATGGAGCACGTGAGGTGCGCCTCGTGCCCCTCATTGAGGAAGACGGAGTTGAGGATAGGGTGGTATGCCTCAGCATGAGCGATTATAATCCCAGCACTCTTCCGGCAGTAAGATTGTCTCTACGCCGGGTTCTGGGGGGCCGACGACGCAACATCGAGGCCCAGCCATGGTACTCACTCGATTCTACCATCGGCGTCGAAGATCGCTACCGCCTTGTTCGAGAGTGCTGTGTCGATCTCCAACTTGAGCTTCTCCACATTGACTCCTCCTTGGAAGGGCTCGAGTTTTCACTGTCTAGGATCTTTGAGGGAATGCGCGAAGAAGAGAAGGCGCTGCAAAATGAGTCAACTGCGAAGGTGCAAAGACTGAAGGAAAGGATGGACAAGGTTGCGGCGGAGTACCAGCTTGCCAGAAACGATTTGGATAAGCTGAGGCCTATGGCGAAGGGTGATTGGGAAGAAGAAATTGAAGAGGACTTGACTTTGAGTGCGGGCTTACCAACTGCGGCCGACGAGAAGGGACCAGTCTACGGTTTCGAGGGAGAGAGTTCGAAGGGTAAGAAAGGACGTTCAATGGACATCGCAGGATCGGAAGCAGCTCCACAGGCTGCGGTCCCGCCTCCAGAAGAGAATTCGAAGGGTAAGCAAGGACGTTCAACGGACATCGTAGAAACGGAAGCAGCTCCACAGGCTACGGTCCCGCCTCCACCATACCTTACCCTCACTCTCGCTTCCCCGACCGCACCCACTTCTTCCTCTTCCGCCCTTGACTCATCGCCCGAAAGCCCCTCTCCACATGCTACCTCTTCTTCTGCGCGCGCATTCCTTCTCTCCCACTCCTCCGAACTACCCTCGCACTTGCAGGAATACTATGAACAGAGCTGGACTTCTGAGGGTGGGATGTTCTGCAGGAAAGGAAAGCAGATGCTCTTGGTGGCGCCCTCGTGCGATGATGCTTTTCCGGATGTTTGGTTTGATGGGAGGACGATGCTGTTGAGCGGCTTTACGGTGCGTTACTTATCACTATCGTGTGATTCCGATGCTGACGTGTAGGCCAGCCGTATGACTACCATATCTTGACATTTTGAGGGGTCATAATCCCTCCGCATTGGAAGTTGGATGTTTATGAGAACTAGCCAAAGGTTCCGAGGAAGGTTTTGGAGGATAGGAGACGGACGATGATGGAGGTGGTCTACTTGGTCACCCTTCTGGATGCTTCGGTGACGGGCATGATGATTGGTAGTGGAGCAGAAGCAGCTCTTGGGAGGTGGTGTATATGGGGTGTATCAGGGCTATGGCGATCATACTGTAGCACACAGATGTGTTCATGAAGATACTAGATGGTCACAATCCATGATCCCAGCGAGAAGCCCCAGCAACATACTTGTACGCCGAAATTTACGTACATTACCACTCTTATGTCAACACGTTCATGGTGCTGATATCCAAATCAGCCGGGTGCATATCCGCGCTTACTTGTCGTGCGCTTTGACTGTTGGTCACAGCATTAGCAGAGACTCTCTCGAGAGCAGCTCGTCACCTACAGTCAAATTGACTTTCTGAGGGATTATAGTCGAACCGTGCGTGTCTTGATCTTCTAGGGGCTGTCCTGTGGCCAGATATAGCCGGATCAGACATGTCGTTCGAGTCCGAGGGCAAGGAAAAGGTGTACACCCGAAGGCCGAGTATGAGGCAAGACCCCACATGAGACGTTCTGTAGCCTAAAAGCAAGCCGAAAAGCCTGAAACATCGTCGCCTGTAGTTATATGTACGTGCAGTGCATGAGGAGTAGGACATACCCAGCCATATCGCGCAGTTATATAGTAGAGAGAATGACCTTATGCGCGCGTTGCGTGTACTCCTCTTGCATCATGTTCTTTTCTCAAAACTGGACAATCCCTCAAAGTCATCAGCCACTATCGAAGACCAGTGTTGGATTCTGGACTTCAGTACGCAGGCAATACGCAGGACGCTGCGAGTATGATAGTAGACGTCACGAATAATCAAGTAGTTACGTAACTCAGCGGGACCAAATGCCCAATGTGGCACCGGGAGGTTCAGGGACTCGTGGCGGGGTGCGTGTTGGGTGCGTGTATTGTGGAGCCTGTTGTGCTTTCTCATGCTTCTTCATCTTACCAGGTGATAGGTGATGAAGACTGTACAACAGTATCGGTACGTCAGCCCTAATCAGCAGCATTAGCGGCATCCGTCAGATGGACACAACACCGCTCGCCTTGACGACCATCACGTCGACGCTGTATCTCCTCTTACATCATTTTCTTTTCTCAAAACTATTGTCATCAGCCACCATCGAAGACCAGCGCCCAGCACAGCGTCCCGTCATGATGAAACAGCTCGGCCTGCTCTTCAGCGACAGCGCCTACGAACACATTCTGTCGACTGTTTTTGATCACCTGGACACTATACGTGACATGCTTTCTGCAGTACAAGTGAGTTTCGTCGATCCCTCTGCAAGTGTCGTGTGCTGAGACGACACTTTTATAGGTCAACAAACAATGTTATCACCACTTCCAGTCGTCATCCGAGCGCCAACTCGACTACCTTCGCAAAAAGCTGTCATTTCTTCCCGACAGTTCTATCACGTCGGCAGCTATCAAGAGTAACGGCACCGCATCTTCCACTCTACTCTCTCAACTGCAGAGGAGACACGCAAACCTTGCCAATCTTAATGCATCTGGTGCCACTCTTCTGCCATTCTCTGGTAATCCATGGTCGATGCTAGCCTTCCGCGATGGCCTTTTGGTGCTTTCCTGGAACGGCTCTGTCGAACCTTTGAACCCTCAGCAGTCTCTTGGGGGAACGAGTATGGAAAGAGCAGGGTTTCAAGTCGTGAGACTCTCTAGAGCGGATCTCGATGAGGACTCGAAACTCAGGGGCGGTATCGCGATGTAAGGCTACTATGTCTGGAGATTTTACACCTCATATGGATCTTCTTTATCCGTGAATGTAGAGGATAATGTGGTCCTTGAGAGGTAAGTCGTCTACTGCTCCCGCGTCTCTTACAGATGCTTACTTATACGCTCTAGGCCGTCAAGGATGCCAGATCTGCGCGAAGATGCTGCCAAGTACGCACAAGTGAACCTGTACTCCCTTTTACCTCCTCTCGGTACTGCATGCCCTCCAGCTGGATATCTCAAAGCTATCCCTCACACGGAGGCCAAACACCCTTTTATGGCTGTCGAAATAACCAACAGGACAACACTCGGCGGGTTTTTCCTTCCTGCAGTTCTCGGCAGTCACGGCCGCCTAGCGATCAGTATCAGAGGTATCTACGGGTCGCAGGAACAGACAGGGCTGAGCGATATACCCCTCTATCAGGCGGTCTGGGATTGGAAGGAAGGGGTTTGTCTTGACGTGAGTAGACAATGTCGATACAGTGTTAGTGTGGACGCGTAGCTGACCTCTTGTAGGGCATACCAGTTCCACCTAAACTGGGTGACCACACGCCGTCCAATCGGGATAATGATGATGATGGCCCAACGTGTCCAAATCGATTTTTTCCAATGGGTCCCTTCGCTATCTCTGCCGGGGTCTTTCAGATTTGTCCAGAAATCTCTTCCATCTCTTCCGAAGCACCGCCGGCCCCGCAACCTCATTTCACCACATATGCTCTATCCCCAACATCGGCGGGCATCCCTCCATCCAGCTACTCTTCTTCTACCGTGAATGACCAGAGTCAGGCATACAACCATTCTCGCGCGATCTGGCAGCCTACGGATATACCTTGGGTCGCTCCACTTGCGCGATTCACTCTGCCCCAGGTCGCCGATCTCGAGTTGGCATCTGGTGGCGCCGTTGTTCCAGTGTCACGCCCTCCCAACTTCTCGTTAAACACTCTAGACTTCCCTTACAGCGAGGAAGTGCACAACGGCGACATATCGGGCCTCGTTGGCTTTGACTTTGGCAATCACCAGTCGCATATCCTCAGAATCAATACCATCCTCAAGCTATCGACTGAGGCTTTAGTGGATAACGCACGTCGCGCGCTTGAAGAGACTACCATCAACACGCCAGCCCCACACGCAAAGCACGCAAAGGCCGCCGATATCGCCGGCCTGGTGCAAGGTCTCCCCAAGTTAGCGTCAATGTCTCGGGTAGAGCAGACCCGATGGGCTGCAGAAGCTCTGGCCTGCCTCAACGAAGGGAAAGTCAGGGATATCGGGAGCAGTTGGGAGGATTTTGCCAAGAGCGTATTGGCGGCGGGGTCGATCGACGACGAGAGGTCTAGTCGTTTTTTTTCGACCCTGTTCAGCCCCAGCATATGCTTTGCGACTATCGACATGACCTTCATATCCGCCACAGCAAAAGATATTACTGGTCTTCTACGATCGTCGGTGCTCGAGAGCTCCATTCTCAACTCCAGATTGGAGACAACATAGGACTTGTCCTTGTTCTCCACGACTACCACGATACTACCGAAACCGTCCCCAACGAATCGCTGCCAATGGGCAAAAGGAAGATCGCAAAACAACTTCTCACGGTACAAGATAGCGAAGAGACGGCTTGGAAGGTACTCATCGGGGTGGAGAACGACAGGGGCTGTCATAATTATCTGACAGAAGATTGTGATGAGCGTGGAGATCCTTCTGGCCTCGCCTGGATGCCGCACAGGTCTACTGTCGCCACTTTGAGTGTTTGGTCTCATGACGGGCCTTCATACTTCGCAGGCGTCGGAGGGTTCCCGCCCGGGATGATGTTCGACGGTGTCAGTGTCGTATTGCAAGGTGTCATCGTGAGTCCAACAGTGGTGGATTGTATCATCGACGAGGCCGGCAATGGCTAATCTGCTATATTTGCAGCCAGACTCTCTCATGTTTATCACATTCGAAGGATAAGTGTCGGCTACCAACGACTGTGAAAAGAGCCCCTCGATCGCAATACACTTTGAGAGCCCAGCTTGACCGTCGGCCGCTGCCGAGCGAGATTGTATAAAGCTTCCATTATGCACCATAATTTCTTTGGTTTGCGCTCAGACGATCTCGTTTGAAACGCCCACTAAGCGTTACAAGGGGACCAGCTTCTAGGAGCGAGTGCATCTCTGATAAGAACAACTATCTAGATCGACTACTTAACGCGACCACTGCGACATTCTGAACCCGCCAGTCTGCGCCCAAAGCTCCGCCAAGGTCCAATCGTTATACAATGACTGATGGTCCCGTGCGGCTTGAGCCGCATATACCGCGTCGTGTCGAAGACGTAAAAGATCTTGACGACGAATGTTCTGGAAAAGATTATGAGCGAGGCTTGGAAGATGTATAGTGACACTTACCACTCTATCGCAGAGTTGTCGGAAAATTGAGTCTCTGATGTCAAAAAGTACCAGCGGAGAGTCGTACTAGGGGAAACCGAGGGAACAAAAGGTCAGAAAGGTCGACAATATGTAGCGTTGGGTAGTTTGAGCTCACCTCTACCAGTCGCCCTTGGTCAAAAACCATGATGCGATCGTAATACGCGAGTGTGTGTAGTCGATGTGCAATAGAGATGAGCTACGGCATGAGGACTGTAAGCCAACGTTCCCAGATCAGATCAGAAAACTTACTGTGACGCCTTTCAAATGGTTCTGGATGATCCTTTGGATGAGCGCATCAGTCTCACCGTCCACGGAAGAGGTGGCCTCATCGAGCAAAAGGATCTTTGTGCCCCTTGCAAGAGCTCTTATCAACGCCACTACGTTGAAGAGTTAGGTCTCTTCATTTCGCTGAGATCTTACCCACAGAGCTGCTTCTCTCCTCCACTGAAATTGCTACCTCCATCGGCAACTGATGCGTCCAGCCTGAATTTCTCCTTCATCGATTGAGTAGCGGGCATGATAGGATCCGTGTGGATGAGATCGAGAAGCGAATTGAGGTATGCATCGTTGTGTTGATCGAGGGGGTCCAGATTCTCTCTATCGAATGGTGTCAGTCAAGGCGGATCGGGCGTCATCGAAAACCCAAAGTCACTCACCTGACACTGCCCTCGAACAGGAATGCCTCTTGCGGTATCAACCCAACCCCATTCCTCAGAGTGTCAAGTCCCACGTTATTGATATCCAGCCCATCCACTTCGATCTTTCCCTCCGCCCCTTCTTTCCCAACAACCCTCATGAGGGCCCCCACCAAACTGCTCTTTCCAGCTCCGGTCCGTCCTATCACACCTACTTTCTCCCCGGCACGAACGGAAAAGCTGAGCTGTTTGAGAATCCAAGGTCCATTAGGAGAGTATCTCAGAGAGAGTTTATGGAAATCGACAGCGCCTCTCGAAGGCCAGTCGCGAGAGTCTGAAGGTGATATGGCGAGAGGCTCATGTGGGAGAGAGGTGTAATGTATGATGCGCTCGGCATTGTTCTGAGCCAGATCAGCTGATGGAAAGATTTGAAGGCGAACGTGGCTTACCATTTCAAGCTCGACTTGAGCATACAGAGAGACGAGGTTCGAAAACATTGCTGCGGCTGCAAGAGCGTATGAAAAGACCACTCCGAACGATGACGGGTCGACGGTGTCACGAAGCACAGTACCGACGATTGCGATGAGCTACGTGATTTCAGTGTCTGTCGACGATCAAAGACGTGTGAAACAATTACAAGTATGAGGAGATTGGAGGAGAAGTCAAGGCGGACACCCAGCCATCTACAAGTTGTTAGCAGAGACTTATACGCAGATTGCGGGAATGCACCTTTGAATGGTGATCTACGTCATACGTCAGCGTGCTTCTTGCTGGGAGGGTCAGATGAGACTTACTGTGAGTATGTAGGCTTGCTGAAAGACCGTACAGCCCGTCGTGAGCAACAACTCATCAAGACCAAACAGGACCTACACCTTGTACGTTGATAGCACTCTGCATCCTCTTTTCAAAGATGTTTTGTTTTCCGAAAGCGCGTATCACAGAGTACCCGTCAAGCTATGAATTCACATCAGTACAGTCCGCTGTAATACTTGTACACTCGCCTGCTCTCCAAACGAACTGTAGATATGCGATCTCGTATTTGAGTCAATACGTTTTACTTCACGGGAGGTTTGTCGATAGTATTCGCCGGCAATGTACTATGTAGCGGTAAGCATTCGATCTCTTCGTCTCATATCACGGCTCACATAAAAGGCCATAAGCGGAATGAAAGCCAACCCGAGCCATGGGTAGACATACAGAATGAGACCAAAAGTACCGACAGCAGCCAAGCCATTCCTAGAGGCAATGATTAGCCTCGCCAACGTACACAAGCAATATTGGACTTACACCAGCAGTGTCTCCCATGCGAATGCCATCCTATCATCGAGCATCTCAATGTCTAAACGCCATCAGCCTCCGCTCGAGCGTGATCGAAGCGAACGTACCTTTCGACAGTCTGTTGATGATTCTCCCGCTCTACAAACTCAGTCAGTTTGTCAATACGGAGTACACAGAACACCCACCGGAGTCTGGTCATGCCATCGCATAGGCGCCCTCATAACGTGTTTCCAGGCTTTAGCAAACAACGTATATGACGATCGAAGACCGGCAAGGAACATGGTATACGAAGCTCCAAACTGTGACTCTTATTAGCATTCTCGCATACGCCGTATCTGAGGAGGGTGCTTACAGTGAAAAGCCCAATGGCAATGCCCAATGCGCCATAGATCGCCATATACTCGCCTTGACTCAGACCCCAGCTATTGGAAGACCAAAAGCCCAACAGCAAACTATTCCCAACGCTCGCCACCTGCGTCAAAATCAAGAACAAGCCAAAGACGATGCCCCAAAGGGGTGTGCCCATAGCCCTGAGATAGATTGTATACACCGACCAAGGGATCGTCCCAGTTTGTCGATCTTCTTCCATCGTGTCGTCCGTGGCCGGCTTTTCGTTCGCACTCGGTTTGACAGGCGAGATTGGGTGTCGTGCTGCTGAGGGCGATGGTGTCGGCGTTCGAAAGTCTTCTCTTTTGGCCTGCATTTCTTTCGTCATCTCACCCAACATTCCTCGTCCCTTCAGCCCTTCCCAGCTGCCCATCTGACCCACTCTTCCCACTCCATGCCCGTCGTTCTCCATAACGACTATCCAGTCCGACTTCGGCAAGAGATCCAGCTGGTGGGTGACCATGATCCTGGTACGCTTGGCGAGTGGGCCGGAGAAGATGCAGTGCGAGAGGATTTGGTGAGTGACATGGGCATCGACGGCAGAGAGGGGATCGTCGAGGAGGATGACGGAGGAAGGGTGGTATGCGGCTCGAGCAAGGGATATGCGCTGGCGTTGGCCGCCCGACAAGAGAAGACCTTTCTCGCCGACGTTGGTGCTACATTGATAATCAGCTGCACTCCCGTGAAAGCAGCGAATGTGTCTTACAGATCACCGTTTGCCATGGCATCAATGTCGGATCGAAGAGCACAAGCATCGACGACAGTATTATACCTCGCCCAATCAATCTCCTCAGGTCTGGCAGAAAAGGTGATGTTATCCCGAACGGTCCCCGAATGAATCCATGGGTGTTGTGGTACTGCATGTCATGAGCATCCCACGGCCTCGTGTCGACAGAAAGAGCTCACCATAGCTTACAGACCCTCCGAAGACCGTATGTCCCTGTACCTGCTTCATCTCATTGATCAAGCCCGCCAACAGCGCACTCTTACCACTCCCCACCCTCCCTATAACGCACACCAACGCGCCTCTCGGGATCCTCATATCGACCCCCTTCAACATGAACGGCGTCTTCTCTTCCTTCTTTTCGTCCTGCGACCCTTCTTCCTCTTTCTTCTCGATGAGAAGCTTCTCAAACTGATAATCTCCCCTCACATCCACGGCCCACTTTGAATCCGCCCTCACATTGACTCCTTCCGGCAACTCCTCGCTCCTCAGCAGCTTGCCGATACGTCCAATACCGACGAGAGCGTCGGAGACGGCGGTGAAGCACATGGGTAGGAAGGCGATAGGCGTTTTGAGAACGTTGAAGTATTGGAGGCCGGAGAAGATGATCGATGGAGTAAGGGCATGACCAGTGAGACCGTACGTCACAAACGTCACTACAACGTGTCAGCAAACCAACCAATACTTGTATCGTGACTAGACTCACAGACAGCAGCCAAAGTCGGTATCACCGCCATTGTTGCATTCATACTCGCCCGATTGAATCCATTCTTCCTCAGATATATCAATTCCTTCTTCCTCAGCTCGGTGACTTTGTTCGAAAAGTAAGCGACGTAGGCAAAGAGCTTGACATAGCGGATGGAGGTAATGGTTTCAGAGAGGAGCCGGACACGAGCGTCGACATGGGTGAGCTGGGTAATACGGGTGCGGACCATGAGTGTGAACATGAAAGCTTGGAGAGGACCTGCTAGAGCAAGGACCTACGTGTCGAGTCAGTCTCAAGTCTCTTGTGCCGGGTCAAGCTTACCGCTACGCCGACGAGAGCAGAGTATCCCAAAGTCCATATGAGCAGCCCTAGACCGACCAAGATCTGGACCGGCTGCACAACTAGATCCAACGTCATTGGCGCCGAAAAGTCGAGGAAGGACGCGTCTGCCGATACCATGGTGGTCAATTTGCCGGACGTCATCTCGACTTTGGCGGAGCTTGACAGCTTCATCGATTTGCGAGAGATCAGATCGATCAACTGTGGTGGTATTATCACGTATCAGCATGCCTCTTGGGTTCAGCGGACGTACTGCAGCGCGCATCATAAAGCCAATCACAGACCCTCTCTGCAATGCCTGATACGAAAACAAGCTTGCAGCCTGCACCATAGCAAACAGCGCGAAAGACAATCCGATTCCGTACCCAATGGATTTGGGCTGGTCTGACGATTGACCGGTGTGGTATTGATGTGCGGTTGTGAGCTGCTCGATGAGGATCTTTGTGAGGAGAGGCGATGTGACTTGTAAAGCGGCTAGACGGACTGAGCATTTATCAAAGCGATGTCACATCAGGATGTTCTCACCAGCGCACCCTTTCATGATGACGGCTTTCCACCACGCCCACCAGACCGTAGCGTACATGGCCTTGATCAAGCTCATATCGTACTCTTTGCCATCCTCCACCGCGAGCTCGCCGTCTTCGATCCTCTTCGCCTTCTTCTTCCCATACTTTTTCACGATACCTCCTTCACTCTCCTCCTTGTCTTCGGACAGTAGCCTCATATCCTCCTCGGATTCATTCACCATAGTCAAAAGATGTGCCGAGTCGTGAGACACCGCATAGCCCTCAGCACCGTCGATCGTAAACATACTCTCCCGCGCCTGCTTGACGTACGCTCTTGATGAGGAGGTGTAATATCTCCCATGGCTGTTGCGGGAGGTGGTTCGCTGATGCCGGGGACGGGGGTACGAGGCTGATGATGGAGATGGATGTGATGGTGACACGCGCTTTGACGGAGGGGTGCGCTTGAGCAAATTAGCCCGTAGCTGATCGGCGATCTGCACATGTCTCATCAGCATGTAGTCCTTTTGATAGGGATTAGACTGACGTTTCTACACTCGAGGTCGCTAGTCAAGCTCCACAGATCTGCGTCCCATCAGCTAACCCATATCGTGTGCTGTAAAGAGCTTACCGTCAGGCTCGAGGGGCCGGGAGTAGCCAGCACGCATGACTGGAGTAGCCCAGTGGTATAGGATACGAGACACTATATTAGCTTTGGCTTCAGGAAGAGGCTGACCCTGGAAGACCCCGGGCGCTGCCGGCACAGGCTTGTAGAACGGGATCATGTTGCGGTGTCTGTAACAGCTCGTCGGTCTGAAAGAGAAGGCGAATTATCAGATAGGGCATTTTGGGGAATGAGCGCTGTATTTGTATGGCCTCACAATTGTAGGTCAGACGAGGAGGAGAAAGGATCGGCATACATCTGTTGCGAAGATCGACAAGTGACGGAAGCTCTGTCGGCCGAAAGATCCCTGGTTCCTCAAGCTCCTTTGTCGTCCAGGAAGGGTGAAAGACAGTGTCGGCGCTTCTGTCATGTGGGTGATTTATTTGCGAGACGGAAGAAGAGCTGTATTCACAGAACGACCTTTGAAGAGTGAGAGTAAAGGATCATAAGGCGGCGGTCTCCGCCTTCTCGTATCAATGATCAACCTAATTCGTTTGTTGTTTGGTTCCGGAGCCAAACAGCCGTGACAGTCTTGTTCCAGCAGCTGCCTTTGTACCACCCTCACCTCGCCCAGCCAATCCGTATCAGGTCACGTCTTCACTTCTCATAGGACAGATTGCCCGGAGGAGCTTTGAAGGATCAGGGAGCGATTGTAACGGCCAGGCTCCAGGTGGACGACGGAACTTGATCTTGAATGGAGGTCTGTATTACGTTAAAGCTCAAAGGTCAGCTGGAGTGGCTACGAGATGTTCGGAAGAAGTGGAGGTGTAGGTATCACGTTTGCGTACGTTTACGGTATACCATCAACTCAGGGAATTCAGCTCCACTTATTTAGACGTGACGGACCGGTTGGGCGCAACATGGCAAAGGTACATGTGGACAGCAAGAGAGTTCTCTATCGCAATACTTGTAGTAGCAAATTTAGCAGAGTATTATCACATGTATGTCCGTTCAAAGCGCACATGATAGGTATGCCATACATGAGTCATGTCCTAGACCAGACGCTATAATGAGAAAGTATCGTACTTATCTGTTGGGTGAGTGACAGAAACTCTATCGGCCGAGATTAATGGAGCCAAATAAATCTCCGTTGTCGTGCAGAAAGGATGTGTGGATGTTAGGCCAGCTGCTAGAATAAGAGTTGAAAGAGAATGTTGGACTCGGCGTGGACGAAAAAGAGGTCATGATTTGGTTCCGTTTTATTTACGTAAGTGTGTGGTGGCCCGCGCCGAAACCATGCCGAGTGCTTTCGAGGGGTGTTATGATCTCTATCATCTCCATCTTCTTTCCGTCGCATCTATATCTTCTATTCGTATTCATCGGTAGCTCAACTGCACCCTTAAGAACCACCGCGCCACTCAAAGTCACCCCTTTGCGCAAGGACCTGTCGTAAACGGCACTCGGCACCACCTCTATCGCCCTTCCGCGACTCGCACGACTACCTCAATCACATCGATTCACCTCTCCTCTCCCTCGGAGACCCTGAATTCAGACCACAAACCCTTTCATTATGGTGAGTAATGCGCCCAGGGCTGTCCTCTTCCCCAAAAGCGTCAACATGCTGACAAAATGCTCAAATGCTCCAGTCTACAGCAGCCAAGAGACGATTGATTCGAGACTTCAAGCGTCTCACTTCCGATGCTCCTGTCGGTATCTCCGGCAGTCCCAATCCAGACAACATTATGGTATGGAACGCAGTCATCTTTGGCCCTCGTAAGTGTCTTCGTCCTTGGCGGTGGCGATCTCGAGTTCCCACGCCATCTCCTCGTCCTATCCACGTGATCTTTGGCTGTGGCACATCGCTGACCTCTGTCATTCAGCGGACACACCATTCGAAGACGGATCTTTCCGCCTCACCCTCACATTCTCCGATTCATACCCCAACAAACCACCCACCGTCCGCTTCATCTCCAAAATGTTCCACCCCAACATCTACGCCAACGGCGAGCTGTGTCTCGATATCCTGCAGAACAGATGGAGTCCGACGTACGATGTGGCGGCAATTTTGACGAGTGTGCAGAGTCTGTTGAATGACCCCAACCCTGCTAGGTCAGTCATGGTCGGTCGTGAGCGCAGATGGGCGGTGCTGATGTATATATAGTCCTGCCAACGTCGATGCTGCTCAGCTCTTCAAAGAAAACATCAAAGAGTACGAACGGCGCGTCAAGGTATGTCTGTCATCCAATTCTTTGATCAGTGACTAATGGGAGTGCAGAAAACCGTCGAGCTCTCGTGGTTGGACAACACCGATGACTTGGAGGAAGCGACAGGAGGGGACGAAGACGCCTCGTGAGAGCTCCCTAACCTCAGAGATTAGATCTGAGCTTGTGATGACAGAAGGGGGCTGGAAGAGGTTGAAGGACGAGTTGTATGAATTGGAGGTTCTAGAGCGGGAGAGACAGATACCCATCATTGCCCTTAGGCTGCGCAGCGTCTTGTATCACATCCGTAGCCTTTACATGCTACTCATTTGCTCAACATACACGTGCAATCAATCCTATACATTGTATATGCGTACAACAATACTGCTATAACCACAAAGGTGAGACATCTAAGCAACAACAAGGACTTGCCCCTTGTCATCTAGCAACGTCAACCGAGCTTTCTCCATAAACATCACCCTCGTCTTCTCAATCTCTGCCTCAATCTCCTCCCTCTTCCTCTTCCTCACCTCCTTTCTCGCATCCCTGCCCTTCTTCGCCTCCCTCCTCGCCTCTTCTTTCTTCACACGCCTCTTCAACCTCTCCCGCACCTCCATCGGCCCACCCTTCTCCTCCCACGTCCCCAGCTCATAATCATCCCCATCTTCCGACAACGTCGCAGGGTCAGGTGGTGGTTCCGGTACAGGCCAGGTAGGGTCGAGCAGTGAATAGTCTTCCGCCGGTACCCACGTACGGCAAATGGCCATCCTTAGCGACAGCGCACGTCTGGCATCGCACCAGATCTTCAAACAATCGCCCATCTCTGCTTTGACGCTCTTCTTTCCCGCTGTCGCATCTGGCACTTCCACATGCAGCCCTTCTCCTTCTCTTCTTCTTCCTTCTCTGACGTCGCGCCGGCTCCACCAATCCAAGTTTCCACTCTGAACCGCCCAAGACAGCGGCCCGAAGCAGCCTTTGGTGTCGTCTTGCCAGGAAGGGATCAACCATTGTTGGATGAGATATTTCAAGCGCTGGGGCGTCCAGTAGATCGTGCTGGCACTCTGACCCTTCTTCGCGACCAAAGACGCAGAGTCAAGTGCGAGTACACCAGACGAAGGGATAAGCTGTCTCGGTATTGTGGGGGCGTTCTTTGGACTACCGCCTGCAGCCGATACGGGAGGGACGAAAGGTTCGAGAGGATCGTTGATACCAGGTATGTGTACCGGCCCATGGACAGGGATGACCCAACACACCCTAGCCCAAGGTCGTTTCTGAATATAGTGATCGAGATTGGGGTGGTAGGGATGATACGGCCACGTTGAAAGTTGTGAGGGAGGGGTATAAAGCGGCACGAGGGCGGTTTGTGGATACTTTTGATGAATCAGAGGTCCGCGACTATGGGGCTGTGAAGGTGTCAGGACCAAACAGAGATCAAAGCAGATGGTACACACCTTGATAATCTTGTCTACCCGACCATAAACTGGGTCAGAAGCGTACTGCTCTCGCCACCATGCACTGCGACGCTTCGCCACATCTTCACGACCTAATTCCATCGAGACGGACGCTTCCGAGCCTTGCGATTTGCCGTCAACCTGGGCAGTTGCCGTGGCTCCGGCTCGGGGTGGAGGCGAGGCCATTCGCGAAGGGGCACTCAGATCTCTTGCAGGCAAGAGTCTCTCCCAATCGTCCTGGACGTCCTTCTCAACAACAGGCAAAGGGGCAATCTGCGCCGGCATGGCGGTCCAGCACTCCTCAAACTCCTCCATCTCGTCCAGCGTCATATCCAGATCCTTATCAAGACCTTGTGTCCATCCTGAGAGGTTGGCGCCGACTTTCGGGATGTGGCTTGGTTTCGGGTGGGGTGGTAGAGGTGGAAGTGTGCGGTGTTGAGGTGGGGAGTGGGCGAGGGTGTAGCGTTTGGCATAAGCTTCCACAGAGCCTGTGAGACGTCAGCGATACACCCAAGCGCCCGGACAACAAGCACCTACATATACAAGGATGGACAAGAGGCGCCGACAACCACATCACATTCTCTTCGAGAGGCTTGCCCTTCCCTTTCCCTTTCCCATTCCAGCCTCGCCGCTCCATAACTCCCTCCTTCTCCTTCCTCATAGCTTCCACCAAAACCTCCTCTCCGGCCACATACCAGTCCCCCGCTTCAGTCTCATCCAAAGACGTTCCCTGGGGCAGGGCGATACGTATAGTGAGCTGCTCAGGGTCGGGCAAGGAAGCAAGCGATATAGCGGTTTGTTGCGATTCGAAAGTGCCGATTGATACCGATGGCATGGGAGACACCCTGCGGGTAGGGCGAGATGGCCCAGCAACAGGCTGCAGCCTATCTGCCCAGCCACCCCCTCCCACGAGCGGTCTATCGTATCTCGCCGACCCAATACTCGCGACATCTTCTTGCACACTTTCCACGCTCTCCGTCTGACTCTTCAAAATCCTCTGCTCTACCGTCTTCGATGACTTTCTCATGTACCCTGTTACTGCCACTCTTGGTACTTGGCTGCATTTCCGGTCGACTGGCCGAGCGGCTGGCGGGTCGGTGGGAGCAGTGGACCCGGGCGACGGGCGACTTCTCTTGGTGGGGGTGCGGGCTGCCGGGGGTCGGGTGCGGGTCCTGCTGGACATGGGCGCCCTTGCTGCTCGGCTTGAGTCTTGTGAAGATGGCGATGGACGTGGAATAGTCGTGGATATGTGAATGAGTGATGCGGTCCGTCGGTCTTTGTATTTTTGTAATGATTTTCTGGCAAATTGTAATGGCCAATTGTAACGAGCATTGGAATAAGACGCATATATTAGCATTACACGACGCATCTCTCGTCTGGAAGCTATGTGACAGGTGACTAAGTGTGCATAGACGCGACACGCTGCTAAGAACGTGATCGGGTGTCTGACTGGACAGAATTCGCATTCTGCGTCAACAAGAATGGATGGAGAGCGAGACCGAAATGTGCTATGGTCTGGGAGGGTGTCCCGACGGCGTTTGGTATGTCAATCATGCTTTGATCATGCTACTCCTGCCATCTGACCGTGTCCTAGCCCTGCATTACCCTTATGTCGTCGCCTTCGAGCCCACGTTCATGGAGGTCCACCATGTCGAGACTGGGCATCTCGTCCAGATCATTCCCGACAACAACATCCGGTGCCTCTTTGCCGATACCCCTCCTCCATCCCAAGTCAACGCCCCTTCCCCTCCCGACCGTATGTACCCCGGTCAAGCTGAAGGAGCATACGGCCGTCACCCGATCATTCCCGGCAACAACATCCGGTGCCTCTTTGCCGATACCCCTCCTTCTCGAGTCAACGCCCCTCCCCCTCCCAACCGTATGATGTACCCCGGTCAAGCTGGAGGAGCATACAGCCGTCCCCCGCCCCACCCCGGATAACCCTACCCTCCCAACACTGCAGCCTACCCTCACGCCCCGCCTTGTGGCAGAGGCTACTGCCCCAACGCGCCTCTTACCCCCGGCGCGCGCCCTCGCCCGCCTCCCCAAATGGGCGGATACCCCGTTCCCCATCCGCATCAGCAGGCTCCGCCGGTGTTTGTGAGCGACGAGAGTCATGTGCAGTTTCCCAAGTTCCCTCCGCCGCCGCCTACGCCGGCACCGCAGGGGCAGAGAGGGAGTCTAGGTGCGCAGATTACGACGAGTCTCGCGGGCAGAGATCTCAATAGTTCTCTCACCACAATCAACACCTGTCGCGCTATACTAGATACAAACAGTAATACATGATACATGATAGGTTTCTTTCATTTGGCATCCACAATATGCATAGTCTTTGACGCGACAGAGTCCAGAGCATCACCGACTCAGTAGGAAGCAAGCTCATTGTCACGTTAACGACTGGCTGCCAGATGCAGCAAGTCCATACAAGTGGACGCTAAGCAAGAAACGCATCATGCTACTCCTCAACGCATCATATAAATATGGTATGAGATGATAATGAGAAAAGATTGTCGCCGGTGCGAAGAAATCAGACTGGATTACACGACTTTTCCCGTTTCCGTACCCCTCTTGACTTGTTGAAACCCCTTCCCTTTAGCGTAGCGAGCTATATCGCAACTTGTCCGTCCTACATGAATAACTGATGTTAGCAATGGACGAAAATCCACTACTTGGTCAAGACAATCACTTGCCTTGTTGAACATTGCTCGCAACACAGACAGGGGTCCCGGCCTTGAAGAATCTGACGGTACCCTCGGCAGGTCTCGTGTGGCATCCGCTACTCCCTGTAGTTCCTGCGCGAAGATGGTCAGCATTGTTATCGTCTCTAGATCAACCCCAGAGCAAATCCACGCTAGACTTACTACATCTTCCATGTTCAGCAGTCGCGTCTCGGAATCCTTTATCGGAAAATTCGGCGGAAACACATAATACTCACAGTCCGGCACTACATCCCCCAGCATCTCCATCAAGGGTTTCGTGCGCAGATGAGAGATGAGCTCGAAGATGTCTTTGACGGCGTAGATGAAGAAGGGAGAGGGACAGTGCGAATATCGGCTGGATGATGTGGCGCTGCTTGGTGTGGGACGCCATGGAGTGTTGTTCCTCGCATTCACAATGGCTTCCCAAGTTCGGGGTACATGATGCGCGGCTTCCCAATCGACGAGCATCTCCATTGCGAGGCCTAGCTGCTCTGTAGCAAGTCGGATCAGTATACGTATATTTGTTTCACATCGGGCTGCCTACGCACGCTGATAACATTGAAACTACGCGAGATTGCAGTCAGTACCAACAGCGATGTAATTCGGCTCGACTTACGCGCACAATAAAGCCATCCATGTCCTTATAGAGAGAGGAGTAAGGGCCGGTGGCGGCAAATGCGCAGTTGGCCTTGATCCACCTCATGAGAATCGCGCCGTTCGTTGTAGTCGCCCAAGCTTTGCATAGGTGCAGCCGCAGAATCTGCAAGGGTTGGTCAGGCCTACGTCGGAAGAGGTCGTAAGACTCGGGAAGGAAGTCTTTGCTTACAGGTGATTCCCAGGGTACTGGCGATCTGATTTCCAAGAAATAGAGATTTGCCGGTCGTCTCGGACCTCGTGTCGCAGATGACCGGGAGAATTTGAGCGCCGGGGTGGAGCTCGGGGGTGGAGGGAGGTCGGAGTAGATGGAGAGGAGTTGGGAGGGAGGGAGAAGGTGCCGGGAAGGGGGTGGGAGGGAGGTGAAGAGAGGTGGACGAAGACAGTGGCCGGGGTGAGGGAAGGGGCCGCAGGATGCATGTATATAATGGAATCTTGTGTGCAGTAAACACTCAAGACAGGCAAAGACAAGATCAGAGTCATGCTGCAGAAGTATTTCTCGAAGGCTCACTGAAATCAAGACCAGCCCACTGAATGACACGACTGGGTTCTCATTTACGTCCTCTCCCAAAACGGTGTGGCATCTAGGACGGCGCCGCTGTACTAAAGTGTGACTTGTCGGTCCTACATGAATACTCGGTGTCATCATGGATAAATATCCGGTCCTCGGTCAAAGTCAGCCACTTGCCATATTGAACATTGCTCGCAGCACAGATATGGTTTTCGACCTCGGAGGATCTGTCGGTACTCTCGGCACACTGTTTGCGGTACCCGCTGATCCCTTTTCTCCCTGTTCCCAGGTGATAAGTATCGTTTATTGCCTCAAGATCAAACCCAAGGCAAATGAACGCCAAACTTACCTCATTTTCTTCTACATTGAGCAATCGCGTCTCCGAATCCTTTATCGGAAACCCCGGGGGAAACGCATACGACTCACAATCCGGCACTACATCCTCAACGTCTCCATCAGCGATTCCGTCTGTAGGTAAGGGATGATTCTGGACTGGTCTTTGACGGTGTAGATGAACAGAGGAGAGTGGCTTGGCGGATATCGCGGGCTGGTGCTTGGTTTGAGACGGTACTTGTTGTTGAAGGTGTAGGTCCTTGCGTCCCCGATGGCATCCCAATTTTGGGGTACGTGGTGTGCGGCTTCCCAGTCGAAGAGCATCTCCATTGCGAGGTCTAGCTCCTCTTCAACAAGTCGGATCAGTATACTCGTACCATTATCTCTCTTCCACGATGGGTTTGACCCACACTGATAACATTGGAACTGGAGATTGCAGCTCAGTACCCCCAGCGCCAGCAATGTAAGAAGACACCGCTGTCGAGCAAGTCCCTCCCCTCGAATACTGGGCCCATGGAGAATACATAGACTTCTCACTTTTCGGGACTTGGCCTCACCTTCGTGCTGGCTACGCCCATGAAGGTAGATGCGTTGCTCGCGCGAGCGGCCAAATTTGGCTAAGCTGGGGCGCTGGGAAGAGGGTAGGTGTCGGGGACGGGAGAGCTGAGTGCTGGAAGTTTAGTATCATGTAACTCATGGACATTCCTTTCTAGTATGATGTAACATATGGACATTCCTTCACTCATGGATAACAGGCTTGTCTGATTGCAGCGTGGACGCGGCGTAGAAAGACCGTGCGCATGGGTTCGGCGTCGGCCTCAGGCGTCTTAATTGTTCTGCTCTCGTGTCGGGGTCTATGGCCGAGTCTGACCACAGATGCGACATCTCTAGGTGTAAGTATCGGGTACCACTCGAGAAGCAGTAGCCAGCTTGTGAACATAATGGAAGAAAGAGTAGAGAAGCCAAGTCTGCACGAATCGTTTTCATGGTCGTTATGCGGATCCCTCCACATGTCTGTACCTCTGTCGGCCCACTAGCCCTCCCCCGCCCCTTCAGCAGTAATTCCCTTCGTAAGAGTCCCAGCAGCACTACCCCCCATCTTGCCCATGTTCGCCAGCAAGCCCTGGAACTGCCCAGTCTGTCAGCTAGACGTTTCAGTACGCTCGGCGTGGGACTTACAAAGTTGTGCAACACTTCTTTAGGCATAGCAGGTGCCGGCGCCCCCGGCGCAGCTTTCCCATTCTTCCTCCCCAGCCTCGCAGACTTGTCCTTCGACTCTTCTTCCTTCCCATCATCTCCCTCTCCAATCCGACCTTCCATCTTCTGCATGACCTTATTGAACACCAGGCAAGCTAAAACCAGAGGGAACGTTGGAGGACGAGGTGGCGGAAGCGGCGTGTCGGAAACATTGGCGGGAATCTGGGTTGGGGCCTCTCATGAGGAGGTCGAGTAGACGGGAAAGGAAGTTTTGGGAGGGCTCGGTGACTGTTGTAAGGTTGGCAGAGATTGCGGGGGAGGAGACGCGAAGGAGGGGAGAAGCGCCTGCAAGAACTCTTCGAGAGGTTCTCCATCATCCTCTTCAGGCTCTTGACCCGCAGACTTGGCAATATACTGGCTCAAGCGGACTTTCCAACCCTTCTCCACCAGTGCGGTGTCGGAACCATCTCTCAAAACATCGATCTTGCCCCAACTATCCCATCCGCTGGGTACCATGACAGCAACTCTGTCAAGTACGTTGGCTCGGTGGTTGAATGGGAATTTGGTGGAGCCGACGATGGCGGGTGCCGATACGTTGGGGAGGCTGGTGGCGGAACCAGTGGAGACGGGACGGATGCAGTCTGTGAAGGAGATAGCTCTTCAGGAAAGCGTATGTCGTAGGCTGGCGGGGGACAGTGTAGAACAGAGCGATGCCGTCTACTTCGATGATCAATATGATAGTCAATGAAGATGGGATGAACATACAGGCCAAACAGATAGTTCTCAGTGCCTGCTATCTTTTCTTCTCAGTGTCACCTTTCACTCCCACATCCTCGGCAGAAGAATCCATGCGATCGGTCTTCGCAAACCACAACGATAGGAATTCCCGAGCTGTGATATCGTCAGTGTGCTTCCAACGCGTGACGTTGGGAGAGGACGAACGCGTTAAGTACCAGAGCCAAGTGGTAACAGAGGCCCGACACCAGCGTACGCGGTCATACCAACAATGGCGGGTGACGGCTCGGTATAGTGCTGCAGTTGTGATTGCACTACTCGTTGTCAGTCTTCATGATTCTTTCGAGATGGGGTTGACTCACGTCTCTCATGCAGCTCTTCTACCTCACCCCCCTCGCCTGCCTCGGATGCCCATGTCTCTACCCATGAGAGCCATGTTAATAGGTCTTGGAGCTGCCCATGTATGCAGTTAGTATACGACATCATCCGTGAAGAGGTCAAGCTCACCATTGACTGTAGTTTTATCCAAAACAGAACTATGACGAGGGCAGTATCCTGTACACCAATGAGTCAGCGCCCAGACACGTTTGTACGAGGGGAAAACCAACCGAGAGAGGATTTGCGGGCAAAGCACTGGGGACGGGCCTGAGCAGGTTTCGGATGCGACGAAGGAGGATAGAATACCGAGAGCGGCGGCGCCGAATCTACAAGCTGTCAGCGACCAATCCACCATGCAAACTGAAAAGAGCTCACCCTCATCCTCCACAACTTCAATCACTTCATATACCAGGGCAAGACCATTCCTGCTCCTTCTCTCTTGTCCGGACTGGGCAGCTCCGGCAGCTTGGGTTTGTGGTTGCGCTGGTTCGGCCAGCTTCTTTCTCCGAGAACAGGCGGTCAGCTGGGAGAGGAGGTGTGTTCTTCCGTGATTCCTTTCTGCCGATAGTCTCAAGTCAGGAGGAGATCAAATAGGAGGGCGAACAGTCAACACTTGCTGCAATGAGTAACGAATGGTCGTTGAATGGTCGACATGTCAGTCTTGCAGTGTGTCAGTCTCTTGCGGTCTTCGCCGAGACCGGTGGCAGCAAGGTGGCAGTTGGGTGGCAGTTGGGTGGCAGTCATCTTCTGGTTGTCTTCCATCTTCATTACTTCGTTGCTGCATATCACCCTGCACTTCTTCTCGCCATTCTTTTCTATCTATACATACATATGTCCAGACAAGCCGACATGGTAACTCATCTACTCCCAGCTACTCGCTGAGCACTCGCGCTGACCGACGCCCCATAAAAGAGCCTTCAAGTCCTTATTCATGTGGAGGCCTATAGATAAACAGATTCCATCAGGGCCCATGATGTCTGCTGAATACGATTCATACCGCCAGATATGGGGGCCGATAGTGACTGATGTACGTGAGCAAAGCGGCGTGTGGTACCGGCTGACATGTGATGTTGCAGCAGCTTGGAAACTCGTAATTTACAACACCACCACCACTTTCCTTCACCCGTTCTTTCTTGATCGCTCTCGACGTGGCCGCCATTGAGATGCCCTAAGACCGGAATGCCTGAAGACGGAAGCCGACTTTGGAAACAAGGCGAGGCAAGGTAGAATCGACATAGCTACAGGTACTTCGTGCCTACCTAGCTGCTATTCACGCGCTTGTCCTCTTCCAGCGCCGGATAGACGAGATCGATCGCAGCCATGGGTGAGTTCTCCTACGATCTGCTCTGTCTTGAATGCCAATGTCCAACCAGGTTTCGAGAACGGATAAGCGCCCGAGCAGTCGTCCATGCGCTTTGGGGCGGTCGGGAGGATGGCAGCACCGCCAGGTCTTTGTACACACCGACAATTCGGTCTGCGATACCATGGCCATCCCAGGAGCTCCTCCGCTGCTTGTAGCTCGCAGCGGCGCGCGACAGGTAAGCCTTTCCCTACCATGTGGCTTCCCAGCAAGGACAATGCACTCGCTGACGCCTTGTCTCGTCATCAGTGGCCCGAGGTTTGTCGCCTCGACCGCCCGGCCTTCTGGGCAGCCCTGCGATGGCGTCAGTCCCTCCATCTCCCGCCGTCATCTTCGACCGCCGTCTCCCACCCACCCACCCACTTCCTGGCCGGTCCTACGTTACGTCCCAAATTATATACGAATGTTACTGTCAATCCTCTTGCATCTTTCCGGCCACTACCGCGTCCCCCTTGAACTGGATAGCCTCGATAGCACTGCCCATCCACTGTCCGTTTCTACGTCGCGGGCGTACGGGCCTATCTTGTCAACTTCGGCTTCACCCACGGGGGCTTCAACGACCCCCTCTTTGCCCGCATTGTTCGGGGTCACCACCACACCGGCTCAGCAAAAGATTCCCCTGCTCGTCACCTCTGTCATCTCGTTCACCCAGCGCGTGCTCTCCTATCTCCAAATCCTCGGCTTTGAGCATGTCTCTGTCCGGCTCGCCATCAGCAACGAGGCGATGCTGGAATCTGCCGAGAGCTGGCAGCCCGATATCGGGCTGTGCCCCTTCTTAACCAAGAAGCTGTCACCGAGCATCCACAACACGGTGGGTCTTCTTCCTTGTCACCGCTTCTTGCCTCCCCTTGCCAGGGACTGCTTGCATCAGCCTGGACACTGGGAGCAGGCCGCAGGAACAGCCCCGCGCTCGTCTCTGCCATTGGGCCTGTTTCAGAAAATGTTTCCAAGAAACCTTGAGCTGACGAGTCACCATCAGTTTTCTTCCCTCGACATGCAAAACCCACAGTGGATCACCCTCGTTGTCCCCCCCGGCCTCCCCGGCAATGCTGGCCCCTCCTCCCTCGACTGGGATCTGCTCGGCGGCAACGGCGCCGTCCCCTTTTCTACCGACCTCCTCCCTGCCCTCCTCTCAACCCTCCCCAGCCCTGTAGCCCAGCGGCCACACTGGGGCACGATCTGCTTCCAGGCCACCGAAGATCTCGATGACGGGGCTGTCGGGCCGCCCTCCCTCCCATCTGCTCTGTCACCAAAGCTGGCGTCTACCAGAACCTCCACTCGCCTGCTGTCGTGACGGCTGTCATCACTGCTCTCATCAGGGTGTATGGAAAGACTGCGGGTATGGATAAGGCAGAGTGGATGAATGTCGCGCCGGAGAAGGGCTAGCAAGAGCTGAGCGTCTCTTTGGGCGAGAGGTTTTTGGGCGGAAAGACGCACGAGAGGCCGTTGCTCCAGTTTGCCAAGCGAAAACCGGACTGGGAGGAGCATACGGCTGAAGATGTGCTGAGGATCCTCAAGGCTAGCAACTCTCAGCCGGGCGCTATGCTGCACCCTCTTACGTCTGACGCCAAGGCGTCGCTCTTTGCGTATGGCGCCCATCTCCACTAGACGGCCGTCACCCTCCCCTCGTCGCTCTTTACTGCCCTGGGCTTTACTCCATTCGAACAAGTACCCTCAGGAACGCCCATCGCCACAAGACTTGGTGCCGTCCTGTTCAAAACTGCCCAAACGCCCACTTCGACCGCTGCCATCTGGATCACTCATAGCCGTGTACCCCGGGGCAAAGACAAGCCCATCAACCCCAAGATCCCCATGGCCGAAGCTATCCAGCTCGCGGGGCACGGCAAGATCCTGCAGAATGTGCAAAGAGACGTGGGAAGAGAGGGAGGGTGAGTGGCAACCACTAGATTAGATTCTGTTTAAGGTCCCAAGACCTTGAAAACCCCCTTGTGCATGCATGAAAACCCATTTCAAGGGGCAGACAGCTCCTTATGGTCGTTTGATAACGACGCCATTCCCACTTTTGAACTTGAGAAGGTTTGCCGTGGCTTGGATGCATTAATCAAGTCATGAAAACTGTCGCCAAGGTGCCGCTGGTATCGCTGGCTCACGCAACCCTCAATACATATCACAGGCAGACGGCTGTAGCAAGCCTGGAAGCTGGCGAGATACTTTGCTCTGCATTCTTTATTCTACTTGTACATGATATCCTACCCGCACCCGAAGATTTAAGGGCCCAGGACCCCGTGAAGACCTCCATACCTCGCCTCCGCCTGGGACCACAGCTTCTTGTGCGCCTTCTGCTTACGCACGAAGTTGTTCAGCTGAGATAAACTTCGATGCGGTAGAAAGGGCTCACGACCTATAGTAGTCCTCGATGAGCTTGGGGGGAAAAGACATACCCTTGAAGTATCCAGAGATCTTGAGGTACTGTCCCACGAGGTGGAGCTTGTCGCCTTGATCGATAGACGGTCGGTCCGAGAGGAGGTACATGACTGTTCCAGCGGGGCGTCAGCCGAGGATGTGAGGTCGGAGTCCATAGAGCCAGCGTTGTCGTTGGGGCCAGGGTATTTGGGCATGTTGTGAGAGAGTCTCTGTGAGTTCTGCGTGTGGTTATGGTCAGGTGGGATATCAGTAGTAGTACTTTACGAACGGAACGAAGGCGAGAATGATAGAGTCGGGGGGCTATATCGATCTATATTTATTCATGGCGGGCGGCCTTGAGACGCCAAGTGTGTGGAACATGAGCCCTGCACTTGGAAGAGTGCCACCGTGCGCGAGCAAGGATAGAAGATGTGCAGGCCCCAACTGACGTAACGTCCGTACCATATCCAGTCATACCGACTGACGTACGTACACGTACGTAATACGTACTCATGTATGTACATCTAGCCAAGTGGGATTGCCAAGGGCAGGACAATTCAATCAAGGCCAAAATAATGTAAGACGGTTGTTGGAATGCACTTGAAAACGATTTCGCGCCTTGAAAACACAGAAAATATTAATTCTGCACATATTTGATCCCGCTTGCAAGCCTTCGACTTGTTGCCACCTGCGTGCGTGCCGCATTCCTGTTGTTCTCTTTTTGTTCTCTTTTTTGTTCTCGTCCATCCCCATATCCGCCGTCGCCTCTCTCCTCCCATACAACAGCGTGTACCAACACCCACTTCTCCATGGCCGATGCAGGCCCCTCTACGCAGACGGGGGGACCGACCGCTGTCCCGCAACCGTGAGCACCTGGGTACTGTGTGTGTTGATTACTTTCTAATCGTCCTTTAGAGCGGACCAAACCCCTTACTCTATCATCGCGCTCTCAGAGATCTTTGGCTCCATCAATCCTCCTATCGCCACTGCCACAGCATCGCGCGCCGGCTCTACACGACGCAAACGCAAAGCCCCCGCGCGCGCCGGCTTTGCACCACGCACAAGCAAAGCTACCGCAGTCCCTCCCCACTCGCAATCTTCTGTCGTCAATGCGCACCCCTCCCGTCTCGGCCATCCCGCGAATGCGAGTCTCGGAGGTCCTCTACGGTTGGTCCCGTTCAACCTTACGATCCGCCACCGCTACCCCAACGGGTTCAAGATTAACCCATACCGCACTGTAAACAGAGTGTTGATGGGTTCATACTGGACCGATTGCTATCCCAGGATCCCAAACGAACCTCATTTCCAAAGCGAACACATCGTCCCTTATGTCCGTAAATTCTATGTTCATCCCGAGGCTGCTGAATACTCTACCACCTGGAACACGAACGTGAACTTCCTCGACGATCCTTTCTATATCGATTTGGGGATGAAGTTCACGGACTTGGAGATTGTACAATCTGTCAGGGATCATGACGCCGAGTTGCAAGTGAGTAGTTTCGCTTGTGCCCCGGAAATCGTCGCTGATCAGCTTCCAGTCATCCCAAGGTACATCCCAGGCTACATCCATGATGTCGAAGAAGTTTGGCGGCATAAAGCCAGATGTCTGTCTAACAGGGTATCACATTGGAAATCTCGCGGAAGGGACGTATAGAAAAGAGCCCGTGGGAGGCGGAAAGTTGAGACATACCGATGACCCCCAACAAGTCCTCTACGCTATCATCGAGGTCAAGTGGGTCCCTTGGCCAGGAGCAAGTAAGCTCGATCTACAAGGGAAAATCGATCTACACCTCAAAGGCCTCCAATTCGCAAACATGGAGGCTATCATGCAGACAATCTACTACAGCCTACTTGGTTATGACGTCTCAAAGTGTCGTTCGGCTATCGCATGGGCCAACGGGGATTATACTCGTATCCTGAACCTGTCCGATCTCCCCACAGAAGGAGAGGGGGCAGTCTTGGGCGGTGGCCAGAGAATCTTGGTCGAAGCCGATCCAGCTCTTGTCGTCAAGTTGAGGAACCGCCGCTTTGGTCGCCTGTCTGCAAAGGATTTTGGCGATCTTGCGGCAGGAAATCATCCCGTTGGTACTGGTATCCGGTGGAAAGTACCGAATTCCCTCATCGCAAATTATGAGCACTGGAGCTTGAATCAAGAGGCCAAGGAGCGCCTCGATGCCACCATCTATCTGAACCTTGCCCTTGCTACTCGACATCCAGAGGACGGTCAAAATCCTCCTATCAGCCACCATCCCCTTACGAACGTCATCGGCGCGAACGTCTCCAGAAAAGAGGCATATCAGTGGCTCCTTTTCAGCAAGAAGATGAGAAAACGCCGCCCGCCGCCACAAAAATTGCCGAAGACAGCTGCTTCGGCTGCGAATGCCGCTGTTTCTCATCCCCAGAATGCTGCTCCGGCTGCGAATGCCCCTGTTTCTGATCCCCAGGGTCAGGATGTCGGTGAGGAGAACGCCAGTGGATCCGGGGATGACGATGATGACGATGATGAGGAGGATGAACAGGAGGAGGAGGAAGAGGAGAAGTGCCACCATCTATCTGAACCTTGCCCTTGCTACTCGACATCCAGAGGACGGTCAAAATCCTCCTATCAGCCACCATCCCCTTACGAACGTCATCGGCGCGAACGTCTCCAGAAAAGAGGCATATCAGTGGCTCCTTTTCAGCAAGAAGATGAGAAAACGCCGCCCGCCGCCACAAAAATTGCCGAAGACAGCTGCTTCGGCTGCGAATGCCGCTGTTTCTCATCCCCAGAATGCTGCTCCGGCTGCGAATGCCCCTGTTTCTGATCCCCAGGGTCAGGATGTCGGTGAGGAGAACGCCAGTGGATCCGGGGATGACGATGATGACGATGATGAGGAGGATGAACAGGAGGAGGAGGAAGAGGAGAAGGAGGATGAAGAGGAGAAGGAGGATGAAGAGGAGAAGGAGGATGAAGAGGAGAAGGAGGATGAAGAGGAGAACGACGGCGGTGGTGCTCCTGGTCCCGGAGGTGATCCTCCTGGTCCCGGCGGTGATGCTTTTGGTTCCGGCGGTGATGCTTCTGGTCCCGACGGTGATGCTTCTGGTCCTGACGGCTACAATCTCCGATCGAGACGCAGGGACGATGACAATCAGGAGTCGTCTAGTAAAAGACAGAAAAGGGCCGATGGATCTGGTGAGTTCTCGGCTTCGTCTCGATGGTGCTCTAGTCTGACTTAAATCTAGGACCGAACGAGTACTTGCCCCCCTCTCCTGTATCACTCCCACTCGCTCCACCTCCGTCTTCCTTTTCGACAATATCCTCACTTTTCAAAATTGAACATCCAGTCAATGTAGAGAAGTGGTGTTTGTCTGTCAAACAGAAGGCTTCTACTAATCGTACATTCATCGATACGGCCATCCCTCTCAATCCCCCCTCTTACACCACTGCCGAGCAAGTCCTTCCCGTCGAATACTGGACTCACGGAGAGTACCTTGACTTTTTCTCGGGGCTTGGCCTAACCATCGTGCTGGCCACGCCCGTGGAGGTCGATGTATTGCTCGCGCGGGCAGCCAAATTTGGCTGGGCTGGGGCGCTGTGAGGAAGGTAGGTGTCGGGGATAGGAGAGCCGGGTGATGGACTTAGTATCATGTAACCTGTGTACATTTTGTTCTAGTATCATGTAACCTGTGTATATTCCTTTCTAGTATCATGTAACCTATGGACATTCCTTCACTCATGGATATCAGACTTGTCCGATTGCAGCCTGGACGCGGCGTAGAAAGACCGTGCGCGTGGGTTTGGCGTCGGTTTCAGGCGTCTCAATTGTTTTACTATGGTGTCGGGGTCTATGGCCGAGTCTGCCCACAGATGCGACATCTCTAGAATCAAGCATTGGGTACTACTCAAGAAGCAGTAGCCAGCTTGTGAACATAATGGAAGAAAGAGTAGGGAAGCCAAGTTGGCGCGCATCGTTTTCAAGGTCGTTATACGGATCCCTCCACATGTCTGTCCTCTGCACATCCGCCTACTTGCCTTCCCCCGCCACATCAGCACTGATTCCCTTCGTAGGAGCCCCAGCAGCACTACCCCCCGTCTTGCACCTGTTCGCCAGGAAGCCCTGTAACTGCCAAGTCTGTCAGCTAGGCGTTTCAGTACGTTCGGCGTGGGACTTACGAAGTTGTACAACGCTTTGTTAGGCATAGCAGGTGCCGGCGTCCCCGGCGCAGCTTTCCCGTCCTTCCTCCCCGGCCTCGCAAACCTGTCCTTCAACTCTCCCTCCCCAATCTGACCTTCCATCTCCTGCATGACCCATCAAACACCAGACAAGCTCAAACCCTCGGCAGCACCGCCCATAGGTCCCACGGCGGTATTGCCGAACCCACTCGCGCCGGGATTGGTAGCAGAGGGAACGTTGGAGGATTAGGTGGCGGAAGCGGCATGGCGGAAAGGTTGGCGGGGGTCTCGGTTGGGGTCTTTGATGAGGAGGTCGAGTTGACGGCAAAGGAAGATTTGAGAGGACTCGGGTAACTGTGGTAGAGTTGGCAGGAGATTGCGGGGGAGGAGACGCGAGACACGAAGGAAGGAAGAAGCACCTGCCAGAACTCTTCGAGAGGTTCTCCATTATCCTCTTCAGGCTCTCGACCCGCAGACTGGGCAATACATTGCTCAAGCTGACTTTCCAACCCTTCTCCACCAGTGCGGTGTCGGAACCATCTCTCAAAACATCGATCTTGCCCCAACTATCCCATCCGCTGGGTACCAAGACAGCATCTCTGTCAAGCGCGTTGGCTCGGTGGTTGAAGGGGAATATGGTAGAGCCGACGATGGCGGGTGCGGATACGGTGTTTGGGGAGGTTGGCGGCGGAATTAGTGGAGGCGGGACGGTATACAGTCTGTGGAGGAGATAGCTCTTCAGGAGAGCGTATGTCGTAGGCTGGGTAGGGGCAGTGTAGTACAGAGCGGCGCCATCTAATTCGATGATCAGCATGATAGTCAATGAAGATGGGATGAACATACAGGCCAAACAGACAGTTCTCAGTACCTGCTGTGCTCGATCTGTCTTTTCTTTCCAATGTCCACCTTTCACTCCCACATCTTCGGCAGCATTATCCATATGATCGGTAGTCGCGCACACCACAACGATAGGAATTCTCGGGCTGTGATATCGTCAGTGTGCTTCGAACGCGTGACGTTGAGAGATGACGAACGCTTTGTGTCAAGGTACGTGAGCCAAGTGGTAACAGAGGCCCGACACTAGCATACGCTGTCGTACCAACAATGGCGGGTGACGGCTTGGTATAACGCTGCGAGTGTTGCACTACTCGTTGTCAGTCTTGATGATTTTTTTTTCGATATGGGGTTGACTCACGTCGCTCATGCAGCTCTTCTACCTCACCCCTGTCGCCTACCTCGGATGCCCAATTCTTTACCCATGAGAGACATGTTGATAGCTCTTGAAGCTGTCCATGTATGCAAGTAGCCTACGACATCATCCGTGAAGAGGTCTAGCTCACCATTGACTGTGGTTTCGTTCAGTCCAGAACTATGACGACGGCAGTATCCTGTACACCAATGAGTCAGCGCCCAGACACGTTTGTACGAGGAGAAAACCAACCGAGAGAGACTTTGCGGGCAAAGCACTGGGTACGAGTCTCAGCAGGCTCGGATGCGACGAAGGAGGATAGAATACCGAGAGCGGCGGCGCCGAATTTACAAGCTGTCAGCGGCCAATCCACCATGCAGATTGGAAAGAGCTCAACCTCATCCTCCCCAACTTCAACCACTTCGTATGCAAGACCCTTCCTGCTCCTTCTCTCTTGTCCGGCCTGGGCAGCTCCGACAGCTTGGGTTTGTGATTGCAATAATTTGGCCAGCTTCTTTTTCCGAGAAGAGGCGGTCAGGTGGGAGGGGTGTTTTCTTCCGTGATTCCGTTCAGCTGATAGTTTCAAGTCAGGAGGAGAGCCGACTGCCAGAAGAAAAGGAGAGACGTCCGTCAGCGCCCATCACGAAGCTTTTCGTCAATTTACACGTACACAATAACACCACAGGGGCTGCCATGTTGCCTCTGCGGGGACGGCAATTCGGGAGTGGGTGGGGATGTCGGGTGATATGGCCGCAGAAGGAGGGCGAACAGTCAGTATTTGCTGTAATGAGGAGGTGTTTGTGATGAGGTCTTTGCAGCATGGAAGAGTAGAAAAGTGTCGCGAGCTAAGCTTCCAAGTAGCGGAGCTGGAAGCAGTCGACATGGTGGCGAGCCGAGTGAAAGCTGGCCTTGTCCTGGAAAAGCCTGGAAAAGAGACGAAACGAGAATGCGGAGAGCATCGCCCGGTGATGAAAAGAATCAGATGGCAGCAAAATCCGTCAGATGGCAGGGATTCGCTCGGAACGCAGAGGTGGAGGTCGTGATGTCGTGACGTCGAGGGTTATCGTGGACATGCAGCCGGTCAACTTTCTGCAACAATTCTGCAAGGGGGTAACCTTGGGCCATTCATAGCTGCATTCCTGTCCATTGTTCTCCTCTTGTTCTCGTCATTCCCCATATCCGCCGTCGCCTCTCTCCTCTCATACAACGGCGCGCACCAACTCCCACTTCTCTATGGCCGATACAGGCCCCTCTTCACAGACGGGAGGATTGCCCGCTGTCCCGCAATCGTGAGCACCTGGGTACTATGTGTGTTGATCATTCTCTAATAGTCGTCTAGAGTGAACGAAACCCCTGCCTCTACCAATGAGATCTTTCGCCTCAAATACTACGGCAGTGACGACAGTAGTGACGACACTGAGGACACTCAGGACGCCACTGTCCCGCAACCGTGAGCACCTGGGTACCGTGTGTGTTGATTACTTTCTAATCGTCCTTTAGTGTGAACCAAACCCCTGCCTCTATCAATTCGCTCTCAGAGATCTTTGGCTCCATCAATCCTCCTATCGCCACTGACGACGCCACTTCGTCGCTCCCGCCACGAAGTCTCCTGTCGCCACTGCTAAAGCGTCGCACGCCGGCTGTAAACGATGCAAAGGCAAAGCTCCCGCGCGTGCCGGCTCTACACAACGCAAAGGCAAAGCTCCCGCAATCCCTCCCCCCTCGCAATCTTCTGTGGACAACGCGTACCCCTTTGGTCTCGGCCATCCCGCGAATGGGAGTCTCAGAGGCCCTCTGCGGTTGGTCCCGTTCGACCTCGCGATCCCCCACCACTATCCCAACGGTTTCACGATCAATCCATACAGCAATGTGGGCCAACTTTTTATGGGTTCACTCTGGACCAAATGCTATCCCATTATCCCAGACGGACCTGTATTCCAGAACAACCACTTTCTCCGTTATCTCCGTCAATTCTATGTTGATCCGACTGTTGTATACCCTACTAGCTGGGAGACGAACGTGGACTTCTCCCAGACTTCTTTCTATATCCCTCTGGGAAAGGAGTTCACGGATTTGGAGATTGTGCAATCTGTCCGGGAACATGCCGCCGAAGAGCAAGTGAGTGGTCTCGCTTGTGTCCCAGATGGTGTTGCTGATCAGCTTCTACAGCGTCTGGAGCTTTCATCCCAGGCTACATCCCTGATATCGAGCCTGATATCAAGGAAGCTTGGCGGCATAAAGCCAGATGTCTGTCTAACAGGGTATCACATTGGACATCTCGCGGAAGGGACGTATCGAAGAGAGCCCGCGGGCGGCGGAGATCTGAGAATTGCCGACCGCCCCCAAAAAGTCCTCTACGCTCTCATCGGGGCCAAGTGGTTACGTTGGCCAGAAGAAAGTACGCTCGATCTACAAGGGAAAATTGATTTACACCTCAAAGGCCTCCAATTCGCAAACATGGAGGCTATCACTCAGACGATTTACTACAGCCTACTTGGTTTTGACCTCTCAAAGTGTCGTTCGGCTATTGCATGGGTCAACGGGGATTACACTCGTATCCTGAACTTGTCTGGTCTGGTGCCAGGAGGGAAAGAGGCAGTTTTGGAAGGCGTGACTCTGGGAGGAGGCGGTGGCCGGAGATCCTTGGTCGAAAGCGATCCAGCTGTTGTCGCCAAGTTGAGGTACCGCAAATACCATTGCCTGTCCCCAAATCAATTTGTCACCCTTGCGGCAGGAGATCCTATGTCTGGTACCCAGTGTAAAGAACCGAATTCCCTTATCGCAAATTACGAGGATTGGAGCTTGGATCAAGAGGCTAAGGATCGCCTCGATGCAACTGTATACCTGTACCTCGCCCTCGCTACTCACCATCCGGAGGCCATCCCAGATCCTCCCATCAGCAACCATTCCCTTACGCACGTCATCAACGCGAACACCTCTGAGAAAGAGGCATATCAGTGGCTCCATGTCAGCAAAACAAATGAGAGTACGCCGCCCAGAGAACGACAGTGGACCGGGGGATGAAGAGGAGGAGGATGGAGAGGGCAACGATAAAGAGGAGAACGACGACCACGAAGGCAATGAGGAGAACGACAAACAGGGTGGTGATAGGCGCGATGAGGACGATGGGAATCCTGATGGTGAAACCGGTCCCGGCGGTGGTGGTCCTGGTCCTGACACCGGTGATTACGGTCGTGGCAGTGGTGATCCTGGTTCTGGCGGCGGCCAGTTCCCTCGATCGAGACCCAGGAGCGGTCACAGTCAGGAGTCGTCTAGTAAAAGACAGAAGAGGGCCGATGTCTTTGGTGAGTTCTCGGCTTCGTCTCGATGGTGCTCTAGTCTGACTTGAATTTAGGATCGACCGAGTACTTGCCCTCTGCTCTTGAGCCAATCATTGCAACTTCACCACTCGCTCCATCTCCCTCAACACCCTCGCCGTCTTCTTTCTCGACGATATCCTCACGTTTCGAAACTGAACATTCAGTCAACGTAGAGGAGTGGTGTTTGTCTATCAAACAGAAGGCTTCTACCGATCATACATTCATCACTACGGCCATCCCTGCCAATCCTCTCTCTTTCACCACTGCCGAGCAAGTCCTTCCCCTCAAATACTGGACCCACGGAGAATACATCGACTACTTCTCGGGGCTCGGCCTAATCTTCGTGCTGGCCACGCCCATGGAGGTAGATGTGTTGCTTGCGCGGGCGGCCAAATTTGGCTGGGCTGGGGCGCTGGGATGAAGGTAGATGTCGGGGATGGGAGAGCCGGGTGATGGGCTTTGTATCATGTAAACTGTGTACATTTCTTTCTAGTATCATGTAACCTATGGACATTCCTTCACTCATGAATATCAGGCTTGCCCGATTGCAGCGTGGACGCGGCGTAGAAAGACTGTGCGCGTGGGTTCGGCGTCGGCCTCAGGCGTCTTAAGTGTTTTACTATGGTGTCGGGGTCTATGGCCGAGTCTGCCCACGGATGCGACATCTCTAGAGTCAAGCATTGGGTACTACTCGAGAAGCAGTAGCCAGCTTGTGAACTCATGGAAGAAAGAGTAGAGAAGCCAAGTTCGCGCCAATCGTTTTCATGGTCGTTATACGAATCCCTCCACATGTCTGTACCTCTGCACATCTGCCTACTTGCCCTCCCCCGCCCCTTCAGCACTAGTTCCCTTCGTAGGAGTCCCAGCAGCACTACCCCCCGTCCAGCCCCTGTTCGCCAGCAAGCCCTGGACATGCCAAGTCTGTCAGCTAGACGTTTCAGTACGATCGGCGTGGGACTGCAACGCTTCGTTAGGCATAGCAGGTGCCGGCGTCCCCAACGCAGCTTTCCCATCCCTCCTCCCCAGCCTCGCAAACTTGTCTTTCAACTCTCCCTCCTTCCCATCATCTCCCTCCCCAATCTGACCTTCCATCTCCTGCATAACCTTCTCAACACCAGGCAAGCTGAAATCCTCGGCAGCACCGCCCATTGGCCCCACGGCGGTATTGTTGAACCCACCCGCGCCGGGGTTGGCAGCAAAGGGAACGTTGGAGGATGAGGTGGCGGAAGCGGCGTGGCGAAAAGATTGATGGGGTCCTGGTTGGGGTCTTTTCATGAGGCGATCGAGTTGACGGGAAAGGAAATTTTGGTTGTAAGGTTGGCGAGATTGCGGGGGAGGAGACGTGAGACGCGAAGGAGGGAAGAAGAGCCTGCAAGAACTCTTCGAGAGGTTCTCCATCATCCTCTTCAGGCTCTTGACCCGCAGACTTGGCAATATACCTGGCTCAAGCGGACTTTCCAACCCTTCTCCACCAGTGCGGTGTCGGAACCATCTCTCAAAACATCGATCTTGCCCCAACTATCCCATCCGCTGGGTACCATGACAGCAACTCTGTCAAGTACGTTGGCTCGGTGCTTGAATGGGAATTTGGTGGAGCCGACGATGGCGGGTGCCGATACGTTGGGGAGGCTGGTGGCGGAACCAGTGGAGACGGGACGGTATGCAGTCTGTGAAGGAGATAGCTCTTCAGGAAAGCGTATGTCGTAGGCTGGCGGGGGACAGTGTAGAACAGAGCGATGCCGTCTACTTCGATGATCAGTATGATAGTCAATGAAGATGGGATGAACATACAGGCCAAACAGACAGTTCTCAGTGCCTGCTGTGCTCGATCTGTCTTTTCTCTCCCAGCCTCCACCTTTAACTCCCACATCCTCGGCAGAAGAATCCATGCGATCGGTCTTCGCAAACCACAACGATAGGAATTCCCGAGCTGTGATATCGTCAGTGTGCTTCCAACGCGTGACGTTGGGAGAGGACGAACGCGTTAAGTACCAGAGCCAAGTGGTAACAGAGGCCCGACACCAGCGTACGCGGTCATACCAACAATGGCGGGTGACGGCTCGGTATAGTGCTGCAGTTGTGATTGCACTACTCGTTGTCAGTCTTCATGATTCTTTCGAGATGGGGTTGACTCACGTCTCTCATGCAGCTCTTCTACCTCACCCCCCTCGCCTGCCTCGGATGCCCATGTCTCTACCCATGAGAGCCATGTTAATAGGTCTTGGAGCTGCCCATGTATGCAGTTAGTATACGACATCATCCGTGAAGAGGTCAAGCTCACCATTGACTGTAGTTTTATCCAAAACAGAACTATGACGAGGGCAGTATCCTGTACACCAATGAGTCAGCGCCCAGACACGTTTGTACGAGGGGAAAACCAACCGAGAGAGGATTTGCGGGCAAAGCACTGGGGACGGGCCTGAGCAGGCTTCGGATGCGACGAAGGAGGATAGAATACCGAGAGCGGCGGCGCCGAATCTACAAGCTGTCAGCGACCAATCCACCATGCAAACTGAAAAGAGCTCACCCTCATCCTCCACAACTTCAATCACTTCATATACCAGGGCAAGACCATTCCTGCTCCTTCTCTCTTGTCCGGACTGGGCAGCTCCGGCAGCTTGGGTTTGTGGTTGCGCTGGTTCGGCCAGCTTCTTTCTCCGAGAACAGGCGGTCAGCTGGGAGAGGAGGTGTGTTCTTCCGTGATTCCTTTCTGCCGATAGTCTCAAGTCAGGAGGAGATCAAATAGGAGGGCGAACAGTCAACACTTGCTGCAATGAGTAACGAATGGTCGTTGAATGGTCGACATGTCAGTCTTGCAGTGTGTCAGTCTCTTGCGGTCTTCGCCGAGACCGGTGGCAGCAAGGTGGCAGTTGGGTGGCAGTTGGGTGGCAGTCATCTTCTGGTTGTCTTCCATCTTCATTACTTCGTTGCTGCATATCACCCTGCACTTCTTCTCGCCATTCTTTTCTATCTATACATACATATGTCCAGACAAGCCGACATGGTAACTCATCTACTCCCAGCTACTCGCTGAGCACTCGCGCTGACCGACGCCCCATAAAAGAGCCTTCAAGTCCTTATTCATGTGGAGGCCTATAGATAAACAGATTCCATCAGGGCCCATGATGTCTGCTGAATACGATTCATACCGCCAGATATGGGGGCCGATAGTGACTAATGTACGTGAGCAAAGCGGCGTGTGGTACCGGCTGACATGTGATGTTGCAGCAGCTTGGAAACTCGTAATTTACAACACCACCACCACTTTCCTTCACCCGTTCTTTCTTGATCGCTCTCGACGTGGCCGCCATTGAGATGCCCTAAGACCGGAATGCCTGAAGACGGAAGCCGACTTTGGAAACAAGGCGAGGCAAGGTAGAATCGACATAGCTACAGGTACTTCGTGCCTACCTAGCTGCTATTCACGCGCTTGTCCTCTTCCAGCGCCGGATAGACGAGATCGATCGCAGCCATGGGTGAGTTCTCCTACGATCTGCTCTGTCTTGAATGCCAATGTCCAACCAGGTTTCGAGAACGGATAAGCGCCCGAGCAGTCGTCCATGCGCTTTGGGGCGGTCGGGAGGATGGCAGCACCGCCAGGTCTTTGTACACACCGACAATTCGGTCTGCGATACCATGGCCATCCCAGGAGCTCCTCCGCTGCTTGTAGCTCGCAGCGGCGCGCGACAGGTAAGCCTTTCCCTACCATGTGGCTTCCCAGCAAGGACAATGCACTCGCTGACGCCTTGTCTCGTCATCAGTGGCCCGAGGTTTGTCGCCTCGACCGCCCGGCCTTCTGGGCAGCCCTGCGGTGGCGTGCTCAGCGTTCCTCTCCGTGTATCTATATCCCAATCATTCGCTGCACCCCCTCGCGCCTTGATCATCGACTGGCGATGTCTACGCCTACCCCTGTCACCATCCCCGGCAGCACTGGTCTCACCGGCTCCGAGACTTCAGGCCCTCCTCACCTCCTCAAACCCCTTCTCCATCACCACCGCCACCCGCCGCCCCATCCCTTCCCCCTTCCCCAAATGCAAACCCACAAACGCCCAAACAGTCCTCGACGAACGAATCTATCCCTCGTTCTTCGTTGCTCCCGCCGATACTGCCCGAGAAAAGCTCGTACAAGAGGGCGGAGTGTATATGTCGTGCCGGCAACGACGAGGGTGAATGGGAAGAAAGACCAGGAGAAGGTGGATTCGGAGCTCAATCGGGATCTTGTTACTAGAGCCAAAGCCGACGGCGCCAGAACAGTGAGCGCTTTCTAATTCTTCATCTTCAGCCATCGCAATCAGGTGTCACCTTCGACGGACGTGAAACTGACGATCCCCAGGCTATCCTCGTATCTGACTCTCACGCATTCCCCCGACTCGTCTTTCTTCCACCTCCGCATAAAAGGCCAGCTCGAAGAACACTTTGCCACCCTCGGCTTCGACCATGTCGTTATCCTCAAGCTGGGGATGTTGCTTGGCCCCAGGGAGCAAGTGGATTGATCCAAGATTGGATTTCAGAAGCTTTTTTGGATGGGGGAGATGGGCCGGGGTAGGCACAGACGTGTTGGCTGTTGTTGGGAAAAAGTAAGTAAGTATCTTGAGGTTTTGTGTAAGCTGATTCGGGATGCAGTGTTGGGGCTTGTATCACGAATCTTATCGAGGACCCCTATCTCGAGAAACATCTGATCTTCGGGAACAGGGATATCATCGCTCGTGCAAGATCACTTCGAGCGTCCAGATAGACGAGCCAGTCCAAGCTGTTCATGTGATTATATATACCACGAAGGTATACACCTTCGCTTGTTGTTTGTAGGATGTAGTCGTCGTCAGAAGATGCAGCTATCAGTATCAGTAGACGAGTATGATGGCATTGTAGCAAGCAATTTCCAGTCTGGAAACAAGTCGTGTCTTGCATCGATTTTGACGATTTTCTCATCTTTTACGCCAGCTTTTTCTCCCGCCGTTGGCTTGATCACTGACCCCTCACTCTCGCACGATAAGACCTGAGGAGTACGACTTGCGACATGCCCCCGCGCCCAGACCATCTCTCCTTGACCGTATTTATCCCCGTCCCAGCCCTTTTCTCTCACCTCGTTTTCGCATTCTCCAATGTCGTCGACCAAACGCTAACTCCGCCTTCACATGGTCCACCCATTTTTTTATCCGTACTTGAACAAGGCGACAACGAAAGACATCCCGATGGAGACCTCGACTGCGACAGCGGAAGACTGGACGAGAAGCTCGCTGAATTCCCGTCAGCTTTGGATTCTCCGCATGATTGTTGGAGATGGAAGGGCAAAAATGGCCCACCACCGTGATAGCGCCTATTAAGAGGGGGGAGATCATCATGCCGTCCCAGTATGAGATTGGATGACGTGTGCGAGGATGAGTTGGGAGACTTGTTGAGAGACTCTATGCATGTATCAGCTGATGCTCGGACTCGAGGAAGCGGGAGAAATGTACCGGTCAGGGAGAAGCTAGTACACGCGGGTAGAGTATGTGTCTCTAGTTTGGCAAAGACAAAGGTGGATACCAAACAGACCAAAGGAGAAGGAGGCCGGGCGATAGGCAAGGCTGCGCTGGAAGAGAGAAGTGTCGAATTTGGAAGTGCTGAATTGAGAGATAACGTGATGAAGGTGGGACTATATGACAGTGACAGCGAAGAAGGTGTTGACTCTGCAAAATACGCTCGACAAACAAGACTTACATCTCCTGATCGGCAGTCATATACCGCTGTTCTTGTATCGTGGTCACTCATCGTAGCCCCGGACTGGAGTTCGTGATCTACCTCCATGAGCATAGAACACGATGATCAATATCAGCAGACTCACATATCACCAAATTCCGATAGTAGATCCCCGAAGTTCACACCTTCACTCTTCTTCCGCAACTGCAATTCACTCTCACTGATAGGAATATCCCTTGGGAAGCGGTACAGCTTGTACTCAACCGGATCCGGCCCCCACTTATCCCACATAGCAACTCACCGATTCTCGAAACCTTCTTCGTATAGTTCCAGTGTCTTCTTGACGTAAAGGATGTATAGCGCATTGAAAGGCGATTCACAACTCCAATAAGCGTCGAGCGGGACCCAATTGCCCATGCCTTTGAGGATTCATCTACGAGAGCGAGGTTTGCTGGGGTTGGTTATGAGGGATCTGTAGTTGGGTGGGAGACGGTCGTGAATAAAGGGCAGAGAACCGATCCGTTTCCAGGAACTGATATGTTGCACGACAAACCTGAGTTCGTCTAACATTGGAATCAGTGGATGTACAAGGGACATTTGGTTCCGCTCCTCTGCCGCTGACGGATGTTGCCGATGATTTCCTACTCCGTCCTCCCGCTATACCTGCGTGCGCTATCCTTGCGCTATCCTACAACTTAAATTGTCTTTGTGCTCACCACGAGTCGCCATTCGCAGCCTCCAGCCTGCCTCACTCATTACGTCTCGTACAACCAAGACCTGGAGCCCGCTGCTCCTCAGGCTTCTCAGACTCCTACGTGTCTTTCATTCGTTTCAGATGAGCCCTGCTGTAAGTATCTCCATGTATTTCCATACGTAGCACTCGCTGATATCTTGTTACCAGCCTCGTCAGTCTCTTGAAGGCCGCAAGTCTCCCCTACTTATTGCGCCGGCTTCGTCATCGTATATGCCCGCAACTCTCAGCACTCTCGACGCCTTTGCATCGATCATTGGTATCAAACTTGAAGCCGCCTAAACGCCTACGCGCCAAGGACGGGGTTTTCGCCCATATACCCTTCTCACCTTCCGTCTCTATCACATCTCCTGCGAACATCAAGGCAGCACTTTCACGTATTCTGAGAGCTGGTTATGAATTGGAGGGCTCGAACGAACGTCACCGTGGACCGAAACAAGCCGGGTCTGGTGTTCGCTGCCTCACGCATGTAAGAAAGGTATCCTGTGAGTTGTCATTATCGCTCCTTCATTGCTCTTTGTTGACATATCGCTTTCATAGGCCAACGACGCAAGACTTCAAAAGACGAACGATTCCCAACTTCTCCAAGCTATAGAAAGCTATCCATACCAAATTGGACGAACAGTTCAATTTGATCTGCCCCCTCTCATTCGAGCCCAAGGACCAGCATGAATCAGCGAGGATCGTGATTTGGAGGGAAGGCTGAGAATGGAATGCCATCACCTCGGCTGGTATGTGCGGTGGAGAGGATGAAGAGGGACTAGCCGAATCATCGAATCGCTAATTCAGGGGGGGGTGCACGACAGGTATCGATCACCTACCTGTACACCCTCTGAAGAATCGACCGAGGAGATCCCCAGGCCCATGGCGATGACCGAGAAGAAGCATGCTGCAAGTCAACGACAAAGTGTTCAGGCTTTCAGTTCTAGTCCTCACCCAACCCGCTCCCAAGGCTTCCCTTCCAATGCCGACTCCGATGCAGGGCACCCGCCGGGCCAAAGTGTCCCGTTCACCAGCGACGGCCATACTTGTACGTTCATCTGTCCGCGCATGCCAATGAGAAAGACAATGAGACTGACTGCTGCTTTAGCACAGAAAGATGTTAGCCATTGGCTATTTCGGTCCAGCTCTCCACTCCTCACGACTTCCCTTCGCCCGAGACAAACGGGTCACCCCTTCCCAAACTTTTTCCTCTCCCTTCGCCAACACCGAGGTCGTCTTGAAAGGATCTGTGCGGCCGGGGTCGGCCGACGTGAAGGAGGGACCGACGAGGGCAACCAGTCATTCTGGTTCGCGCACCAGGTCTAGGGAGTTGCCGCGGGTGTTGGCGAAGAGCCGGAGCCCTGGGAACAAGTCGGAAAGCTATTGTGAGAGCAACAGTGCAGGCGGCTGCGATCCTTTGGCCTTTATCGAGATTTTGCGCAACAACACCAAGTCTCGGAGCAGAGCTGTTTCAGGGTCGTTGAGGTTATTTGCAGTTGCGGATCTTGGGCGGTGTATCGTTGAGAGAGGTAGACGGACCATGTGAGTATATCGTCATGGCACGGAAACGTAGCTGACAACATGAAGCTTCAATTTCTGGTCCCCCGACGCTGAACCTCCCGAATCCTCCGCGTGGTCATCCTACCTCGGCCTCCCGAATCCCCTCCTCATCCTCCTCGCCGAAATCGTCAACCTCGCCGCCGACCTCTCCTCCTCCTCCTCCGCATCTATCAAAGCACAAGCCGGCGAGCTCGAGACAGCTATCAGGACGTGGAAAGCGCCCGGGATAAGGCTTCAGGGCGCTGGCGCAGAGGAGGGCGGGGTGGGCGTGGGCAGGGTGGTGGTGGGCGAGATTTGGAGGTTGACGTGTTTGGTGTTGCTGTACCAGTCTGTTCATCGGGTTGGGGGGCTGCATCCTACGCTACGGCATGCCCGATCAGATATCCTCTCGCTGCTCGACGCGCTCGTGCCTCTCCCGCGGGGCGACCTCGCTTCGTCTACCGCCCTCCCTGCGTTCCTCCCGGCGACACTGTGTATTACAAAACAGGACCGCGAGCGCGCGATGAGGCATCTGTTGAGGGCCGTGCCGGAGAAGGTGTGGTTGGATAATGTGGCAGTGGTGGATAAGGTTTGGGAGGAGTTGGATGGGAGTGGGGTGTTGTCGGATTGGTAGTGGATGATGAACAAGGAGGGGATGTGCGTTGCGTTTTTCTATGGAGTAGTGCTGTATGTTGGTATGTGGCGCGTACATGGCGGTTGGTGTTACTTATACAGATAGTATGTAATATAGTATCATGCCTTCCACCTTCTGCGCGATTGTTTGCATGTCTTGATACACATACAAAGGCCCGACATCATCCACCGGCCACACCCGGCTCTCTCAAACCTGTCTCGTACGTCTACGATGCTGCCAGCCGATGCGCCTCCGTGTACATGGCGCACCTGTCGGATGCAGCCCTTCTCAACTTCTTTTCTAGCTCTCCCCAAGATTGGTCTTGGCTACGCCCCCTCCTCCTCCAATCCCAGGTCCGCCACCGCCGCCATCAAAGCCTATCCCGACGTCCCCTGGCCCGAGCATCAGCGGCGAGGATTTGGAAGGAAGGGCGTCGGTGGCAGAAGTAGGGAAGGCAGAACTTCAAGGTAAAAGCACTTTGCAAGTGACTGAATGAACATGTCATCATTATACTAGATCGCATTGAACTTCGTATTACTGTAAAGTAGTCGATATATATACATCTGGCTCTAGAGTCCCTTTCTCTGCTTCCAGTCCCGGAACCTGTCCAAAGCACCCTTCCGGGGACTTTTCTCCTGCATACCCTGCGCGGAAGCCTTTTTGGTGCCAGTCTCCGGCTTGGCAGTCTTCTTGCTATTGCTGGCCAAAGACTTCTTGCCGGAGGCGCGAGCACTAGATGCCCCGGTGATGCCAGTTTCAGGCTTAAGCTTGGGGAGCGGGGGGAACGGAGTAGAGGGCATGGGGTCGGGGCAGGGAAGGGCACAGGCGACCGCGAGCTCCGCACATGTCAACTTTCCATCGCCGTACCCAGTCACGGGGCCAGTCCTGCCGATGGGTAGGCCGACGCGAACCACGTTTGGAGCGAATGGATCCCGTTGTACAGGAATGAAAAGCTCGTAGGAGCTCAAGATGACGACAGATGCTCTCTTGTAGAGGTAGAATTCTTCCCACAACTACGAATTATAGCGTCAGCCAGACAATCTTGCAGCTAATACCGGATGGCCCTACCTGGGAGCCGGCATACGCCCAATGCTGTAGCCCCTTGATCGCTTCACCATCTTCTTCAACCACCTTAAAAACCTCTTCTTCTGACATGATTACTCGCATCCCCCCCGGCTTCCCCGCCTCCGTCATAAGTTGTTGGACCTTCGCGGCAGGGAGGACGGTATGCAGCTTCAACTCTGCGAAAGAGGCGACTGTCTTCTCTCTTTTTCTGACATACACCCAGTCAGGAGCTCCGCTTCCCGGCACACTAGAAGGTCGCCAAAAGCCGCGACTTCTTTTCGGTAAAATACCGCTTAGGGTGACCAAGTTGACGAATTCCCAGAAGACGGACCCCATCCTGGCTGAGAGCTGAGGCTCATTGAAGATGGTGTATTGACCACCCTCATCGCGCTCGCCTTCCTCACGCCCTTCATGCTCGTCACCCGTTTCCTCAACCTCATCCTCTTCATCCTCTTCGTGTCCTTCATGGGCCAGGAAGACCTGTCTCCTAGAGAACGTGTGGGTGAGATCCCTTGGGGCGAGCTCGCGGAGAGGCACAGCATCGTCAAGGGCCTCCTTTAGCCGACTGTTCAGCCCCGGGTCCAAGACAAACCGCACACCATTGTCCACCGTCTCCCTAAAGACATCCCTCGTGTGATCGGTAGGGGCGCGGGTCGAATTTGCCGAGATACGACCGTAGTCCATATTCTCAGGGACAAAGTTGGCCAGCATCTGCCGAGTGGTGATGTCAGGGAGGTCGGAGGGAATGGGAGGGAGGCGATGGGACTCGGGCATTGTAGGTGGTGAGAGGCGTGTGCGAGGTGTTGATTTAGGGTCTTTCGGGGTAGTGTACGAGAGAGGTAGCGCGTAGTAAGAGTTTGAGGATGCAGTCGAGGGGCGAACAGTGCGTGAAATAGTCAATGGAAATGTGACAGAAAGACTGAAGATAAAATGATGATGACGGATCACGGCGGTTCCCTCACCCCATTTTCAGAACCATTTTCTGCACCAGGGGGCTGTGCATCAGCGCCCAAAATCAAATCGGTACATGGACTGGAAGTGCACTAGTCGTTTCCGAACCCCAGCATGGCTTTGACCTCCTCCATCTCATCCGCCAGCATCTCATCCTCCCATGCCCTATCCGACACTCGTCTCGCACCCTCAAAGTCGATGATACACAGACTACCATCTGCACGCCGACGGATGTGGCGGCGTTTTATGTCTCCATGAATAACCCCAACGCTATGCAGTGCTTCATAGAGTGAACAGATAGCGAGCCTTCAGAGAGAGTATCAGTCAACGTTGTACCAGTAGTAGCGTCACGCAAGGAACTCACTTCGTCTGGAGAGGAAGCAGCGGCAGGTCCTCGTCCTTAGCACAAACAGCACTGCCGACACGCTCCAAAATCAGAAAGTTGATCTCCCTGCTTTCCCACTCTCGGCTGACATACATCAGGCCCCGTGGAGCTCCAAAACACCGGGGCACGATATGGCCTTGCAGGCAAGAAAGCACCCCCCCGTAAAGCTCCACCTCCGCTTCCCAAGCATCCACCGCCTCGGCACCTGTCCTGTACCCTGCCGATCCTTTTGCATCGTCAAAGGTGCTGGGACGCATGATCTTGACGACGAGCGGCGGCAAATCGTCAGGATGATTGGCTGGAACTCTGGAAGTGAGGGAATAGACATCAGAAAGGCGCCCCCTGTCGATCAATGATCCTATAGAGAATTCGAGGTCGACTGCTGAAGAAGCATCGATTGGTTGGGAGACAGAGAAGGTGGGAGAGGAGGACAAGGTGACGGCAGTTGTGATAGGAGCTTCTTTTCGAGGAGTGGCGCGAGGGGTGAGGAGAGGATCGGCGATGGGAAGCAAGGGTGGCGATGAAAAGATGTTGGTACAGTCGTCGAAATGGGGGTGTGCGAGGTCCTTGTCAATCCATCCATAGATAGATGAGTCGGACAAGCCAACAGGGCCGAAAAAATGCTGCGCCAAGGAGCGCCCCGAATCAGACAAAGAGCAGCCATGGAAGTGAAGGCGAGCCCACACAAACTATTGTCGAGATCAGCGCTGTAGCTGTGGTTACGGAGATCAAGACACTCACGGGATGAGCTGAACCGCTTGACCTGCGTACGTTCTCAAAGCGATCCTCACTGAGATCTTGCCCCTGCTTAGACACCCTCCTTCTCTTAGCCTTCCGTTGTTTGTCTGCTTCCTTGCTGCCTCTGATCCCGGCCCATCTACACATACTTGTAAACACTCCCGCCAAGGTCCCACCCTGACCCTCGCTACTTGCAGTCTCGATCTTGAGTTTGGGGAGAGGCAGAAACGGTAGAACGTGGGATGGGGCAGGGAGGGATAGGGTAGAGGCGATGGCGAGCTCGAGACATGTCAGGGCTCCGTCACCTGCACCTGTCATCCCTGCATCTCTGACAATCGGCAAACCAACGCGCAAGATGTTTGGAGCTGAGCGGTCCCGTTCAAGTGGCAGATAGATTTCAGACGAGCTCAAAAGCATGATATTCGCCGTGTCGAATAGTCTGTACTTCTCCCAGAACTTGCCTCAATGTCAGTAGCTACTCTTTCAGTCAGATGAAGCACATACCTGCGCTATACAATTCGCCCAGTACTCCATACCCGGGACCTCTGCTCCATCTTCCTCAACAACCCCCACCGACTTCTCGCCCGTCACGATAACCCGCATCCCTCCTGGCTTTGACGCCTCTTCCAAAAGGCGCTGCACTCTTCCGGCGTGATCGGAGGTATCCCTGAGAATGCTGGGCATTATGGTCTCAGAGAGTGCTTGGACCTTTCCATCTACCTTCCGGACACAAATCCAGCTACGCACCCCACCATTCCTTGATCCACATGACCGCCACTCGCCGCGGAGGTTCTTGTCAAGGGCTTTGCTCTTCAGGACAAGGTTTACATATCTCCAAAACGTCTCCTCCATCATGACGGGGAGATCGCGCTCACTGTAGATATGCTGATTATTCCCTTCACCGTAACGCTCGTCCAAAGCCTGTTTCCAGAAGATGACGGTCATCAGTTGCTTTGAAGCAAGGATGTGAGCGGGCAAGTGATTATCAAGAGCCGCGAGGAAGCGATCATTCATCCCCGGGTCCTTGATGATTCGTACACCGTTCCCTTCAGTCTCGGCGAGTACGTCGACGGAAGACACCGTGGAATCGCGGGATACCTCTTCATCGATAGATCCGAAGTCGAGGGCGTTGGGGACGAATTCAGCCATGATTTGCCGGAGGGGCACGCGCGGAATGTCGCCGGGGGATTGGAGGGGTCCGAGGGGTGGCAAGGTCTGAGGCATGATGTTCCCTGCGGCGTGCTGTGCTGGTAATAGATGTAAGCTGATGCAAGCAGAATTGTTGGTGGCTGGTGGATTGTTGCCGCCTATGTGGGTGCAAATGTGGGTGGGAAGCGCCGACTTCGCCGGCGGCAGCTTGAGGTCGTGACGTCGTGACGTCAGGGGTTATGGTGGAGTGCATCTGGCATCGCTCCTTCAACTTTCTGCAAGGGGGTACCCTTGGGCCGTTCACAGCTGCATTTCTGTTATTGCCTCTCTTCTCATCCATCCTCCTATCCGCCATCGCATCTCTCCTCTCATACAACACTTTCCATGGCCCATCCAGGCCTCTCTCCGCAGACGGGGGGATCGCCCGCTGTCCCGCCACCGTGAGCACCTGGGTGCTGTGTGTGTTATTACTTTCTAATCGTCGTGTAAGAGTGAACAAAACCTCTGCCTCTGTCAATCCGCTCTCAAAGATCTTTCGCTCCATCAATCCTCCTATCGCCACAGGCGACGCCACTGTCGTCGCTCCCGCCACGAATTCTCCTGTCGCCACTGCTAAAGCGTTGCACGCCGGCTGTACACGATGCCAAGACAAAGCTACCGCAGTCCCTTTACCGTCGCAATCTTCTGTCGTTTATGTGTACCCCTCTAATATCGGCCATCCCTCGAATCGGGGCCGCAAAGGTCCTCTGCAGGTGGTCCCATTTTTCCGACTCTTTCACGATCAAACCATACGAAAATGTGGACCAAAGAGCAATGGGTGATTTCTGGACCGAATGCTATCCTCTTGTCCCAAAGGAAACTGATCTCCAAGACGGACACATTCTCCTTTATCTCCGTCAATCCTAGGACAGCCTACTTGGTTATGACCTCTCAAAGTGTCGTTCTGCCATCGCATGGGCCAACGGGGATTACACTCGTATCGTGAACCTGTCTCATCTGGTGCCAGAAGGAGAAGAGGCAGTTTTGGAGGGCGTGACTCTGGGAGGAGGCGGTGGTCGGAGAATCTTGGTCGAAGCCGATCCAGCTGTTGTCGCCAACTTGAGATATCACAGATCCCATTGCCTGTCCCCAAATCAATTTGGCGCCTTTGGGGGAGGAGATCCTATGTCTGGTACCCAGTGGAAAGTACCGAATTCCCTTATCGCAAATTACGAGGATTGGAGCTTGGATCAAGAGGCTAAGGGCCTGTCCGGCAACTACATTTCGTTGCGAAATGTCGATTTTTCCCATACAAAATTGCTTCCGTCGCGACATTCTACATTAAGTTTGTATGGGAAAAATCGACATTTCGCAACGAAATGTAGTTGCCGGACAGGCTCTAAGGATCGCCTCGATGCCACTATATATCTGAACCTTGCCCTCGCTACTCACCATCCGGAAACCGTCCCAGATCCTTCCATCAGCAACCATTCCCTTACGAACGTCATCGGCGCGAACGCCTCCGAGAAAGAGGCATATCAGTGGCTCGATGTCAGCAAGAAGATGAGAGCACAGGATGTTGGTGAGGAGAACGACAGCGGATCCGAGGATGATGAGGAGGAGGATGATGATGAGGAGGAGGATGAAGAGGAGGAGGATGAAGAGGAGGAGGATGAAGAGGAGAACGACGACCACGAAGGGAATGGAGAGAACGACAACCAGGGTGGCGATAGGCGCGATGAGGACGATGGGAATCCTGATGGTAAAACTGGTGGTCCCGACAGTGGTGCTCCTGGTCCTGGCAATGGTGGCAGTGGTGGTCCTGCTCCCAGCGGCGGCCGCTCTCCCCGATCGAGACCCAGGAGCCATGACGAACAGGAGTTGTCTAGTAAAAGACAGAAAATGGCCGATGTCTCTGGTGAGTTCTCGGCTTCGTCTCGATGGTGCTCTAGTCTGATTTGACTCTAGCACCGACCGAGTGCTTGCCCCCAACTCCTGTATCACTCCCACTCGCTCCATCTCCCTCAACACTCTCGTCGTCTTCCTTTTCGACAATATCCTCACGTTTCGAAACTGAACATTCAATCAATGTAGAGAAGTGGTGTTCGTCTGTCAAACAAGAGGCTTCTACCGATTTTACATTCATCGATACGGCCATCCCTCCCAATCCTCTCTCTTTCACCACTGCCGATCAAGTCGTTCCCCTCAAATACTGGACTCACGGAGAGTACACTGACTTTTTCTCGGGGCTCGGCCTAACCTTCGTGCTGGCCACGCCCATGGAGGTAGATGTATTGCTCGCGCGGGCAGCCAAATTTGGCTGGGCTGGGGCGCTGGGAGGAAGTCAGGTGTCGGGAATGGGAGAGCCGGGTGATGGGCTTCGTATCATGTAACCTGTGTACGTTTCTTTCTAGTATCATGCAACCTATGGACATTCCTTCACTCATGGATATCAGGCATGTCCAATTGCAGCGTGGTCGCGGCGTAGAAAGACCGTTTGCGTGGATTCGGCGTCGCCTCAGGCGTCTTAAGTGTTTCACTAATGTAGGTGTCGGGGTCTATGGCCGAGTCTGCCCACGGATGCAACATCTCTAGGTCCAAGTTCTCGAGAACTCTGCTTGGACTGTGACTGTGCAGCACTCTTCGCAAGCAATACTCAACATGTCGGTCACGATTTGCATCTTTCGAAACAGAATTTGTAATGTATAAATGCATGTATTATACTGTACGCCTCGTCAGCTTGGCTGAAAAACATGGGAGTGATGTTCAATGCCCACAAATTGCTCCTCTACGTCGTTCCTATCTTCTACGGCATACTTCCCCTCCTTATACACTCCTCTTCTCAACAGCTTTCGCAACTCCCGTCCCGGCTTGCTTGAACCACGGAATCTCGGTGAGCCATTGCTGTTCGAATGCAGATACGTTTCGGGCGTAGAAAGATGTGGTGATTGCCTGATTTCGTTATCAGCATTCGCTTCGAGCATAAGAGACGAGGGGACGTACGAGTTCGTCGTACAGTATCGCCGGGACCTTCTTGGACATGAGTACGCTCGAAGGATGGATCTTGACCGTCTAATCGCTCAAGTCAGCTTCGACATCATCGTACGGGTGTGATCCAAGACTCACAAGATTACCAGCCGTCTGCCGATACGTCCCATCCGCCTGAATCACCGCGCTATTCATAAACAACCCACTCAACAACGCCCTCCCCACCACCCCCCACTCTGCCCCACAAGTAGTCTTCCAATCCTTCCCATGTCTCTCGCACAGCTCGCGCAGCTGCGCCCGGATCTTGATCGCCTGAGTGAGCGTCTTGGCGTTGACGTGGTTGGTCTTGCACCAGCCTTGAAGTGTTTGCGAGGTGTCCAGGCCCCGGGCGGCGGAGGAGGGGTCTTGTTTAGCTTCTTTGAGCTCGAGATACGCCCTCAAGACGTTCATGCCCGTCAAGTGGTCGCCTTCGCGGTTGATAAACTTGCTCCGAGCCTCGGCAGCTTGGTCTCGCTCGCTGACCTTGTCCACCCACAAGTTACCGCCGGCATTGGCGAGTGAGAGGATGTCGATGATTTCGGCGGGACAGCCGAGGGCGAAGGAGGCGAGCAGGATACGGGCGTGGGGAGGGTCGAGAGGGAAGAGAAGCATTTGTCGGCCGATGTCGGTGAGGGATGTGGCGGAGGAGATGGCTGACAGGCCGGAGAGTTCTTGGTATGCCGCGAGAACTAAAATTTGTTGTTAGAATGTTTTTTTTTTCAGATGAGAAGTGAAAAGCTTACTAGACTCGCGGCCCGGAGAGTCAATGTATTCAAACTCGAAAGGGTTCTGGCCCATGGCAATGAGTTGCAAAACCGCAGACGACAGGTTACACCGCTGTATCTCTGGCGCATCAAACTCTGGCATGTCGTTGAAGAACTTTTCAGTGTACAGCCGATAGCTATGCCCAGCGCGCTAAAATGTCATCAGCTGAGGTCCCAACATCATTCAAGACCAAACTCACTTCACGTCCCGCCCGACCCGTCCTCTGCCACGCCGCCGCCCTACTGATCCCCTTCTTTCTCAAATGCTCCAGCGCCCCGCTATTCCTAAACACATACTCCTTCTCCTTCTTGTACCCCGTGTCCACCACATACGCTACGCCAGGGATGGTCATGGACGTTTCGGCGATGTTTGTGGATACAATCACGCGCCGAGTGGAAGAAGGTGGAGGGGTGAAGATTTTGGACTGGGCGGCAGGGGGGAGGGCGGCGTAGAGAGGGAGGGCTTGGAGGGCAGCGTGGGTATCGGGGAGTTGGGAGGCGGCGCGTTTGAGAAGCTCGACGCAGTTTTCAATCTCCTCGGAACCTATGATTCACAGTCAGTCTTCGATATACTTGTACATGCATACACATACCAGGCATAAAGACGAGGATATCGCCCTCTGCTCCAGAGGTGCAGTGAATACTCATGACTTGTCGCGCAGCAGCTTCGATGTAGTCTTCGACAGGCTCCATAACGTGCTGCGTTGTGACTTCGTACATTCGGCCCTTCACCAGCAAAGCATCTCGCCCTCTATAGCCTAGTCAGCGGCCGTTCCATGTCAAGAAGGAGCGGACTTGCGTTTCGAGAAAGTCTTTAAACTTGCTCGGGTCCAGCGTAGCACTCATCACCACCAACTTCAACTCCTTCATCCTCTTCCCCGTAATCTTCTCGCCCTTCTCCTCACTCTCCCTCTGCCTCCTTGTCAACTCTTTCCTGATCCTCTGCACCTTTTTGAGAGTCCCACACAAAAAGTCGGTATTGAGCGTCCGTTCGTGCGCTTCGTCGAGGATGATGATGTCGTAATGCAGTAGCAAGTTGAGCCCTTTATACGACTCTCCTACCGCCTCTTCTTCCTCTTTATCGTCCCCACTCAAATCCCCTGAAAGCTCCCTCATCAAAACACCCTCTGTAAGGTATCGCACCTTTGTCTCTCGACTCGTGACATCCTCAAACCGAACACTATACCCCACCTCCCCGCCCAGCACGCTCCCGGCCTCTTGCGCGACCCTCGCAGCTAGAGAGATGGCAGGCAGTCGACGGGGCTGGGTGATGGCTATTGACGGGCCAGGGTTCTTGAGGGGGCGAGTATATGTCGAGAGGGATAGGGGGTGAAAGCGGAGTAGTTGCGGGAGTTGGGTCGATTTACCACATCCTGTTTCACCCAATATCTACTTGTGCCGTCAGCTTCACCCCACCCCTTCTGGATGTAGTGCAAGACTTGCGATGGTGGTGTCGTTCGACATGATCTCTTCGAGAATCATCTTCCGTCCTACACTCCGTTAGTATCTCGCCACAAGCAGTTTTGGCGCAAAGACTCACCTTGATAGAACGGCAGATTCTTCCTCGTCTCCAACAACCTCGCAGCCTCCTTCATCCTCCCCTCCGCCCCCCCATCTTTCCCCTTCACCCCATTCACCTCCACCCTCTTCTTCTTTGCACTCCTGGGTCCCTCACAATCCCCATTCACTTTCGGGCTATGACCGTGTTTCCGTTTCGCTTTCAGCTTGCGCACCGGGGTCGACGGCGTTGAATGCTCTTCGTGAAAGTCGCCATCGTCGTCGTCGGCGTCGAGAAAGTTGGCGACGCGGGGCTGCTTGGGCGAGGTAGGAGGGGGAGGGGGCATTATTGGTTTCCGGGTATGCATGGGGAGAAAGAGGAAATCATGGTTTTTGGATCATTTTTCTGCGAGACGCGTTGTTACGTACGCACGTGACTTGAATCAACGCATTGCATTGTTTGGTTCCAAAAATCTTCGAGTATGGCGATGCCGTTACTTTACAACTACTCTGCTATGTCTATACATGGTTATTAAATTGGCACTTGAGGGATATGGGTTGACATCGAAGCAGAGATCTCGAAAAGAAACGCCAAATACGAGGGTGAGTAAGGCTGGATGGAGGCTGCTTCTGAAGAGATCCCACACCAGAGCATGTCCAGGACTCCAGACAGCCTGCCCTACCCTTGCGGGGAAAGAGTACGAAGATTCTGTTAGCCACTGCTTCCAAATCTGCCTCAGCCACCAGTCAAAGCTGAATAGGTCTAATGCATCTCCTCTACTCCTTCTTATGCTTTGCCAAAATTCCCCTAATCGCACTCAACGCATCCGTCCTCTGCTTCCTCAACGCCGCCCTCCCCTCCTGCTGCTGCTCCTGCGTCCTCAACACTTCTCCCGCCTGGCCCGGTCTGCGCTCGCTCCTAGACGCGCCAAGGATGGGCCCGCTGCTGGCTGCAGCCTGCTTTTGTTCTTCGGCGAGGAGCCATTCGGGGCTACCGATGTTGGCAGAAGACGACGAAGGACGGAGGATGGCAAAGTTGATATCGAAATGCGCCGAATCAAGCGGCGACGGCGCCGCCCCCCCGCCCGCTCCCCTCCTCCTCGCCCACCTCGCCCCCGCGCCCGACTCTGCCAGAGCCAGTACCGTGGGGTTCCCCGTCGCCCTCGCATCGACAGCTTTGAACCTGCCCCGCCCGTGCTCGGGCGCCTGGCGGGAAAAGTCGACGAGGGTTTGTTCTTGGTTTGTCGCGAAATCGGGGTGGTAGCTCGATCGGGTGGTGAGGCCCGTCACGCCTGCGACGCTGACGACAAGAGGCCTGTTGGTCGACCCGCCCATGTCGGCCCTGCTCCCCTTGTTGGCGTTGCTAGCGCTGACGGGGTTCAAAGCGTGCCCAGGGAAACTGGTAGCGGGGTTGAAATCGTTCGGGTTTGGAGGCAGGTTGGCATAGGTCATACCGCGGAGAGGGTGGGGCACAGAGAGGATCTTTTGCGAGGTCGTCGAGGCGCGGTTGGCATTGTGGATGGACGACTCGAGGCTCGAGATCGAGTGCAGACGAACCTTGCCCCCGGTGGACAAGTGCACAAGCGTCTTGTCTTCAGGCAAGACGAGCGTCTCCTTGGTCGTCTCCGCCATCCCCTCCAGCCTCTCCTCCAAGAACCTCTTTCGCTCCCCCCTCACCGTGTCGAGGTACTTTTCAAACGCCTCCTCGCTCAGACTCTCCACATCCCGCACCCACTCCTCCTTCTCCACAACCTTCTCCACCATCGCCGACGCCGTCGCCCAATCTTCCGCCCCCCCATACCCATACCCCGCCGCCGACCGCCTAAACTCTCTCGGCGCCTTTTCCTTTGCATCCCACCTCACCCTCCCGCTGCCCCACGCTTCCATGAACCGCGCCTCCCGCTCGCCCGAGCGCCAGTCGAGGTCGTACCCCGGCCCAGCATCGAGGGAGGAGAATTTGATGTAGCGGGGGCCTTTTGTACGGTGGACAGGGAACTTGAGGCCCCAGTCGGCGTGGCGGGTTTGGGAGGAGGGGGTGGTGGTGTAGATGCGGGTGATGAGGGGGTCGTAGGTGGCAATGTTGGCTCTGCGCAGGAGCTGGGGGAAGGGCGAGGACATGGCTGCTGGGTATTAGCTTGTGGTCTCTTGAGCTGAGCATGCACTCACTGGCTCTTCCTTCAAATGCCTTTTTGAGCTGAAGATTATAGTCTCCTCTGCGAATTGTCCAAAAAGTCAGCGCTGGATGCCGCACACAAAATGCACAAAAGTGGCCCCCATATATTCCCCCGAAACTCCCATAAAAGCGCCCATTCGCATCTCTTTCCTTTCTTTCTTTCAACAAACATACAGCGTCCACAATTCCCCATCGGTGCTGAGCCACCTCTTCCCCTCGGGGTCGAGCGAGGCTGCCACGACCGCTTTGGGGCCAGACAGGACGTCGTGATTCACGAAAGCCACCGGTTCTTCGGAGCTGGCGGTGAATAGGGCTACGCGATTAAAACAACTTTGAGGAGAGAAATCTCTGAGTCAGAGTCACCTATGAGTAGCCACATTTCTTATATAGCAGGCTTGTTGGATGAATGGTCTTGCGCTTCATTAGGACTGGAACTTGGAGATGATCGCGGAGTTCAAAAGTTTGCCTCAAATTTCCTTTCACCTCCAGCCTTTGTGACTTTTGACTTGTCACCTCTCCCTCTCATCATACTACTCTCTCCTCATATCTTCTACCCACAGACAACCCCCTCACAATGGACACAACCTCAACCACCCCCAGCACCATCCCCACCTCCAGACGCAGCAGACCCACCACCGAACAAGTCTACACCACTCTTAGTCCTCTCCTATTCGGACCCCGCTCAACGCTCTCGGCCGTATTCCAGCTCCTCACCCCTGCCCCTTCCCCTGCCCCTTCCTCTTCCCCATCGCCTTCCTCATCCCAGACGCCATCCCAATCTCAATCGCAACGACAATCCCTCCCCAACCCCCTCTTTCCATCCTCCCCCTCCTACAACACCCGCATCCAATCAACCTGGCTCACCCACAACAACAACAACAACAACAACAACAACGAAGATAACGCCCCCTCCAGCTACCCCTCCATGGCCCAATGGCGCGGCCTACGCACAAAACTCTGGTCGCAAGCCGGCACTAGCACGTCGCCAGAGGGGAAGCCGTTGAAAGAGGCAAAATTGCAGATCAACAGGCTGGAGAGGACGGGCAAGTTGGGGGTGCTGAGTAGTGCGCTGTTTGGGTCTTTTGCGGAGGACGGAGAGGAGGAGGGGGAAGGGGAAGAGGAGGAGAGAGAAGAGATGAGAGAGAGGGATGGTGAAGAGGATTATTACCCCGAGACGTTGGGTGATCTGCTGATGGATAGTCTTCTTACTGGTACCGCGCAAGATATGAGTATTGCAGAGGAGGTCTTGAGAGATGTAAGGGAGAGAGGGGCCAAGGACTTGAAAGAGAGGTTGGAAGAGTTCTTGAATGCGGCGAATGCGACGCGGGACAGGCGACGAGTTGATTCATCGTCAGAGACAAGTCGTCAGGGCCCTGCATCTGCTTGGAATGATTGTACGTCCATGTAATACTTCTTTGGGTGGTCAAGCAAGGAGGACATGCGAGATAGTCAGCAAAGCAAGCCAAGAGACAAGAAGCAGCGTGGAATGATGCATCACACTGTGACTAGGTACAAGCTCATGGTGTTGGAGGAAAAACTATAGAGATATAATAGTAGAATAGAGAGAGAATGCTCTGTAACATAGTCAGCCTCGGCGAAAGAATCAAGTCGACGATAAAGACACACCTTCTTGACGTGCCTAGTGGACGAGCTGTCGGGCCTTGAAGCTGTTGGCGCCATAGAGGATACCAGTGTGACGAGCAGCAAGAGCGCGCTGAGAAGGAGACCCGCCGCCACCACAAGTGCTAGCAACACATCAGTCAACGTTCGACTAGCAGAAGACAAGAGACGTACCAAGACTGAGGGCTCCACTCGTGACCCTCAGGACAAGTAGAAGGCTCCGGGCTGTGCTCATTCTCGGGCTCACACCTGTCACGGCGCAAGACCCATCCGACCAAGGGGCAGAGAATGTCAGAGATGGGGTCGCTCGGCTTCGAGTTGTCGATGCAAGAAGATGAGCGGCGATGGTACCATTGGTTGTCGGGGCAGTTGCCTTGGACTTTGTCGCACTTCTTGTTCTGGTCGTTGTAGGTGTAGCCTTCGCTAGAGGGGGTGTCAGCATTGCACGATAGGCAGAGAGGGAGGACGTACCCGCAGTCGCAGGGAGCAGTCTCGGTGGAAGGGATACAGCTAGAGCCAGTGTCAGCGTCGGTGCGAAACAAAAAGTTGGCTGACGAAAAACACTCACCACTTTTCCTCCTTGTGCATCGACCATCCCTTGGGGCAAGTCAAACCGTCCTCGGGCCTATATACCAACGTCAGTAACGACCTAGATATCAATTAACACGAAGACTTACTCGGTACGGGTGTCGTTAGAAGAGCAAATGACTCTACCAAGAATCTCGGTGAGGAAATCACCCTTGTTCGCACAGCTGTCGCGCACGCTGGCAGGAGCACCGAGGCGGAGGTCGAGGCCCACACCGACATTGACCGTGGCACCGAGGTCGAGGCCGAGCAGGCCGGTGGCAGAGACGGAGCCGGCGACGGCGAGGAGGGAGAGGACGTTACCAAAGAGCATTGTGTGTGATGTAAGAGAAGGTGGGTAAAGAGTGACTGGAGTTGGAAGAAGGGCAGATGGCTGGGTGGGTGGAAGAAGAGACAGAAAAGGTGGGATGAGAGGAGAAAGAGGGGGAGAGATAGAATTGGGGCGGTATATATATGGTACGTGGTGGGGATGGGGGTGGAGGTGGAGGTGGAGGGAGGGAGATCCTTTGGTGGTCCGTGCATGGCCTGGGCTTCTAGTAAACAATTAAACACAGGTACCGCCGCGCCAAGGACTGCCAGAAGCACGGGGAGAGATCTCACACCGCAGAGGTTGGATGAAATCTCACGGTACACCCTTGTGGTGTGGCACAATCCAAACGCCGCGCTCGTCCAACAATGGAAGAGGGGGCAGTTCCCGAGAAGGCATGTCACAGGTGTGGCATCTCCTCTATAATGTGGGAAAGGCGACGTCGGGGGCGAGTGTGTTCTGTGACTGTCGGCGACAAACTCACAGGCTCTTCCGCACATTTCAATTCTGCGAATGCCTCCGCTCAATGCACAATTCAATGTCAGCCATGAGCACCTACATACACGGACCCATAAGTATACAGTATGCATAAGCTACATCCCCCTTCCAGAAGTCACAAACACAGTCTTCCGTCAGAACATATCATCATAATGTCCAGTTACCAAGACAGAAAGACTCTCGAGGAGAACGGTATCAGTCACATTGATGCCCATGGGACCTGCTTCCGCCTTGTCACCGACGTATGTACTCTCTCGACGACTGTAGAGATGCACGAAACTGACAGCCCTGTCATTTGCATGATGGGATCATACAGACTGACACGAACGGTACACCGACAGGTTCTAGGATCGAGCAGCTCAACTTACCTGCTATCTCATGGAACTATGGCGATGGAGCTCAGATCAAGATGTCTGATAGGGATGCTCTTGAGCAAGCAAGAGTCCGCGCATACAGTAAGTTCTGTCTCTCTCTATGTTAGGGAGCGCCGGTGATGCGTTGAGAATCCCAGAGATCCAGTCATCGTCAATGAAGCGATTCTACTCGTACGTCATATGCTAATTCTGTCGCTTTCTGTAGATAGAGGCCACAAATCCAAGTCCAGGAAATCTCGAAGGGAAAGTGGTAAGACGAGCGGCGGGGAAGAATCACGTAGCAGAACTCATGATGACCCCGCCCACGGGGGGCAAGGCTCATCAACAACTGCTGCTGCAACAATGCCAGAAGGAGATCACAGTCTGTCATATGAAGTCATGACCCCCGAACAGGCCGCCAACCTTTTCAAAAGCTTGACTGCCGAAGAGCTTCATTCCCTGGAATTTGGGACGGGACAGTATCAGCCGTCTGAGCAGATTGATCACAGCGAGATGATAAATGCTTACCTGTCAGGTGATGGAGCTGCTTCTGCCCCCTACACTGAGGAGCTGGATTTTGATTCCTGGTTAGCGCAATAATTCGGGGAGGAAGCTTCCTACCAGAGCTTCCAGCAGCAGCCGCAGTAATCATAGAGACGACGTAGTACATATTAGAGTACACCACGTATGTTATGAAAGAGGCAGTGATTGCCAGTCAGTGTACTGCCTGCTGGGCATTGTCATTTCCAGACTTTGATTGTACAGTACTCTACGTGCTGTACTCGCCCTCGTACCCCTGCATATGAAGCACCAGGTATTTGCTAGCATCATTACAAGGCTCGGGCAGCCGACCATTAGCGGAATCAAATTGTCGACTAGAAAGCAGGCCGCCAACGTCATGGCCTGCGCCCATGTTCTCTTTCTTCTCAGACTTTCCATCGCCGGACCGTTCCATCTATCTTTGTATATACACGCAGTGCCAAAAGGCCTTATACCATCCCCTATAATGACCTCCCGTTCACGATCTTTGGGAGCCATCTTTTCTGAGCCTGGATTTGCCGAGGTCTTGGAGGCCATATTCGACAGGCTCATCCTGCGAGATACTCTTGCTCTCATTCTCGTAAGCATCCTCACCTGATATGACGTTCTGGAACTGACACAGATGCCCCATCTAGGTGAACAGAAACACGCGCAATGTCTTCAAGTCCTCGTCCCATCTCCAATACACCCATCTCTGCCGAAAACATTCTTCTCTGCCCCGACCCCCCTCAGCAGCTGCTTCTAGACATCCATCATCAGCGAAACTGATCGAAGAGCTGGCAGAACGCGAGCGTCGTCTGGAGGAAATCACCCCCGTGGGCTCCTCGACTTACCGCCTGTCTTCTCGGGTTATCGCTTTCGAGCAGGGCCTTATTGTGGCCGAATGCGATACCAAAGCACCGCCTCTCGGCTTTGAAGATCCCCCTCCTGAGTATATGGATCCAACAGGCTGGGAGATTATCAGGGTGCCGAATGCAGAACTGGATAAGGATTCGGAGATGCGGGGCGGGATCAAGAGGCAGGATCATTGGACGTGGAGGACGGATTATGGGGGATATTGCGAGGCAGTGGCTTGTGTAGAGGACAACGTCGCTATGGTGTGAGTACATCTTGTGGCAGTCGAGCTCTCGCTGACGTGGATGAAGCATCAAGCAGTGGTTTCACGGCGAGACCTTGTCCCGGGTCGAATTCTTCTTCTACCAGCTCCTTCCTTCCCTCGGTACCCCTCCCCCAGAAGACGGCAACTTTGATCCCATTATCCACCCCGATGCGAGGCTTCCCTGCATCCAAGTCGTGCTTCCCGCAGCTTGGCCCCAGTCCGCAGAACTCAGTCATTACAAGCTATGCCCAGAGGGACGGCTAGCGGTGCAGTTCGAAGCCGGAAGAGACTTGTACCAGAAACATCCCTCAGGGAGGGGTCGGAATGACTTGATGAACAAGGAGATATTTGCGGTGATCTGGGACTGGAAAGCTGGTGTCTGTCTTGGAGTGAGTGGCTCGATGCGCAAGAGACACGCGCGCTGACTGGCGGCTTAGCAAGTACCTCTCTTCCCCGACATATCCACCGACTTTAGTGGTATCTATCCCGTGGGACCATTCTGCGTCACGGCGACCCATCGCAAAGTCTCGTCTCTCAAGCATCCTGAGCTTTACGAATCAGTCGTCCGACCCTATACCAGCTTTTCGACCGAGGCCGATGAAGACGGCTATCTCACCCAGTTCTCACTCGACTTCCACACCTTGTTACCCTTGCCCTTGGCTTTTCCCCCAGAACGCCACAGCCAGGATTCGACAGGAACTGAGCCGCATACGTGGCGCGCGGGGTACATTCCCTATTGCCTACCATTGGTCTCATTCGACTTGCCTTTCGAGGCGTCGGCAGAGTTTGGGACGGATGTTTACAGCATCTGGAAAGACTTTTATGTCGTGGGAGCGCGGTATAAGAAAGAGCTGCATAACGGCGACCTGAAAGGCTTGCTGTTGTTCACGTGTCATTCGGTGGATGCGCCGACGAATGTCGTCGACCTTAACTTTGTTCTGCGACATCTGACAAAGAGGCTTGTGGAGCAAGCTCAGGCGTGCCTTTCCGGCGCCGGGCTTCCTCTCCCTCTCTTGTCGGTGCTTGCGATGCCCACAAGCACTCCAGATGTCTCTCTCTTAACCCGCGTCGAGCAGACAGAATGGGCATCTTCCGTCTTGACCATGTCAACCTACGCCAACAATCTCAATATGCGCGGCGTCTGGTCGCCGTCCTCCGTCATCCACAGCCAGATGCCCGACCTAGTTCCCTATCTTCCAGAGATGTCCCATATCAAGCTGGAGGACTATCCCGGCACGGCCGAAATCAGACCGGCATCCATGGAGGGCTGCAATCCTTTCTCCGGGGTGTTCGGCGCGAGAGAGGTGAAGGTGATTGAGCTGGGGCTTGAGATGGAGGGCACGGGAGCGATATTCGTGTTCACCAACTACGGCGGGGATGCGGCTCGTGGCAAGCCGTACGCAGTACCAAGACCCGACGACCCGCAAGATTTCTCTACGACCCTATTCCACCAGTCCTTTGGCCCGAAAGACAACCCCAATAGCATTACGCTCAACCTGTCGTACGACGAAGAGATGGAAGCTCTCTCCGCTGAGGAATTGGGCATGGTCCTTCCCCAGGGAACGCCATGTCTGCCACAGAAGAGCAAGACGGCAATGATGTGGTTGGAAAGAGAGGGGAGATGGGCATATGACCCCGCAGATTGGGAACACCCGGCGTTTGTGAGGTTTGACGGGAGTAGTGTGATTTACGATCAGACTTCGGTGAGTGTTGGTAGGGGAACATACGATGCTGATAGACTGGCAGCCTTCACTGTTGCATATCCTCAGGTTTTAGACCGCTATGCTCCGGAGGACGGCGATGATCAGGTTCGTCAGTTGCAAGTTTGCGGGCCTCAGGACTTTTGGAGGATTTAGAGGAAGCAACAGAGTCAGTGATGAGTTCTGCTATCTTTTAGACGCTGACTCTCGTACAGGCACCTGTCCTCCTTCCCCTTGTCTTCTACTCCTGACAGTCGTCTGCATTCGGAAGAACATGCGTTGGGCTCTTCGGCGGGCAAGGCATCGTCCACAGGTCCGTAACCCTCAATCCTTGGTCGCCTCCAACATCCGTCACCGCCATCATGTCACTCTATCAACTATCTCATCCATCCCTTACAGCCCACTTCGGCTTCGAGGCTATCTGAACGGCGGCGCCAAAGCCATGTCAGAGCAGCAAGCGATGGACGAACATCGTTGTGGGGACGGTAACTCGTATCTCCATAAGGACAAACCCTTGGTTGGCATGACTTTCGTATCTGGATCTACAGGAATGCATGGAGCTTTGAACGTTCTCTTTTGGTCGAACAGGTCGACGTTGTCAAAGAGCCCTGATATCTTGACAAAGACTTTGGCGGCTTGCGCGATTCTTTTGGGATACGTCACTCCTTAACCAGTATCTCATACAATCTCCGTAGCCCCTGCCTTGGGTCAGACCTAAAGCGTAGCAGTGGAATGATGCTCGAGGGAGAGGAAAAGAGGACGGAGAGGTGCTGTCATGGCTGAGACCGGGGAGGGTTGAGTGAGTGGGACATGACGAGAGCACCGACTCGAGGAACGAAGGTCTCGACGTGTCACCGCCGGAGTCTCTTCTACAATGGTTTGGCAAACTACTCGGTATGTGCACAGCATGCTCAGGATGTGCTCAATCTTACATGCTTATAGCCTGCCGAAACTGGTGGCTGACGATGGCCAGAAGAGAAGCCTCCACCCTTGCGGCGAGGCCCGATCAACACCGTCACCCGCCCCAGAAAAGATATATAAGACTCCCCAATTCTATCTCTCTCTCTCATTTCCCCACCAACAATCTTTTTTTACTTTTCCCCCAACCACCCATACCTACCCACAGTCACTCCTTACCCACCCTCTTTACATCACCCACAATGCTCTTTGGTAACGCTCTCTCTCTCCTCGCCCTCGCCGGCTACGTCTCTGCCAACGGCCTCGGCCTCGACCTCGGTGTCACGGTCAACGTCGGTGTCGGCCTCGACCTCAGGCTGGGTGCTCCCTCCAGCGTCCGCGACCAGTGCTCCAACAAGGGCGACTTCCTCAGCGACCTCCTTGGCAGGGTCTTCTGCTGCTCTGACGACAACCGCACCGAGTGAGTCCCATGTTGGTTGATACCTCACCCGTTGCTGACACTCTCACAGCCCCGAGGATGGCCTCACTTGCCCCAAGGGTTGGTCCATGCACAAGGAGGAGAAGTGGTGAGTCATTTCGTCAGCCACCTTTCGCACCGACGCTGATACGGTCTATAGCTGTATCCCTCCCACCGAGACTGCTACTTGTGACTGCGGGTACGTCCCTCCTCCTCTCTCCATCATTCAACACTGACACCCCTCTAGTGAAGGTTATACCTACAACGAGAGCACCAAGAAGTGCGACAAGATCCAAGGCAGCTGTCCCGATGGCACTTGGTACCACCGCCGTTCATCGTCCTGTATCGACAACTCGAAGCCGAGCGACCCCATCTCTGACATTCTCTGCCCCTTGATCGGATGGGTCTTGCGCGGTGACAGGTGTGAGCCTGAGGGTGAGCATAGCCCGGAGCCTTCGACTTGTCCTGAGGGTTACGAGTGGAGCCCTCAGTCTTGGTACGTCTCTTGTCGTCTGCTACTCGAACGTTGACTGATGCGTACTAGCACTTGTGGTGGTGGCGGGTCTCCTTCTCAGCGCGCTCTTGCCGCTCGTCACACTGGTATCCTCTACGGAGCCAACAGCTTCAAGGCCCGACAGCTCGCCAGGTAAACACCTCATGGTACGTCTTGCTCTCGCGGCTACATCAATGTCTGCTGACCATTCTCCAGAGCGTTCCTTTGAGCTTCCGTCCTTTATATCGTTATACTAGTAGTCACGGACAATCAGAATCGTTTTCTCGTAGCCTCAGCGTACACGTCTGATATCAAATGATGTATTACATTCTACGTCTACTCTCGCGATAGCAGCATTAGGGAGTCATTAGCGGGATCAATTGAATCATTACGCTCGGTGGTCCGACTTTTGTAATCTTTTCACTTGAGACAGAGCTTTACGTAAGCAGCTGTATTTCAATTCTTCGCCGCCGCGCTTGCAGTGATCAGCAAGATTTCTGTTCTGTCTCTCTACAACCACAAGCATTTCATCATGTCCGCCCAAGAAGAACACCAGCAGCAAGACCAGCAGATCAACGACGAAGACATCGTCGAGGTGGTGGAGGATGACGGCGACGACATTGGCATGGACTCGGACTCGGACGGGGACAATGACAAATACGACGGCGAAATCATCATCGGCGGTCCTGGGCCTGGCGAGGAGGATGAGATGATGATGGAGGAGGAGGAGGAGGGAGATGTAGAGCAGCAGAGGGAAGACAACAGTGTTGGCGTAAATTGTGAGTACTGCATGCTTGCTTGGGCATGACTGACTTTGATACAGCCGTCCACGCCGAAGGCCAGTCTGTCTTTACCATCGCTCTCCACCCATCATTCCCCAACCCGCCCTTAGCAGTCTCTGGCGGTGAAGACGACGTCGGCTTCATCTTTTGCCCCATCCCTGCCGACCCCTCTGGCATACTGCCGTTCACCAGCGAAACGTTTACTCCCCTCAAGCTTGATGGGCACAGCGATAGTGTCGTGAATGCGGCGTTCAACTTTGATGGCGAGATGGTGGCTACGGGTGGTATGGACGGCAAGGTGGTTGTGTGGCAGAGGACCAAGCCTGAAGCTGCGAGTGAACAGGCGACTGTTGAGGAGTGGAGCAACTGGCGGAAGATTCAAGAATTGGAGACGGGAACCGAGATTTCTGTGAGTCGAGACACCCTTTCGTATGACTCTAGCTAATTGGAATGTAGTGGTTACAATGGCATCCCAAGGGTAATGTCGTGGCTGCTGGGTGCGAAGATGCGACCGTCTGGCTATGGAACTGTACGTGCTTCAATTTCTTCGTTGTGATCAAGCTAATTCGTCCCCAGTGCCATCGGGTAACACTCTGAACGTCCTCTCCGCCCACACCATGACCAGTACCGTCGGTCTCTTCACTCCCTCCGGCAAACAGCTCCTCACCGCCTCCATCGACTCTTCCCTCATCCTCTGGGACCCCCGTGACCCTTCGCCCATCTGGAAATCCTCCATCTTCACACCTCCCAACTGGCCCGACCTCGACCCCTCAGAACACGGTATCACCGCCCTCGCTGTGTCTCCCAACGGCCAGATCGCTGCCGTCGGAAGTGCAGGCGGGCAGGTCAAGCTCGTCGGTGTAGCAAAGGGTGATCAGCTGGCTACCAAGCTCGTCGGGCACGCCGAAGGCGAGAGTGTCGAGGCGCTCGTCTTTGTCGACCTCTTGAACGGCGCTACGGGCGGTAACAAGGGCGTCGTCCTCGTCTCTGCCGCTACAGACGGCAAAGCCTTCGTCTGGGACGTCGCCACAGGCCGAGTCCGCGCCGAACTGTCCCACTCTGAACCCATCACCACCGTCACAGCGCACCCCTTCCCGCAGCTTCACCTGGTCACGACCGCGTCTGCCGACAGCTCGCTCAAGACGTGGGATATCCGTACGGGCGCGTTGGTGGGGACGCATACGGGGCATATGGGGGTGGTGAATGGGGTGGCGGTGGCGCCTGCGCCTGGGGGAGAGGGGAAGGCGCTCGTTAGTGCGGGCGATGAGGGTGTTAGTTTGATTTGGAAGATATAGGGTTAGGGGTGAGGGTATGCATCCTTGGTGAGCTCTGTTTGAGATGATGGTGTACGCGAGAGAAAGAGGCTGCAGTCGTCCCGTCCTCAGCATTGCATGCACCTATCCGACTGCTCCCAGACCACACTCCCAGACTCAATCCGGCGACCAGTCTCGGGGCGGGAAGTCGAAGGGCCTGCACGCAGTGAACAGCACGGCGGGACAACTAACGCGTGTCCGTGACGACTTGAGACGTACTAGATTATCGAGCAAGTTAAATTTTGATCCGTGACGAAGAAGACATGTCCGCTCACAAAGTTGCCCACCGTTTGGACCATGCCCAGAAGCAGCGCGGCCATTGTTATGGCAAGCCAGGGTTTCTCCGCCAACTCAGCGCCCTGTGCCCCGTTCCAGGCGATGATACAGCCGGCGAACGAGAGAAAGCCGCCAATCAGCCAGACGCCTGGGCCGGCGTAATTTCGAAGAGCGTCGCCCGCAATCGTCGGACTGATGAACTGGATCAGTGTTTCCTTCAACATTTGACAAATCGACACTCACTGGTTCCAGTCCAGCCCCAACCCAACAATCAGGCAGGCTGCACTGGCAAGCAGAATGACCGCTAAATGTATAACAGATCCAGTACATGTTGGCTCGAGGATGTCACTCACGGACTGCTATTTGTAAAAAACAGGTCTACTGCTTGCCAACGAGGGTGAGCCTGGGGCTGGGGCAGCGGCTGGTGCTGGGTATGCGGCTGTGGATGGACGGGGGCTGCTGCTGCTGCTGCTGGGGTTGTTGTTGCTGCTGCTGCTGCTGTGGTTGGTTCGTCTCTGAGGGCGACTGGGAAGAGGACGAGGGTGAGCGGGAAGTGGACGAGGGCGTGCGGGAAGAGGACGAGGGCGAGCGAGAAGAGGACGGATGTTGTGAGGATTCACCAGGCGGGGGAGGGTACGTGTGAAGCTGGTGCTGAGCCTGGGGCTGCTCCTGGGAATGGGGCTGGGGCTTGGGTGCTGACATGCTGTAGATTTGCGATAGAGAAGAGAGATGTGAATACGGCGAGGGTTTAGACAGAGGGTATGTGAGAGTTTTGCCTAGACCAAAGGAGGTTGTGCGAGCCCCTGAGGAGACGATGGATTGTCGAGGCAACGCAGAGCTTGGGCATCAGGACGCACTATCATGGTTCATGGGACATGGGGCATGCATCGGTGGGACTCTCATTAGAGACATAAAGAGATTCAGAAAGCTGACCGGCAGGCTGAACATATAGGGGTAAGGAGGAACGTCGCTCTGCTGACGTGAAGCCTTAGTCGGCGGCGTGCGAGGGTTAGTTAAGGCGCACAGAGCGACTATGCTTGCTAGCAGAGGCCATGAGCTGTATGGTACTGCTTAGCGGGGCCATACCCCCGTGATTGTAGCTTTTGGGAGATCTATCAACCAATCTCGCACCCAGGCGCGACTGCAGCCGCACAAACAAACAAACATACAAGACCGGTGCGAGCGACGCAAATGCCTTTACTTGTACATTCTGCCTATTTACCCCCTTCATCCAGACCCGACCCCCATCCAGCACCACTCTTCTTCAACATCAATCGGCCACACAAGCTCTATTATCGCGCCCCCCTATCGTCCACCTAGTCCATCTTTCCCCTTCTGCTTCGCAAGCCCCTCGCCCTCACTTCCTCACCCTCCCCTGTCATCCTGAGCCTCAGCGGTGGGGTGATTGCTGCGATAGTACTTGGTGTAGCCACAGGCTGCTTCATGATTGCGGGGTTTTTCATCGCATGGCAAAGGAAGAGGAGGACCAAAGGGGGAAGGGCGGTGCGACCGTGAGTCCGAGTGATGTCTACGGGCAGAAACGCGCTGATTCAATATAGTGTTGTGCCAGAAACTTCCGCTCACACTTCCATCTTTTAAAAGGCCCCCGTCGTCCTACTTGAGCCCACTGGCCACGTCTTGATAGAGCATTCAAAAATCGCAAATCAGGGGAAGCGAAGAAGGTTGAGAGACGCAGATGGGAAGGCACCTTTTCGCCTGGCGGTTCGACGGTCGACCTTGATTCTCCTGGGATCTATGAAGCGCAGTCGTCCGAGCCGGAAGAGTAGGGGGCAGGCGATGGATGGCGGCGTCATTGGGATCACAGGGATGTTCGGCTTGAAATTGAAGTCGGTGGGCATATGGACATTCAGCCCTAGATAGAAGCATATAAATGATGTGCATATAGTATACGACCTGTCAAGAGCCTTAGTTCTTGGTGTATTTGCAGACCAGTATACGGTTGACCGTGGCTGAGACATTGCAACTCGCGTCGGCTCCATACTGTAAATCTGCAAACGATTCCCGGTACACCAATGATCTGCTTCATATCTGTTGGATTCTTGAGTTCAGTACGCTGAACGCTGTAGATAGTAGACGTATACGGTAGACAAGTAGTTACGTAACGTAGCGGGACCAGATGCCCAATGTGGCGGCACGAGGTTCAGGGACTGCAGCGTGGTGTATTGTGGAGCCTGTTGTGCTTTCTCATGCTCTTTCATCTTACCAGGTGATAGGTGCTGAAGACTGTACAACAGTATTCAATAATATCGAGGTCAAAGTACTGTACAAGTAGCGGAGAAACCATCATCATAATTCGCCAAGATACTCCCTCGGTTGATGTGACAGTATCGAGAGACGACATCATGAGGCCAAGTTAATCGAAACGTAGGAGAGCGATATGCGATGTGGCGATGTAGCAGGCAGCTGGCACGGCGCAGATGAGGACGAACCAGTGAACACGAGAGGGGTAAAGTCAATGATGGGTCGTCTGGAGAAGGCGTCGTCGGGACGCTGAGGTTACGATCACCTCCTTAAGCGAGGAGGAAGGACCCTTCCTGGGAAGCAGCCAAAAGTCAGCCTCGATCACAAGGGAATACCGGGGAAGGACGTACTTCACTCGTACATCTCTCCAGCATCGTCCTACCATTCTATCATCAGACTGCCGCCTCTCCATCCTGCTCCAAAAGCGCCTTTATGAGTAGGTTTTTGCGAGGGTATCTGAAGACATCGCCGGGAAAGAAGTTGACAAGAGATGATGCTCATTGATTGTTCCGGGTTCTCGCGCTGGATAGAAATCGACTGTGTACCCCCGCTGATAACCAAAACGTATCTCCGAGGTTCCGGGCTGGTCTGCGAGAGATATTAGAGCATGCGCGAGATCGGAATAGCCAGTTGCTCACCCTGAGAAGCGGGGGGATGGGATGAGAGTACTGTTTTCTGATTCGATGTTGAGATCAGAGGGTGTTGGGGCAAGGTGAGAGAGCAAGGGTCTGCCCAAATCTCCAGGATGGTGGTCGCACGAGGCTCTTGACAGACACGGGAACCAGTCGAGGAAGGGTGGCAAAAGTCGATATTTTCCTTGCGCACAAGAGACAATCTCGAGGAAGGGACTGTAAATATATCGTCAGCACATGCTCATGTGAAAATCCACGACTCTGACCCTCCGTATCACTTCCTCTATAACATGACCCTCCTTGATCTCCGTCATAAACCAGGGATTAGAGTGGTCCTTGTCGTAGCTTTCGAAGCGATCCGCCAGCTTGGGGTGAGCTTGTAGACGCGGTGGGCTACTTCCATGTTACCGGTCGACTACAGTTAACGGCGTACGCGACAAGCGGGAACTCCCGTCAATGACAGACTCAAACGCGACAAAAACAGCGTTCTCGGGATGTTTGAAATAGCCATAGAAGAGTGCAATGCTGGTTTCGTTCAAAGTTGAGTGACTGCGGTCGTCCATGGGAGGCGGAGTGGTGGAGATGATGGCTATAAAGAGGTGATCAGCAGCGTTTACGATGCGATAAGAGGTGTGCTTACCCTTCCCAAAATGAGTCGGTGTAGATAGGAAAGCAAGGTGGCTTGGACAGTTGGTGGCGGTGATAGTGAATCCGGGGCTCAGAATATGCTGGGTACCGCTTGCCATGGCGGATGAGGGCGGAGCTCCCATGCAGTATCATCGTCCCTCACCCCTGATTCCGAATCCGAATAGCCATATTCCGTGCCGCCATCTGGAACCGACTTGTCGTCAGCCACCCCAAGACGCTCGAGACAACCGTGATGTGCGTATAGATCAGGATTCCCCCTGCAAGTCGGGCAGTGGTTCTTCATGACATCGACGCTCCACCGGTAGTCGTGGAGGATTTGCGTCTGGTCATACGTCGAGGATGGTGGAAAAGCAAGAGGGTGGGTAGAAGGCGCTGATGTTGGCTACGAGAAAGTCAGTCAAGTCGCAACATGGGGGGTTGAAATGACTTGCAGTAGTAGGTAATGAGAGGAGAGGAGATACTGCCTGTTGCCACGCAGTAGGCCAGAAGGTGTCGGAACGAGAAGGAGGACGTTGGTCTCGCGCGGCTCTATACAGTAGAAGTCGAGGTTTCCTTGGCGTACATGCGGAGGAAGAGGCTGTGGAGGCATCGTCAGTATACGGCAATGATTGCAGATAAGTCGAATGACCTGCCTTTCAGCTATCTCTCTCTGCGCAGACTGCCCGGGCACTGGAGTAGTAATTGACACCGTCACCTTCGTAGCTGACAACACGATGTACCAGCGTGTGGTAGGATTGTATATCGATCGCTATGAGGACAGTATCAGCGGTTTATATCATCGAACTAAATGTTATGGCTTACTAGAAAACCGGAGAGCAGATAATATGTAATGTTGACCGATCTTTTACTGGTAGCGCGCTCGGTCCACCAAGGCTGAATAAGAGGGGTCGTCGATGAGAGGCGGCGTGGTGGGGATGATGGCTTTGGAGATGTTGTCAGCGGCGCTCAGCGACGCGATGGGAGGTGTGCTTACCCGTATTCAGAACAAGTGCGGTACTATGCCAGTGGAGTGGTACGGCAGGGCTCAAAGCTCAGTGGCGCTGGTGGAGCCAGGGATCCGAAGACGCTGGTTGTCACGATGGATGCTGGCGAACACTGGCGGGGGACGCAGGGCTGACGAGACACCGAGGATTGCTGCTTGTCGGCGGTGTACTCGGTGGCGGGGATATATGCAGGGCGGGACATGAAAAGACAGATGGAAGAGAAAGAGAAGAGAAAGATAGAAATGCTGGATCAGATACACGGAGGAGGACTGGAACTGGAGGCGGCGGCAGCCGAATACCGCATATACAAGGTTTCGTACTAATCACTGACTCTAGTGAAAATTGTCACCACCCATCCCATGAAGAATCATTGTCCTTAGTGCCCGGATCCGAATCTTCCGAACCATACTCCGCCACACCATCCGACACTGCCTCTTCACCAATGACCCCCAAGCCCAGAGCCTTGATACACCCATAATGCTCCCGCTGGATTGGGCTGGCCCGTCTAGGATTAGAGCTGAGGGTGGTGCTGACTATAACGCTCCAGGGGTAGTTGTAGATGACTTGGGTCACTTGAAGGACTTCGGCAAAAGTCATTGGTCGGAGGAAGGCAGGATGAAATGCGTGGAGCTACAGCGCGCAAAGCTGGGGCTGACAGAGACTTACTTTCAGATGTAATAAAGATGATGATGATACTGCTTTTTTCCGCACAAGATATCTGAAGGCGTCGGGGCAAGTTGAGGCATGAACGTCTTCCTAGGCTCTACCCAAAACCATAACGATGTCGTTGAAGGCTTGCCCGGGGGGATGGGAACGTCTCAAGGAAGAGCCTGCGGGGAAGTATCATCAAAGTAATATGAGTGATGTAAATAACGAAATCGACCCTCTGTTGAACTCTCTCCTTTCGGCCAATATGAGACTAACGCCCTCGTTGATCTCTGTTGCAGACCTTGAACTGGAGTAAGTGTTGATATTGTCCTCGTCGCTGTGGACTAAGTGATATACCAGCGTACTCGTACAGTACGCTTGTACGTCTATCGGGCTATGTGACCAGAGCCAGAGAGACACTCAGTCAGCAAACGGAAGTTGCTTACGCGGAAAGCGGCTGAATGATGGCAGAGTCAAAGTTATTCTGTACAGGGCGAGTTCAGGACACAAGTCGGCACATAAGCGCGTCCCTCGGATCGTCGGAGGTGTAAGGAGGAGGAAGGATAGGTGGGGTGTAACCTAAGGGCGGCTACGTAGTGGATCTGACTAGGGGCGCCAGATGTCGACCTTGAATAGGCTGGATGGATGAAGGAGGGATATAGGTGAGGAGGATACTACGAGAATACATCGATGGGGAAAAGGATACGGAGACGCGGCACGATGTATATATGATGTGGGAAACTCATCTCGCAATCCCGCCTACGCATCCCTGAGACCATAGCGGCAACCCTAGTCCCCAAGCCCTGCGCTACATAGTACACGTCACAGCATCTCCTACTAGCCAGTCTGTACCAATCCCTTACAGGAGGATGGACCACCATAAAACCCGACGGCCTTGACTTTGTCCTTGTTCCATGTACCACCATATATCGCGGACGCGCGTGAGCTACGGGAGACGAGCGGGCAGGTCTTTAAGAGGTGTTTGAATGCCTACCAAAAGGGGTGGGGCGATGACCCGATGCGAGGCGCCAAACTTGCGCTGCTGGCTGTCGTCTTTGGAGTAACCATGTGTGGTATGAACGAGCTGTCAAATTCGGAGAGGGTAGGGCAGGAGAGAGATCAGCTCAGTAAAATCAGCAGGTTACTTTCATGCCTTTGTTGACTCAAAGTACCGAATTTTCCATCACATCAAGGAGAGTAGAACTGGTTAAATTGATGGTGACCTCAACGCTGAGCTTGCTGCTGCTACGCTTTGAAGTAAAGAAGAGATGATTTTCAGTTCACATGCATATATGGTTTCTATTGGGAAAAGATAAAGTGAGGGTAAGATCAGCCCTGGCAGAATCGCCTTATTCAAAAAAGCCCTCGGAACGATTTTGGAACAGATGTCAGGTGGCATGAGGCTATCGTCTTCTGGTATCGTCTGCAGCGTCGTTATATACAGGCGTGATGCGCGGCGAGCTCTAGCGTTCGGAGCCCGTTCGGGACCCATCATCACCTTCATAATAGCCCACCCTCCCTTGAGGCTCCACCTCATTCATTACCACCGCGTTTTGATGGGTACATGCAAGGGACATAATATTGGGGTAGGTGGGTTAGAAAGTATAACCTTTAGGGGCGACAGTATGCATCTTCGATCGACTTGATATATTGGCCTGGTATGAATCAAATGTCAGAAAGATGCGTGGGTCACAGACTCAGACTTACATGCACCGACAAATGGCGAAAGAAAAATGACAAAAAGAAGCACACTGTGGGAAGGGTTATCTGGTTGCTCTTGCCTACCCTGCTGACTCTGCTCGATGAGAATCGAACCACACCAATTGAGCTTCGGGTATATAAGGACGGATATGATCCCGCAAATAAGTGTTGACAGCCCAGTGACGATTGGCCTCGACCGGATTAGCATGAACGAGACTCCAGCCGTGCACGGTTATGATCCGTGGGACAAAGGCTGGTGTTGGGATGCTTGCCCCCTCATCTGCCCCATAGTCAGGAGCAGTCCAGAGCGGATTTAATTCTCAACTCACCCGTTTCCTTGTTGTATTTGAGGGTTTTTGTGGACGCGATTGAACTATCACCGATAACAGTTCTCAAACTCGACACCGACGACGATGAAGCAGGGGAAGATGATGCAGCTCTTACGGAGTCAGGTTGTCTGTCATATGCTTGGGCATAAAAGTTGCTGGCAACCTCCTGATTCCGATCAGTGATTCTTCCTCATTCAAATCGGGACGGCTTACCTGACATGACCAAGGATCTAAAGGCTCGAAATTTGGAAAATTACGATACGCCGTGTCAGATTCCACCACTTGTCGTCCATCGGGATAATTCATCCTCAAATAGATGTCCTCTTCTTGGACTGGCAGGTATTCGTACCTTACTCCAAAATTGATTCGGAAATACCTTCTCATATCTGGCCTCACTATCCACCAAGCATCCCACCAGACCTTATTTATACCTTCCTCGTGACGTTTCAACACTAGCTTGGCCACACTGATAAAGGTTGAAGGAATTGCCATCGTAAATTTGTGCTCGCACTCTTGGTAGAAGACGGTGCAGGGATCGAGGGGCTCACCCCAATTGAATGTAGCATCAGGTACCCATCGGCGGGGTTTGTGATGGCCCCTCTCCCAGTGAGAGATCATGCCCAGCATTGGGCCTAGTTCGCCTGCCTCAGATCGAATCAGCTGACATCTTCTAGGATAGTAGCCAAGTCTGGTGGTGCCACTCACGTATAGCATACAGCATCTATGTTTGCAAGCTATCATCTGCACCCGTCATATAGAACTCTTCTATTGCGATTGCGGGGACCCACTTCATAGTATCGAAGGATCAGCTCTCGTTCCATCTCCAGCGGAAGCGTCCCCCAGCTTCATCGTTCATGAAGCGTCATGACGAGGCCAGTGAGGAAATGTGACATTTGAGTGGCGCACAGGAATGCTTTGACTAAATCAGTGCGGGTGATCTAACAAATAGCATCAGTCCGTCATACTTTTACGAAAGATTTGGAATCAGGATACTTGCGGAACTGTCTTGCTCATCAATGAACTCTTCAAACCATAAAGATCGTATCTTGCCCTCTGACGCGAACTGATTGACTAAAGCAGCCGCCCATGTCGACCGATACTCTTTATACCGGTACATCACAGCACCACTAGTCTCATCTCGCCCCTCCTTGATGTGTCGCGCGGATCTGTGGTGCGCCGAGACCCAGTGCTGCTGCTGGTGTGCTGTTGTAACCACAAATTCGCCATCAAACCACCACCCTTTATCTATCTTTTGCCAAAACTCAAGATCCGGTGCTCTCCCCTCTCTTTCCTCGTTGATGTCAAACTCATGGTTTTGCGGATCAGACCATAGGCCGGAAAAAACTTCCCCGAAATAAGATCCCAAGAGCCTGCTGTCTTGATTGATCAACATCGTAGGCATCGTAGGTGACTTCGACATGCGAGGAAACATTGAGGTAAGAGGATAGACTGTACGAATCAGCAGTGATTATGACCTTGTAATGTTACAAGGTGTGCGGGCGGCAGTTGATCAGGTCAGGTCGGGCGGCGGAAACTTGGCGGGCGGAATGCCTCTGACGTAATTTTTGTTGTTGTTGACTGGTAGCATCTCACTTCACTACGCCTTCGTGCTCTGTTTTCATTGTAGAAGCCATGCTTGCTGAGATACTACTTTACTCAAAATGCTCGCTATCTATACACTAACTCTCGAAAAGACGTTTCAGGATTCAATCCTCCATTGTCGGGCAAATGACAAGAGGTGGGTAGGTATCGCGTGGTATGAGCTTCTCGTTGATGAGCCACCAGCTGCTGTAGTTAATACTACCCTTCTCATGAGTGCCTCTAGAATCTTATTCGCCTAATTCCACTCCGTATAAGGTATGTAGATATAAGGACCAACATATCTCCACAAGCAATAACGGAGACTCCAGCCGTGTATGTATAGACGTGGGATGAAGGTCGGCTTTCGTTGAGCAACTGGTTCTTCTGATTGCATGTAGATAAAGCGTCAGATCAATAAAAATCCAGAAGATGGCGAATGTGCACATGCCGTTTCCGAAGAAACCAAGTGACTGCCTCTTCAAGCATGCATATGGTGAATGGCCGTCGATGAGAGTTGATAAACTCGGTCCTCAGCATGATGACGATAGAGTTCTCTCAACCGAGGGTCTGCCGAGTATCTGACTTTGGGCATACGTTTCAGCCAGCTCCTAGATTGGGTCAATGGAAAGTATCACCTACGATCTTACAAGCTGAGAGACCAACCTGACGTGCGGACAACAGATCCAACGGCTTTGATTTTGGATAGTCTCGATACGTCTTATCCTGTTCCACCTCTCTTTCCACATCCGGATAATTCGTCTTCAACACACATTCTCCATCTCAAACGGCAGACACGCATACCTCACCTCAAAGTTCATTCGGAAATACCTTCTCATATCAGGCCCCACTACCCACCAAGCATCCCACGACACCTTATCCAACCCTTCCTCGTGGCGTTAAGGCAAAGTCGGCGATACTGACAAAAGTCGAGGAAATTTGAAGCGATATCTTCTGTCCATACTTGCAGAAAACGTCCGATGCTCATTCGTTTGTCTCGCTTGCCGAAAGAGTGGGGTTCCAATTGCCCAAAGTCGTATGAAATCGGGTCACAAAGGAGCCTGCCGTCTTGGTTGACCGACGGACGTAGCACCAGTTGCGATTCCGACCAGGAGTAGTAGTAGCTCTTTTGGCAGGCAAAGGATAATAACAGATGAGAGAGGATCATCGACATTGTTTGTTGAGGATTGGGCGGAACCTGGCATACATAGAGTTGAATGAAGCTGGGGTTTGTAATCAGCAGTTTGTAATGCAATAGGAATAGACGCGTCTATTAGCTTTTGACGCGTTCCCGCTTTACGTGTCTGCCTTAATTCCAACCCGCCACTCTTCTCTATCTTTTTCTTCTTTTTCGTCTATCGCCTTGTCACACTATCACCCCCTCGTCAACAGGACCAATATTCTCCCCGTCCTTGTGGCAGTGGAAATCGAAAGAATACATCAACAGCCGCCCGCCGGCTCCATCAGGACTCTTCGCGACACGTTTGTACGTTGTTCTCCAGAAACTTGATATAAAGCTCACCGCTGACTGTCTCCCCAGCTGCAAATACTAGTAGCCCCGTAAACGTCGTCCCTCTATCAAACTCCTCTTCGCCACCCCTACCTCCCTCCTGGCTATGCCGGACACGCCCTCACCCGCGTCCTCTACTTCCACCGACGAGACAACCCTGCCCACCCCCGAACACCCCTACGTCCTATCCCGATCCCCCTCCCCATCATACGACAGCGTCCAAGACATCATGCCGTCCGACAAGACGGATGAAGATGTCTTTTCACCCACGGCGAAACCGCAGATCACGACGCTCCACTACGAAAGCCCGGTTGAGCGCAGCTCCGATTCGACGCCGGGGAGTATACCCAGCATATCTGTTGAAGACACTGTCGAGCCAGAGGCGGGGGATGGGGCTTCTCCAACGCCGCACGCCAAGTATGGCTCTGCGTTGAAGGGTCGTGCCCCGCCCCCACCCATATTCCTCCGACGATCCGTTGATGGCCAAGACGATGCAAGCCCCGAGCCTGTCTCTGCCCCCGGCACTGCACCGCGTAGCAGCCACCCCTACGCCGCCTCCAAAGGCCTCAACATCTCTGGCGTGTCCATGCCTCAGATAACTGGGGGTCCTGTAGTGGAGCAAGGCGATGAAGGACTTGACGGTCAGGAAGAGCAGGACGCGCTGCCAGAGCTTGTCTCGCCCCACCGACTCAACTTTGACAATCCCTCCAATGCGCCTGTTAGCCCAGCTTGGCAATCATTCGACTCGCCCTCGGCGTACTCGCCATCGTTCAAACGGCAATCGTATCCCCGGTTCCCATCGCAATCCAACCTCGACGTCCCTTCACCTCTCGGCCCCAAAAGTCGGCAGCACGAGCCGACGTCGCATCATGGTATCCACTCCCGGAACCTGTCTTTGTACTTTCCCCAGCCGGGGAGTGTGCCGCCAAGAGAGAATGATGGAGGAGCAGGACTGGCGCCGAGTCCGGAAATGGCTACGACGACCCTTATACCCAGTGCGGACGAAGATCGAAAAGTGTTTGGAGGCGCTGGCAATTGGAGTTTCGGGCAGGCCAGACCAGAGGGTCAGGTGGGGCTATTGACGCCTGACGTGAAACGGAGCAAAAGGCGGGGTCACCATGTAAGTCAAACCTTTTCCAGATTTGATAACAATCACTAACGCTGTGCAAAAGCATAAACACTCCTTATCCCACAACTTTTTCTCATTCCTCGACCCAACAGAAACAAACCCCACACTCTCCCAAACCGAACCCTCAGCTCCTCCACCCGATGCAACCCCCGCCCCAGTCCCCATGCCCCGCTTCCCATCGACCACCACCGACTCTCTCTCCCCCATGTCTGCTTCAAAACTAGACCACTGGGGCCGCTTCTTGCTATCGTTCGCGGTGCTGGAATTCGTGATAGGTGCGGGGTTGTGGGTGGAAGGGCAGATGAGCGGGTGGAGATGTTTGGCGGGAGTGGGGTATCTGGTGGTTTTTGATGCGTTGGGAGCTGCTGTGGGGTATGTGGAGAGGAAGGAAGGTGGTGGGTGGAGTAGTGTAAGACGGCCTTACGGGTGCGTATATCTCAAAAGCAGTGGGATTTCGCTGACGATAGATCAGACCATCACGATACGTAGCGCTGCTGTACTTTGGTCAATGCCTCTTCCTCGTCTTTGCCGCAGTTTACATTGCGAAAGAATCGATCGAACAAGTCATCCTCGGCGCCAATGCGCATGACCATTCTGTTGGTGGGCACGGGCATGAAGGAGGAGGAGGGCATTCGCATGGGCATAGTCATGGCGGTGGGGAAGGAGAAGAGGAGAGGGCGTTCCCGGTGTTCTTGTTGATCTGTGCGGCGGTTGCGAGTTTGTTTGGGGGTGGAGTCCTGGGGAACCATGCAAAGTTGGTTGATGGTGAGTCTTTCCTATACGAGGGATGATCAAGCTAATTGTAATGGTAGCTGTGGGGTCATTGTTCTTGACGCCGACGTACATGATGCTACCGTTTGTCTCGAAACTGCCGTCATTGTTTGGGAACCCTTTCACGTTGACTGTGGCGGGGGCGAGTGTCGGTATCCTTGTCAGCACTGCGATCGTCCCTTCGTAAGCGCCATCACGAAAATAGCCCGAGTTCAACTGACGTGTTTCTTCAGATCATCCCTACACTCTGTCGACGCTCTCATCTCCCTCCTCCTAACCATCTTCACCTCTGCCCTCGCCTACCCCGCCACATCCTTCTTCGGCCACATCCTCCTTCAAACCGCCCCCCCCTCTTCAACCCCCCAAATGTTGGGCCTCAAAAAAGCCCTGCGCGAGGTGAAAGAAGACCGGCGCGTGCTGGGGCTTGGGATCGTGCGGTGTTGGGCTGTCAGTGTCGGGAAAGGTGGTTGGGATGATTATGACCAACAAGGGCCTGGGAGCAAGGCGGGAAGTATATCGTCTCCTGTCGTCTCCCCTCGAGGATCGATGGAGTTCAACTTCGCATCCTCCTTTTCTGCTTTTACCCCCGCCGCTTCCAACTCGACGGCTTCGAGCTACTTTGCAACACCAACGTTAAAAGAAGAAGCCTCCGCGCCCTTGGTAGTGACGCTCACAGTGCATGTGCACCCCGACTCGGCGGATGGGGATGTGTTGGATGTGACGAGATTGGCGTGGGGTAAGGTGAATCAGGCGGTGGGGAGGGGAGGGGGGGAGGGGGAGGTCAGTGTTTGTGTGAAAAGAGGGTGGGAGGGGATTGAAGAGACGTAGAGTTGTGGAGAGGGTATTTCATTTGGATTTGTAGCATAGCATTTGGATTGAGCGGTATCATGGGAATATTGAGAACGCATGGATCTGTTGTCCTTGTTAGAGCATCCAGGCATTGACACCCCTCTCTCCTCTGAACTGAATCGCAAGCGAGGATACAGTGGATGCTCGGGTCCCCGACATTCCCGCTCGCGTTGTAAACGCGGTGACCCAAATAAAGTACGCGAAAAGTCGCGTCAACCGCGTCTGTCCATTCTGCTCTTTCCTTTCCATCCCATCGCATCCCGTCATCCAACATGTCAGGCAGGTCCCAGTCTCCAGAGCGAGAGCCCAGGAGAGGTGGAAGAGCCAGGAAGCAGGTCGCCAAGTTTGACGCCAGCCAGTCGGGTAGGTTTCTCGCGTCATGTTCTCACCGACGCGTCAGCTGATGTTCGGTCAGATGGCAAGAAGGGGAAGAGAAAGCAAGCGGAAGAGGACGATGAGGATGAGGTGGGTGTTCCAACTCTGAGAGGGGTGTGGGCTGATCAGGTAGCAGGAAGAGTCTGAAGAAGACGAGTCGGATAACGAGCCGACGCCCAAGAAGAAACGGGCTCCCAAAGCGGCTGCCCCCAAGAAACCCAGAGCTTCAGCTGCTGCTGCCCCAAAGAAGAAGAGGGCCAAGAAGGCGGCGCCTCCTGCAGCTGAGGGTGAGGCCAGCCAGGCGGCGGAACCGGAAGAAAAGACCGACTCGCCTCTATACAGTAAGCGCGCCTTCCTTCCCGCACTTTTCCCAGCTAACGTCCACCAGACGCCCTGCAACAACCCGACATCGCCCTCCAACCGCTCATCGACGACTGGATCGAGACGTACCAGCAAGCCGCCGGTGATGAAATCTCGGAGCAAACTGCTATACATGAGCTTGTCGTATTCTTCATTCGCTGTTGCGGCATGTCTACCGAGATTGAGCCGGCTGAAGCGACGGATGACGATGGTATACCCGACACCATCGAGAGAATACAAGACGAGAGTGTGCGGGTTGCTTTGGCGACGTACCCGCTGATCAGCAAGGCCAAGCATCTCAAGCCGTTCAAGTCCAATTTGAACGAGTTTCTGCAGCGCTTTATCGACTCGCTGGCGCTCACGCCTATCATCTTTCACACCGTCGACACCACCCCTCACTCATCTCTTCTCCTCCCGCTGCTTCTCAATTGGCTGATGTGCATGTCTTCATCGCCTCTCCGTCCCATACGCCACACTTCGACGTATATCACCCACAAGATGATCACTGCCTTGTGTGATGTTGCGGCCCAGGTCAGCAAAGACCTGAGCGTCAAGCAGAGACAGAGAGATGCGGAAGTGCGAAAGGCTGGGAATGGGGCTGCTGCGCAAAAACGAGTCAAGGATGCTGAAGAAAAGGTCAAGGAGGAGCAAGAGAAAAAGGCGACATTGGAAGCTATCATGAACGAAGTCTTTGACGTGTGAGTAAGCATCTGAGACAATTAGGCGGTTCTGACGATACACAGAATGTTTATCAATCGAGTTCGAGACGCCGACCCCGCCATCCGAACCGACTGTCTCCGCGAACTCGGCGTCTGGGTCAAAAAATACCCCGAGTACTACACCTCCTCCTCCACCCTATCCTATTTTACCCGAGGCTGCAACGACCTCAACACCCACGCCCGTCTCGAAACCGTGCGCGCCCTCGCCTCCCTCTACTCGCGCGAGACATTCGTCAACAGCGCCCGCACGCTTACGATGCGCCTGGCACCGAGGATCGTCGAGATGGCTACAAAAGATATCGACTTGTCTGTGCGGGTCGCTGCTATTCAGATCATCACCCATATCGACAAGACAGGGATCTTGGAGGACGAAGACGACGATCTACGGGACCAGGTCGCAAAGCTCGTCTTTGACCAAGAGCCGCGGATCCGAAAAGCCGTCGGAGGCTACATTGTCAATCTCTGGGAAGAGCGCAAAGACGGTATGAAGGCTGTATGGTCGGGTCTGAGGGCGAATAAGAAGAAGCGGGCGGGAAAGACGACGGAAGAGGAGATGTCGACCAGGCTCGAGTGGAAGTCGCTCGCGGCGTTGTTGGTGTATACTTACAAGTCGCTTGATGTTGATGCGCAGCAGCAGTCGGAAGTGGTGGACAAGCAGTCGGCGTTGCTCCCCACGCCTTCCCCGCCGCCGATGACGCGCGCGATAGCTGCCGTGGAAGCGATATCTGCGGAACAGGAGATCTGGAGAGACTGGGAGAGCTTGGCTGATTATTTGCTGTTGGACCACTCGACGTCGGAGGAAGATATGTGGTTGTTGAATGAGGATGAAGAGACGTTTATGCTCCAGATCTTCCTTGCTTGTATCAAACACGAAGTGAGTATCAATTACAGGATGGGGATGGCGCTGACGATAGCAGGACGAGGAAGAAGAATCGGAGCGCACAAAGACGCTCATCAAAGTCCTTCCACGCCTTTTGCCCAAGCACCAAGCCGACATTGGCCGGATTGCCGGTATCCTCTCCATCCCTCTCCACATGGAGCTCAACCTATACCTCGACATGCGCATGACCCCTGCGTACGAATCTCTCTGGGACGACTTCACCAAACAGTTCCTCCATCACACCTCCCCCACCGTGCTCACCCCCGCCATCCAAGCCATCAACAAGCTCAACGCCAACTCTCCCCTGGCGAATGTGAATGAAGCCAAGCTGGCCGAGCTGGAGGAAGCGCTCTTTGCGGGGCTGAGGGATGTTATTGGGAGTGAGGATGTGGCGCTTGTGACGTTGGAGGATGACCAGATTGGCAAGTTGGAGGCGACATTGTTGAGGTTGACATTGTTGCAGAGGAGTATGGATATGACGGAGGTTATGGAGGATGAAGAGGGGCAGCAGAGTAGTGGATGGGATATCATCTGCGCTTTGGCGGACCGAGGGAAGCTTGGGTATAGGGAAGAAGCTACGGTGAGTGCTGCGATCGTAAGGTAGACACTGCTGACTTTTGCTTCAGATGGTCGGATACGCCGTCCAAATCGTCTTTTACCACATCACATGGCTCTTCAAGCGCTTCACCGCTGAAGACGCACAGGACGCCGACAAAATCACCACCCTCAAAAGCCGACGCGATACCGCACTCGAAATGTTCCAGCACTTGTCCCTGGGCGAGACTGCCAATACGGCTGATTCTGTCCGACGACACGCCTTTGTATCATTCATCAACACCTACGTGCTATTCTCCAAGAGGAATAATGCGGCGGGAGGAAAGGAGTTGCCTGCTGCTGCGGGGGTCGCGGCGCTGAAGATGGAGGACGAGCTGCAGCACCGGCTGGGCGGGGCTTTCCAAGGCTCTATCGAGAAATACGCTGCGGTTGTCGAAACCCGCCATGCTGGTCGCGATGAAGAGCAAGAAGGGGAGCCAGACCTTACACCGCAGGAATTACAGGACGATTTCGTGTTTTTCCAGCTCGTCTCTGTCTTTGTGGGTGCGGTCAGATGTGGGATCCTCGATGTGGATCATGCAAAAGAGCCTCTGGCTCATTATGGGCGATTCGGCGCTACGTATGATGCTATTGTCAAGAGGCTGGTGGATGTTCTCCGGGATGAGGGGATTTATAACAAGGAGGCGGATACTGTGCAGCATGTCGCTGGGAATGCTCTGGAGCAGGTGAGTCTTTTGATTCGTTGAGGGACGTGTGCTGATGAACGATAGTCCTTCGACATCTTTCTCGAATCCGACGTGGATGAACCGTCCGCCCCCATCGCCCTGGCCCGACTCATCGCCACTGCCTTTGTCATCCAAGGCTCCCAATTCACCATCCTCCGTCAACTCCACCCCTCAGACGTATGCGATTTCCACATCTCCGCCCTCGACTACTGCTCGCGCAAACTCAGTAGCGCAGTCAAGTCGGAGAGCACTGCGCGGAACAAGGAGCAAAAGGCCAGAGCGGTCAAGAGGCGGTATGCCGTCATTACCTTTTTCAAGGTGCTTGTACCGCTTTTGGGAGCGGTGCAGGGGAAGGACGCTTTGAAGATCAAGAGCCATCTTGAGGATGTGATCGAGTCTTCTGGGGTACACGTTACTTCAAACAAGGGATTCGAGGGGTACAGGCAGTATGAGAAGAAGCTTGTGGCGATTGCGAGTAAAGACCCCGTCGTCCGGGTTCTCGCAAAGACTGCTGCGCCCAAGAAGGTGCTGGAAGAGGATACGGAGGGAGATGAGAATGGGGAGGATGATCAGGAAGATAGAGAGGTCACGCCCACGCCCGAGAAGAGGACTCCGAATAAGGCTGCGGGTAGGCAGAGGTCCAATACCATCTCTCAACCATCCCCCAACGGCTCGCAAAGCCGCATTCAACACCAATCCCAACCTGACTCTTCCCTCACCCCCACTTCTTCACCCAAAACCAACGGCGCCGGCAAGCACGGCCCTTCCCCATCCCAGTCCCAGTCGTCGCAGAGAAAGAAACACCCTAGAGAAGAAAATGAGGAGGATCTGGAACTGGATCTGGATGAGTCGGTGAGAGGGAATGAGGATGCCGAGCTGGATCTTGATTTGGATCTGAATATGGATGAAGCCGAGAGCGAGAAGGAGAAGGAGAGAGAGCCGAGCGAGGAACCTGCTGTGAAGCGGCGAAAGACAAAGAGAGGATAGTCAGGGGATTGAAGTCTACATGGGATTTTGGTGTAATACTCGTACTTTACGAAACAAACTTTTCCGGAGATCTATGCGATTATTGAAAGTGATTATGCTGTTATGCACGATCTTTATCTTTGCGGTTACGAGCTTTGCTTGCATACCCTTCAACCAGTCATCTCCCTCTCTATACCAGCTTCGGAGCCTGTACGATATTTAGGTGATACATACGTCCCTCTATGGCATGGGGGTGCTACTGTGCACCCATGCACTGAACAAGACAGCCAGCGGGGGCGACGACGGAGAACATCAGTCAAGAGCGCCGGAACACGCAGAGTTGCCCGAAAAGGTAATTTAGCGGAAGCGTCAGGCACGCTCAGGAACCCTCACCTCCACTGCGCTGGTCCACTTTTCGCACCGGGGGTTGAGCAAGCTTTCATAGAGGCTGGGTGCTCGCTCCAAGCATTGCTTGAGGCCATAATGATATGGCAGGTAGCTGTGTTTCATAGCTACACCCCAGTGCTCGAAAAAATACTCTACGACCAAAAATGGGCGAGAAAAGTCTTCCAAGCTTCTTCCGCATTCCCCCTCTTGCGTCGAGGGCACCGGCGATGTGGTCATCAATCATTTGTCTCATGAACGACAAGTTAACCGCCGCGTATCCGTAGATGCATGCACATAGGGGCACTTTTCCATTCTATCTATCTTGCCTTCATCCATCATCCTACACTCCCAGGTATTCATTCTACAGCACCGTTCTTATACCACCCCCAGCACTACGTTACTCGTACCACCCCGCATCCAACCCCGATACCCCATTGCGCTTTTAGCCTCCCATCCTCTGTAGAATCTCCGAGTAATCTGTTCACCATGTGCGACGACATGGGTACCAACGGCATGGACAACTCTTTCGAGTCTTTCGAGTTTCTTTCTGCTCCGTCGGGTGATGCCGATCTTTCCGCTGCCGACAACAGCGAGAATTTGGCTTTTGTTGGCGACGGCGCCCTTTATGCTGGTAGGTACTTTTTTCAGCCTACTCCTCCTAACTAACCGTATGCAGCCGACGACGGTTCTGTCCTCGACAACGGCCTTGGACATGGCACCTTCCCAGCTGCATTGGAAACCCAGCTCCCTAGGGAGATGATGATGCAAGTGGCGGAGGAACCCGCTCAGTGTAAGAGACACGATGAGCCTGACGCTGGAGCTTCCGCTGATTCTCGTCACAGACCGCGTCCCCCAAGTCTACACCCCTGTTCCCATCGCCTTCCCACAGCGACAGCTCTATTCTGCTGCCCCTGTCGCCCCCCGCCCACGGGTCGGTGGCGACTGGCTCTTCTTTCGCACCGGCGGGTAAGTTGCTTTCTTGATTGGTATCAGAGATCTCGAGCTCACCCTCTCATCAGTCCCTGGCCTTCAAGGAGATCACCAGGACCCCCCCACCAATGGCCTACATGTGGTGCCTAGCGGCGTTTCCGAGGATCCCTTCGCCGACATTACTCTTGAGACCATCAATGCCTTCAATGGCCCCTTCAATCCGATCTTCGATACCCATCGTATCCTCACCACTCCTATGGCACCCTTCGGTGTTCCCCAAGCCTCGGTCATCATGCCTACCAGAAACACCCAGCAGGCAGCACCGCCCATGATGGACTGGACCAATTATCCTTACGAGCCTACCGCAGGTAAGTCGCTTCCCACTCCCCCCCGGAAGTCTTGTCTGATACATGGCGTAGACCACATGATGCTCCCTGCTGCTATGCCTGTGGACCTTATGGCTTACATCAGCCCCTTCCATGTACCCCCCGCTGCCGCGGCTACTTTCGGTCTCGACGATTCCAGCATTGTGTCCGCTTGTACGTACTGCATGCTGCGACGTCTTGTCTACTTGGACTGACCCCCCTTGTCTAGCTCTAGGTGATCTCGCTTATCAGTGCATGGTCCCTCGACAAATGCCTGTCACAAATGATATCTACCAAACACCCACAGGCGCTCAGGCTCTCAACCCTGACATCACCCAGCAGACCAACCATCACATCTCCGCCGCCCCTCAGCCCGTTCCGCCTTTTGTCCCCTCTTCCCATGTTCTTGGGAACGATGACTCGTCTCCCACCCTCAACAGCTCTGCTACTCAGCCGGCTGCCAAGAATACCGCCTCCAAGCGCAGGCGACAGTCTGCGGACGAGGGCGACAAAGGCTCCAGTCTCCAAGTGACCGACGAGGATGGTGAGACTACCGCGTGCATTATCAAGAATGGAAAGAAGATCAAAGTCCAATTGGAGGATGGAGAGGTAGTGCAGGAGGTCCAGCGAGTCTGGATTGGGTGCAATGAATGCAGGCGTACAAGGAGAAAGGTGAGTCAATACGCTCATGTCAAGACATACACATGCTCATATATTCCAGTGTAACGGTCTTCACGTCGACAGGAAGGAGCCTTGCGACCGCTGCATCGAGGGCGGCATTCCTTGTGTCTACTCGGACAAGGAGCGTGTACACGCTTCAAAGGGCAAGAAGAAGTCGCCTGAGGAGGCTGCGGCTTGCAGAGCCAAGAAGGAGGCCCAGAAGATCGAAGACGCTAGGTTGTTGGGTGAAGGAAAGTCCCCCAAGAGGAAGACTAAAGCTCGGATGGTGATCAGGTCTTCTCCTACCAAGTCCAAGAGCGCATCAAAGAAGGGGAAGGAGAGGGAGATCGAAGCCGACACTACCTCTGCTTCATCCTCTGACTTCAGCTCTCCTCCTGCCTCTTCGTTCGATGAAGGATCGCACTTCTCGTCTGGTGACTAGCTGGGAAGCAGCAGGGAAGTGACTGGAAAAGGTGTTTTTAGAGGAGAAAGACCAGTAAATCCCTGAGGTGACTCATACCAGGCCAACATATCAAGTCAATAGAAGATGCACACTGTCACCCCTAAGGCTATACCTTCTAACCCACGCACCCCCCAATATTATGTCTCTTGCATGTACCCATCAATACGCGGTGGTAATGAATGAGATGGAGCTGCAAGGGCGGATGGGCTATTATGGCGGTGGTGATGGGTTCCGAACGGGTTCCGACCGCTAGAGCTCGCCGCACACTACGCCTGTATATAACGACGCTGCAGACGAAACCATAAAACGATAGCCTGATGCCACCTGACATCTGTTCCACAATTATCCTGTGGGCTTGTTCGAATAAGGCGAAGCTGCCAGGGCTGGTTTTACCCTCACCTTATCTTTCCCCAATAGAAATCATATATGCACGTGAACTGAAGATCATCTCTTCTTTACCTTCAAAGCGTAGCAGCAGCAGGATCAGCGCTGAGGTCACCATCAATTTAGCCAGTTCTACTCTCCTTGATGTATTGGAAACTTGTGTACTCTGAGTCAACAAAGGCGTGGAAGTACTGCTGACGATTTTACTGAGCTAATCTTCCTCCTACCCTACCCTCTCCGAACTTGAATAACCCGTTCATACTACACACGTGGTGGCTTCGCACACATGTTGCTTAAAGTGGAATGTATTCTTACCGAATGCCAGCTCTGACGATGTCTCACCCATGTACGAAGTACGAGCTGTCAAAAATGACACAAATTCGCCAGATTTCATTCACGAAAACGCCGGGAAAACGCCTCTCTGGTCAGTCGTCCATCAGGCAACAAGAATAACCAAGTATGCACTGCGCTTACGCACGCGTACGAGAGCAGCTCCCTAGAAGTCCCCAACCAGTCCGTCGATACAGTCCTCCGAAATTCGCATACATCATTATCACCTTCAATCCGGCCAAAATCAGCCAATGTGGTACGATGCAATGAAGAACAGTACCAGTACAATGTGGGGCCAGCCTCCCCTAAAGATCGGCCATATCCGGAATCGCCCCTCGGAGACAAATTGAGTCTAGAATCAGCTGGGGACATGGAGGAAGGGCATAGAGTCCGAAGGCTGCGGAGGAGGGGACGCAGTCGGTGCATTCTAGAGCGTACGTATAGCTTAAGAAGATCTGTGAGCTATCGATGCACCTTACTCCAGATGCGAATCATCATACAGATACATCAATACCCCACCTTGCATATATGCCACCCACCATCCCATGCGCCCTTCGACTACACCTCTTCCTCAACTCGGCATCTCGGGCGTACTATATGGTCAAGGGCCATGGTGAGAGATGAGAGCCTGCATCTGTATGACGCGCGGCAGTGGCATGATGCTCGAGGGAGAGGAAAAGAGGACGGAGAGGTGCTGTCATGGCTGAGACGGGGGAGGGTTGAGTGAGTGGGACGTGACGAGAGCACCAACGCGAGGAACGAAGGTCTCGACCTCTCACCGCCGGAGTCCTCTCTATGATGGGTTGGCAAACTACACGGTATGTGCACAGCATGCTCAGGATGCCCAACGCTCAAGCTTACATGCTTATAGCCCGCCGGGACTGGTGGCTGAGGATGGCCAGAAGAGAAGCCTCCACCCTTGTGGCGAGGCCAGATCAACACCGTCACCCGCCCCAGAAAAGATATATAAGACTCCCCAATTCTATCTCTCTCTCTCTTTTCCCCACCAACAATCTTTTTGTCACTTTTCCCCCACAATGCTCTTCGGTGACCCTCTCTCCCTCCTCTTACTCGCCGGCTACGTCTCCGCCAACTCAGGCTGGGTGCTCCCTCTACTAGCGTCCGGGACCAGTGCTCCAACAAGGTCGACTTCCTCAGCGACCTCCTTGGCGAGTCTGCCGTTCTGACGACAACCGCACAGAGTGACTCCCATGTTGGTTGATACCCCACCCGTCGCTGACACTCTCATAGCCCCGAGGATGGCCTCACTTGCGCCAAGGGCTGGTCCATGCACAAGGAGGAGACGTGGTGAGTGCTTTCGTCAGCCGCCTTTCGTACCGACGCTGACAGGTCATCGACAGCTCAAGCCAGCTCCTCGACATCAACTCAGCGCCCGGTACCCTTCTCCACGCGGCGACAGCCCCCGGGAACCAGAGCAAGGCGCCAGTAATCCCGAAGCCTGGGCCGGCGTTGTTGTACACAAGGCCACCCGGAACGGTCAGACCAATAGACTGGATCAGCTCCAGCCGCCTCACCAACCCCAACGGCATCAGCAGTCCCTACCCCAGCAGCAGCAGCTCGCTCAACAGCAGCCGCCTCAGCCTCCACAGCCCCAGCCCCTGGCTCACCCTCTTTGGCAGAGAGTAGACCTGTGTTTACAAATAGCAGTCCGTAAGTGACATCCTCGAGCCAACATGTACTGGGTCTGATATACATTTAGCGGTCATTCTACTTGCGAGTGCAGCCTGCCTGACTGTTGGGCTGGGGCTGGACTGGAACCAGTGAGTGTCGGTTTGTCTCATGTTGAGGGAAATACTGATCCAGTCTATCAGTCGTACGGCTCCAGGTCATGTTTTGTACGACTACGCCGGCCCAGGCATCTGGATCATTGGCGCCTTTTTGTCGTTCCCCAGCCTTATCGCCGCCTGGAACAGGGTACCGGGGGCTGAGTTGGCGGCGAGGGGCTGGATTGCGGTGGCAATGGTCGCGCTGGATCTAGGCGTCGGCAACGCGGTGGGCAACATCGTGAGCGGACATGCCTTCTTCGTCACGGATCAGAGTTCTAACTCGCTCGATAATCTAGGTCCACTACAGCTCCAGCCCCAATTCCCTTCTCGATCTCCCCGACATGCCACCTCTTACTGAAGAAGAGCAACACGCGAACATGGACGACATGATAGCCGCCGCGTTGAGGGACAGCAAGCGAGAAAGGGAGCGCTACGAAGGCGAGGGAGTTGCGAGCTCGAGTACTGAAACACCCCCTTCTTCCTATGGCGAGGTGTTTGCTCAGGAGTCCTCAGAGGACTACCAGGATGGCGAAGAATCGTCAGACTACACTATGTGAGATGTGTAGGCGACGATGGACATTGCGTTAGTTGATGGCAGTTGGATTCGGGAGCTGTCGTTTTCGCCGAGTAGTTGCTACGGACGATATCATAGGAAAGCTTCCCATATAGTAATGTTGAAGCATATTGATTCCCCGTATCATGTACAATTTGACAACCTATGCGCGTGTCAGTCAACATCAGCCATGTATGGCTGCCGACTTCTCTGTCAACGTGATAAGCACAATTGACTCAACTTCACTGACGCAAGCATCATCCACCGGCTCACAAAGCCACCATTACCCTCATTCACTCGTTTCCGGTCGGCATGTACTGCCGCGTTGACGAGATACTTGTAGATCTCTGACTCCCTTGTGTCGCTGTGCGGGACGCCAGCAGCCCGGCCCATGGTCGTCATCTACTATTTCTAAACCACATGAACAGGCGGAGTCTTGATTCAAGAGACTACTTCAAAGGAGCACTCATATGCGACTCTACGTGCGCCACATATATTTATAATTCAAGTATGTATACACCTCAGATCATGAACGTTCACCTTCCGAACTCACACTCGACGTAGTCAAGAATGTCGCCCCCCAGCAGCTCCAGACAAATAAGCACGAGCTCTCGCCAACAATCAAGTCTAGCCCCAGCGCCGGCGCCACCAACCGATGACCTTACCTTTACCCCGTCCCAAGCTGCTTTGACTAGCGACAGTTTGTGGTCAAGGGCTATGAGGTCGAAGTACACGGGGTACATTAGTGATGCGGTCTCAGCCTTGAGAGGAATCTTCTTCGGGGTGCCGGAAGACGAAGAAAGTGGAGAAGACGAAGTTTGGGCCGACGCCGATGAAGGAGATGCCCGTACTCGAGTACCGTACAACCAGCCGCCGCGTTCAGTGCGGAGGCAGTGGTTATTCAGAGCCCCATTCTTGTTCCCACTCGCAAGATACGGAGACCCAGCCTGCTGGTCTTCCCGCCTTTAATGATCCACCCGAAGACCGCGAGCAGTCAGACCCTTCCGCTAACAATGCTGTCATTAACGAACGATATTCTGACGATATGGCTCGCTCAATCAGGGCCTGGCGACCTCCGGGCTACGAAGTGTCCAAATTTGACGTCAAATTGTATGATCAGTTCGGTGAAACTCTGCAGAACGCGTATGTCCCCCCCAGAGGATATGAATCCGAGGGGCAACGCTCCGATGACTATCTAAGGAGACGACGGTACTCGGTCGTCGACTCGGTAGAAGGCGCTAACGAGGAACCCTTCCGGCCGTCAAGTCCTAGGTTCGGATGGCGAGTCAATGTGGAGGAGGTCCACCGCTATGACTCGCATAGTCAGTATGACCAGGACTTCAAAGAGGTGTTGAATGAAGAGGTGGTTTATGCGTCGAATGTGGAGGAGGTCCGCCGCTATGATTTGCGTAGTCAATATGACCACAACACCACAGGGGTGTTTGATCAAGAGGTGGTTTATACATCGAATTGCGAGCATTGGTCTTCCGGCTATCGCGATATGTAGTAGTAAGGGGTCACCGATTGATGTTGAGCTAGATATTGATCAGTATCTTTTTGCCTGGCCCTATTAGCTAGATCGACATGCATGGAGCTGTATATCGTCGTGCTCTCCGAGACACCCTGAAATGATTATACTCGTGGTGCCTATATGCATGTTACATGATGATGTGCAGGGGCAATTACGCCGCTTGCCGAGACCCAGATATACATACAGACTAGCTTTCTAATTCACATACACCGACGCTACACTCGCCCTCGTCAGCGGCAATGGAACTGCCAATTAGCCAGGGCCCAAACCTCCTCCCATCCCCGCCGTCGAGGCCTGTCGCTTGGCCATGGACCCATTATGATATGCAAAGTCGGGTCGCTGGCATAGAAAGAAGGAAAGAACAAATATCAAATCCATCGCTAAACATCCACCAATCTTCTCGCATGCCTTGTACGAAACATTAAAAGCAATACAGTTCATGTTTTCCTTCCTTACCTTGACAGCTATTTATCTACACTACATTTCGCAATAAACAACGGTGCACATCGTGATACAATCACACATATGAGTCTCCTCTCTGATACAATCATTCTCTTTCCCTGCTTTACAACTTGACCCATCCGTCCGTCTCCTTCTTGTGCACGTTCTTGACAGTCAACTTGACCGTCTGGACCTCATAGCCTCTCAAGTTGAGCTCCACATGAGATGTGTTGGACTTGTCGGAGGTGGAGTAGACGGTGAGGTCTTCGAGGTGATCCTCGAGGATATTGACAATCTCAGCTCTGGCGATACTCAATCCCGAGCTAAACAGCACATCAGTATCACACACTGTGATCTTGGAAAGATGTTGACTCACATGTTGAGCTTTGCCCTCGCATGCCCTCCGAAATGCTCATAGACTCGCAAGATCAAAGAATTGGTGTTTCCGCCTCGTTTCCCGAAATCGTCCTCTTCGCCTCTCTTGATGGTTTCCAGCTGTACGTTGGGAGCGTTGCTAATTGAGAATGGATTAGAGGTGGCGAACTGGGAAAGAGAGGCAACATCGAGAGTATTTTCGGTCGCGTGGCGGGCTGGGGATGGTGTCAGCGAGTAGAGCAACGCTTTCCTGGTGGAACGTACCAGTCAAAGGTGAGTTGAAAGCGTAGGCGACCTGCGCCACATCGCTCTCCGTATACGTGCCCTTGTGGGGGTAGATGGCAAACGAGAACGCGTGCGTGCCCATATCACAGTCCGCGTCCGGCTCGGTAGGCGCTCGAAGGAGTGAGAGACGCATGACGTTGCCTTGAGTCGCACTAGGGAAGGCATTAGTACAGTCGAAGCCACTCAAGCCTTGACATACTAGCCGTATTTGCAGTCATTGAGAATCGCAACACCGTAGCCAAATTCGGAGAGGTCCGCAAATTTGTGCGCGCAGACTTCGAACTTGGCGGCGTCCCAGCTGGTGTTTCGGTGAGTAGGGCGGGAGACGGTACCGAATTGGGTGTCGTAGGTAGCTGATTCGGAGTAGATGTCAAGGGGAAGCTCGACTGCACATGATCATTAGTCCGGGCTTCCGATATTACTAGCACCCCACCCACACTTGAGGAAACGGTGCTTCTCTCGCCAATCCCTACAATTCCATCAGCATACACTTTACAAACTCAATGGACACACACTCACACAACAGCGTCAAACTTGATCATACTCCTCGCCCCTTCCCTCACCGAGGCCGGCACAGCATCCACAATGATCTCCAGATCAATCCTGCTCTTGCCGACCTGCAGCGCCGTGCTGATAACACCTCGGAGCGGGCCCTGCTCTTTGATGCGGAGCGATCCGAACTTGAGGTGAGTCTGCTTCTCCAAGTGGAACTCGTCGACATCCCACGCGCTAGTACGATGTCAGTCTGTTCCTAGGGTAGTTGAATAATGACTTACTCCCAGGCGTTGGGGTGGTCTTCCATAATGACAAGGCCGCCGCTCCGACCTTGAGGAATAAGCTCTTTTCTACAGACGATGTTAGCCGGGATGCAAGCGTCATGACCGCCAGACTTACTCGAGAGCTTTGTCATAGACACTGGTGATCCTTCCGTCTTGGATCTTGAGCGACAAATTGTCGTTGGACATGACGAACAGGTCGTCCTTCTCTTGGACTAAGGAATGTGGTTGTTAGCCACGACACAGGGGCGGGCGGGAAATGGTCAGGACTTACTTTCGACTCGGGGCGAGACAAACACTCCTTGAGGCATAGCCAACGACTTGTCTTCCCCGGTGCTCATCAAAACCCACCCCACATCTCCGCTTTCCGCGACTTGCGCTGTGGCTTCCTTTAAGCCCTTCACCCCCTTGCCAAGCTCAACCTTGACCACCTCCCGCCTCGCCATCCCCGGCGTTGTATTTACCGCAAATACTTGGCCTACCGCTTTCTCATCCTTGCCCACCAGCTTGGTCTTGGGGTACAAAACGGAGAGAGCTTCTTCGAGGATGGAAGAGATGGAGGCGTGGAGCGCGGCGTATTTCTTCTCGGCGTCTTGGTAGATCATGGCGATACCGCTGCCGGGGAGGACGTCGTGGAATTGGCAGAGAAGGAGATCTTCCCATGCAGCATCGAAGCGCTAAAAGAAGGTCAGTAATCTGCCAGCACGTGATTGTAAGGACAGGCTTACGTCCTTGGGGTACTTGTAGTCGGGGTCGGCGAGCGTAGCCATAGTAGCCGCATACTCGGCTTCGCGCATGAGTATCTCGCTCTTCCTATTCCCCTTTTTGATCGAAGCATGCGACGTGTACGTCCCTCTGCTCTCCCATCAGCACGATCATCCCACCCTACAGAATGAGTGCTCACCGATGGAGCTCAAAATAAAGCTCGCCCCTCCAATAAGGCAGCCTCACACCGCCCTTTGTCTCGTCCCTGACACTATCGAAAAAGTCGCTGAAGCTGCCGCCCATCTTGACGAGGGGGAGCTGGCCGCCGGCGTCGGGTCGTTGAGCGACAGAGCGGGCGCGGCGGAGCCTTTCGAGCATGGGCGGGGTGGGACCGCCGCCGCCGTCTCCGTTTCCAAAGAGCAAGAGGGCTTGAGCTGTACAACGCGTTAGTAAGTGACCGCATTGACAGACATGAGGGCGTACAAGTGACGTCGAGGTTCTTGTGTCCGGTAACACCTTTGCGGATATCGTCGATGTTGCACCTGGTTTATAGTCAGCCTTGTCGATCGATTGATATCGATGTAGGGGGAGGGCTCACTGGGAATTGTAGTTGTCGACAGGAGTCATGTGAGTCAAGATCTGAGACCCATCGAGACCAACCCAGTTGAAAGTGCTGTGAGGGAAGTTGTTACTGTTTCATTGTTAGGTTAAGTCTGCTAAGCTTTCGGGGGGGGGGTGTCATGAAGGACGCTCACATTGAGTTCCAGGAGAGCTTTTGGGTAAAGAAGTTCTTGGCTCCAGCTTGACGAGAGATCTGAGGTAGCTGACTCGAATAACCGACTACTCAGAGTCAGCATGACCCCGCGTCTCGACCGCCCACTTACAAGTGTCAGGTAGAACAAAAGTATCCGATCGAAACCCAAATCGACTCTCATAATACCTCTGCCCATACAAGAACTGTCTCACGAGCGCCTCCCCACTCGGCAGATTCGTATCCATCTCCACCCATGTTGCTCCCAGCGGCTGGAAACTCCCTTCGCTGACCTTTTCTTGGATCCGAGCAAAGAGGGAGGGGTAAAGCTGCTCGACCCATTTGAACTGCTGAGCCTGAGTAGCGGAGAAGCGGTGCTCGGGGTAGCGCTCCATGATATCGACTTGGGTAGACCAAGAGCGTGCTGCTTTCTGCTGGGTGACGGAGAAGGGCCAGAGCCAGGCGGTATCGATGTGGCTACACAGAAGTCAGTGAAGTCCAGCAGAATGAAATAGGTATTTACCAATGACCAACGCCCCATAGCGTACCGCCCTCCTTCTTGGCCTCCTCGCTCTCATCCTGGATGTGCTTCTCCCAGTCCTCTCCCAGGATAGTCTGCGCCACCTTGCGCCCTTTCTTGACACTCTCCAAGCTACCCTCCTCAAACACATTCATGATCTCATTGGCGACCCACTTCGCCTTCTGGGAAAGGGCCGAATCGCCGGGGAGGGTGTTGTATATCTGATGGATGGCTTCGAAATCCCACATCAGACGCCAGGCCTCTTGGTTCGGTACCACCAGGTCGGCCGAGTTGAGACGATAATATCGATTGTCGTCGGGCGGCTGCATATTGTCGATACCGAACATTCCATTACAGCTCGACTCGACATAGTAGTGGGCAACTCCAGCATCACGAGCGGCCTGAGGGACGATAAACTCGACGCGTCGGTCGCCTCCGAAGCCGCCTGTCAGACCATGGATGGGGTCGCCGTCGGTCGTAAAGATCATAGCCTCGCCCGAGCCATCAAATTCAAACTGTACCCGCTCATACTCGGCCCACTCCTTTGGGATGTGAAGGGTGACTTTGAACCAGTGATTGGACCAGCTGGGACCAAAGGAGTCGCCCTTCTTCGCCGGCTTGTACGTCTGGCGCTTGGCCTCTTCGAATGAAGGCTTGGAGCGATTGGGGGCAGACCACACTTCGAGCTTGACGTGCTCTCTGTCGTCGAGACGGTGTGCGAACAGCAGAGAGGAGAGATTGTACTTTGCGTAGTGACTACCCTGGATGCGGGTCAGTTGGGGAGCAACGTGTCTGTGATTGGTAGGCTTACGATGAACTGGTTGAGACGGCCGCCAGTGGACCCGAGCTTCTTGTACTCTATTAGAAGTCAGTGTCCATTCTTCGAGTCAGGATCGTCAGACGTCGACGCCCAGCTGATCCTGGTGGACAGCGAGTACCCCCCCGAGCGACGACACTCACTAGCCTGATCGGTCCTCTGGGGATAGTCTGTTTTCTTTAACGCCTCCATGATCTTCGGCTGATCTACAGCAGTCCCTGGTCAGCAGGGGTGGACAGAAGATAGTAGAGATGCAGATGCAAAAGAAGATAGAGATCGTGGCCCTCTATCGCTCCCCGGCTATCGCTCCCACCACCCACCTCAATTTACGTAACTCACGCACGTGAGCTCTCGGTCCTCCGTGTTGTTTGGTTCCCCTTGACCAAGATTTTCAGCTGTCAGTGGCACTTGGCTCCACTTTTGATGTCCTTTCAACAGAACAAAACAAACATTGTTTCTTCTACAACACAATATAAGCACACCGAAAAGAGAAACAGGGACAATGGGTACATATCATAGGACCTTCGGTCTTAATTTTGACAATTTTAGTGCTATCTTTCACTCGTCAAATCACCCAAATGGGCAGACAAGCCTCTGACCGAGACTGCTCGCCTTCCGAAAATATATCCCAGTGAAACGCTTCCCCCTGCTCAACTTTGTCAGTCGCCGATTCCTAATCACAAAGGTGTGATGATGGTAAAGGCAGTACCGAACTGCTTTTATCATCTACTATCGCTGGGCCGAACACAGCAATGTATTCATCCTTTCAAGAAAAACACGGTCAGATGGTGTCCAGCATACCGAATGTCATTGACGTGGGTTTATTTGTGTATTGCCAGGAGCACCGGCGACCCACCTGATGAAACGAAGAAGGTAAGGACCCCAGCCAGTAATAGCTCGCCTTCTTTGGAGTCCAGATGATCCACTCCCTTCTTATGCTACAGATCAAATACTACATATAGTCCTCAACCTCAGCCCAAATGCCCGACACTCGCAATCATCCAGGTTCAACCAACAACCCACAAGAAGCCAAGAAGACCATATACCATCATGTCCGATGAGCAAAGACCGCAAAATGAACCAGCCGTAGAGACAACTCCCACAGAGATGGACGTGGATACAGCTCCCACAGAGCCAGCCGTAGAGACAACTCCCACAGAGTTTAGTGAATGGGAGCGCTCCTTGATTCCTGAGCAGTGTTCGCGTATGGTCAACGTCTTTGTGAACAAAACTTTTGACCAGTTCAGGATTTTCAACAACTCTGACCCATCAGCTCGCCAAGTGAGGCGATCCGACCGTTTGCCGGTGGACAGTCATCTGTCGGAGATAGTCGACAGCTACCTGGTAGAGCAAGTGGATGCAAGGGAGAGCAAAGGCGAGACTTGCGGCAACATTGGTCACGTATATATCAAAGATCCGTCTATCCGTTGGTCAGCAGATGAAACCGCGCTGGTTCTCGGGGGCACCATCAGTGGACACGATTGGTCCAAGGAAGAGAAAGACATATCTAGCATAGTATAGTGGAGATCACCCGCTAGTTGCAATAATTTTGGAAGGGTCGCTCTTGGGTAGCCTGAGCGGGGAAGATTGCTATCATACATGACATGTCAGCCTGAAGGAAACAAATCGGTGCCATACGAGTACAGTACGGGTAGAGTACGAGTACTCGAGTACATGTCACTGAATGATCACTGTGTATGGCCGAGCGCATACACCAAACTCAGTGACTAGATTGGTAGCGTCCTCATCACCGTTGTTGTGCTGTCAACCGATCAACACTGTGCAGAACATTGCGTCGCACGAAGAGACTGTTTGATCATGCCTTCCTCCTCAGCAGCCGCCGTCTACCACCAGAAGAATGTGTGGTGATGATCTAGTCAATCAGCACGGAGCCTCTGACCATCATCGGTTGAATACAGTGAATTTTGTCGAAAGGACGTGGTCGAATTATGAAAAACGTGTATGCATATATGGTAGATGTTGCGCTCATTACAATTGTCCCCAGAAGCCTGGCCAAACTTTTCACCTGCAACAACAAAAGGAGATGATGGAGAAGGCCGTTCTGAATCGAGCTCACGCCAACGTCATGTTGCACTGAAAGAAGACCCCAACTCATTTCAGAGATATGTAGCTCAGAGGAGCCTCTGCTGACCACCAAACCATACACTCCCTTCTTCTTATTGTGGTACCAGTAGCCAGCCGGTCCGACTACAAATTGCTCAGAGCGTGAAAGATCTTTCTGCAACAAGCTACATAACAAGATCGTCTTACCATGTCCCTTCATGAGCCATCCAGCGACCTCGAGCAGAGGGATCGAAGAAAAAGAGGTAGCACCCCCCGGGACGACAGAGCGCTCCAGGGTCCCTGAAGAAATGACACGCATAGTCACCAACTACATGAACTCTTCTACCTAAAAAGAGCACGAGTCTCGCGATCCCACATACACCGCCGTACGCCCTCGGGGAGCTACAACCCGGAGGAGGGAGCTTGGTAACCGTGGAGATGGCGAGGTAGTCGTATTAAGGGAGATTGGTGGAGCCTTGCCAAGGTCTGTCGAGGGCGATATGATCGGGAAAGACTTTTAGACTTTGGCGCGGATGACGGAGTGGAGGGAGGGACTGGATATTTTGGGGTCGGTGGCGAAGACGCCAGAGTAGGGGATGAAGGCCTTGTGCTCGTGGGTAGGGATTATGGCGAATCGTGGCTACATGATATATACGTTAGCGGATATGTCACACAAGTTCAGCCTCGAGACCTACAAAAGCGAATAGATGATGGAAATGGCTCGCTAAAGGGCTCGACAAGAAGAACCCGATGAGTCGATGGCAGAACCGTTGCAAGCTCTTGGGCTGTTTTCTGTCGTGTCATGCCCAGTTTCCGTCAATCGCCTCTTCTTCTGTCAGATAAAACTATGGCGGACTTACAGTGCCGACGTACGGCCCACCTACCACTACGACATTTTTCAGAGCACTAGGGGTGACCATTGCCGTCTGTCGCCTGGCACTGTCGTTTGGTTGGTATTGATGGAGAAAAGCGTGAATAATAAGTGGTATAACGAACGGAAGGGAGAAAACGAACACAAGTGGGGTAAAAGCGGAAAGAACGAACGAGAAAGAGCGCCGCTTTATATACAGCGGTAGAGGCTGCCGAGAGTTGACGTGTCGCCATCTTATATGATAAAAGCCCTGATGCCGGATCGGTAGTTGTCCCTTGTAGCCTCTTCGAGGTCTGTTTTTACCCTATATAGATCGATATACTGTCAGCAATCATAAGACCATGACATCTCATCGAGATCATAAGGCTGGCGCAAAGGGACCAGAATAAAAGAGTACGGCCACCTGGCTATAGTAGCATATATGTATTTCTGTATATCAGAAAAATAAAAAGGGCCGACGACATACCCTGTTGGGTCTTGTATCACGTAATGGCTGAGTTCAGCCATCGTCTTTATGTCCTTGCTATTGGGACTTGTACCAGGTTCCACGATACTATCAATAAGCGACTGTGGTAGGCCAGTACGACTTCCATCATGATGAGACCCTCCGCTGTCTTGCCTCTTTTTTGGTGGGAAAAGCCAGTTGGAAGACGGTTCCTCGGTTTCACCCTGGGCGTGCGTGCTTGATTGGTCCATGACACTGGCGTTTCTATGTGATGATTTGGATATTGATCTAAGGTTGTGAGCTCTTGATATGGAAGGTGTGTGATGACAAGGATGGTGAATGTTTAGGACCGTCAGATGCAACAAGCTTTATATATGTGAATGTAGCTTACATACCTTTTGATCAGAAACATCATCTCCCTTTGAAGTTTGAGACGCCCCGCTTCTGAAAGGTACCAATACATCGCATCAGCACATCTGAAAAAGATTAACATTGGAAAAAAAAAATATCTCGTCTTCTGTTCACGAAGCTGCGAAACGGTGATTCTCCACCAATGATCCATTCTCAAAAGAACAGAAGAGCAAACATACAATGCCGAGCTTTTGGACCGAGGCGAAGAAGCGTGTACGGGATGCTGTTGTGGTCTGGTCTTTGGAACTGACTGCCTAAGAGCCGTAGAAAATGGAGATCAATATTCCTTCATGTTGCAAGTTCATTCTTGATAAGAGGTGACTGATGAGGCTTGAGAAGGGACGAGGGGGCTTAAGATTCGGAGGTTCAAGATTCGAGTATCGAGAGTAGGTATAGGGTAGATGGTGAATTAGGCAGGGTATATGAAGGTGACATTTCCAGGTGCGGATCGATATAGTCTTTGATTGCCTCAGCAGTGACAGAACAGAAAAAGAATATATATATATATATATATATAAATAGAACCTCCGTGCTTTCTTGGTGTGAACTTTGTGGGTATAGTCGTAGTGTCCTCGACCTCTTTGCCTGCCTCGAAGGTGGAGGTGTATTGAGAGTTCTGAGAGATACTGACGACAAGCCGAGAGGTCGATAGAGAGGGACTGACTGTCTCGTAACAAAGGGAAGACGGATCGTGTTGATTTCGGCGTTGAACCCGTCAGCACCCGAGATCACTAACGCTCTGTGCATCAGCCTTTCATTGGCTCGATTCATTCTGAAATAACTACTCACCTTCTGCTGATATCTGGTCGGCCGCTTGGTCGTTGAGATATCGAAATGCACCACACAACCCATCATGGAACCAACGAACAACACTGTCATCGAAGTTCAAAAAGATGATCGTAACGCCTTTACATACAACCCATCATGGAACCAACGAACAACACTGCTTATCTCAGAACAACCCATTCCCTACAGCAACCTCAACACCCCTCCCTCCCGAAATCACTCGTTATCCCAACAACAACCTTCCCATTCCCCTTCTTCACCACCTTCCCCCCGTCCCCATCTTGCACGACCAACAGCTCATCCGGATCGTCCCCATGCACATGGATCTTGACCTCCCTCACCTCCTTCCTCTTGCGCATGACCACCTCTCTCACCCTCTGCTCCACGCCGTGCGAGTCGACCACGGTCATATGCGGCGGTACGACGACCGTCAAGTCGAGGTACGTCTGCCCCCCGCTCTTGACGCCGCGCACGTTCCTCACGCCGAGGAGGTCTTTGCCATCGACGAGTCCGCCGACTATGCGTTCTATGGAGGCTTTGGTGCTCTTGTCGACGCCGGCGTCTAGGAGTTCGAGGAAGGCGACTTTGGAGAGGGAGAGACCTTGGTGGAGGATGAAGAAGGAGACGCAGATACCGCCGAGGGGGTCGAGGAATGTGTAGCCGCCAAAGGAGGAGCCGAGGATGGATGACAGGGCGACGAGGGAAGTGAGAGCATCCGCACGATGACTGGACACTTGTCAGCATACAACAATCGCAGAGAAGAGCAGAACGTACTGCAGGGCATTCGCCTTCAAAACAGGACTGTGCTCCTCATTTGCAACTTTTGACGTCAATCTATACAGCCACTCTTTCACCACCACGCTCGCCAGCGCAAACCACGCCGCATGAGGGTTCAAGATGGCGCCCGACGTAGCAGCAGCTTCGACACCATGAGAGTGGACGTGTTCGCCGGCGGCATGGTCATGCGGGAGAGCCGATGGGCCGTGGGAGTGGAAGAGCTCGAGGAGGGGTGAGGGGATGGAAGGTGGGAGATGGGGCGCCAATGAGCGGAGGAGGGTACCGGGAGGGAAGGTTTCGAGGTATGGTAGCAGTGTTTGAAGCAGCAGCTGTCCCCTCGTCAATCCTGATCTGATCGCCATATGAGAAAGAGACTCACGTGATAACTATGCAGCCCGATACCCACCGCTCCACCCACCAAGATCACGCTCACCGTCAGCGTTCCAAACGTCTCAAACTTGGAGTATCCCCAGGGAAAGGCGTCGGTGGCGGGTTTGCGAGAGATACGCCATGTGGCAAGGGTGACAAAGTCCTTACATACACATATGAGCTCGGCGGTTTATTGGCGTAAAGCAGATATACTCACGCCCAACAAGTCGGAAAGACTGTGCCCAGCTTCAGCTAGCAGCGAAGCCGAGTTCATCCACAGCCCCGCCAGGCCTTTCGATACCGTCAACGCGACATTACTCCCCAGTCCTAACACTTCATATCAGTTTCCTCTCTTTCTCTCCCCCACCGGATTTACACTCACCAAGCAGCGTTATCCTCGTCCCCCTATCCATCTGCCCCTTGGAAAGCGCCTCCATAAGCTGCTCCGCCCCCTCCGAATGATCATGCGCATGCGTATGAAAGATGCCCGAATGACTATGATCGTGACCATGATCGCACTCCTCTCCATCTTCATGTTTGTGCGTATGGGTGTGCTGGGGTTTGTCCTCGGTGGTGGTAGAATTCGGTTTTGTAGAATGCGGCCGTATTCCGAGGACCCCACTCCGCCTAGCCACCCTCGGTACGGCTCCCAAACCCAGCTGCAGCTGCCCCTTGCCCCATTCCCATTCCCTTCTCGCCCCACACCCCATCCCTGCCTGTTCCAGAGTATCCACCGATAATGCGCATAATCTCGAATAACTCTTCCCTGCGAGACGCGGTAGCGGTATCAGAGCTGGCGCCCCGGCTGACAATGACAGTCGAGGATGATGCCGACTGGAGAGGCGGAGTGTTATTGACATCGGTCTTGCTGTAAGCTCCCCTGCTTATGTCGTGCTGCTGCCGTGTCGAGCTGTAGATAGGCGGGTGTTGGTATAGGTGAAATGGAGGAAAGATCTCAGTTCTGGTAGAGGTAGATGATGACTGGAAAGAGTTTAATGCGCGCGTGTTTTGGTCCCGAAGTACCCGACATCTGTGGACTGTACTTGTACTTTATATCCCCTTGAGCCTATGCATACGCTTTTCCCCTCCCCTCCCTCCCTACTCCGCCCTACCCGATCACGAGTCCCCCATACATAGCCCATCGTCCTCTCCAGAGTTTTAGACTCTCCGGAAAACAAGAGCGTACGACTCTTCCCGGTTGGGCTCCGACATGACCGCGAAGAGCGCCAGCCTATCAGTTGACTGCTGATAGCTGATACGATAAGATTCACCTGCTCTTCCATTGGTTGTCACCCACTTGTCACCCACTCACCCACTCACCCACCCACTCTAAAGTATATACCTTTCCTCGCGGATGCGTCAGTGACGCCATCAGATGGATGGATGGATGATCGGGAATATGCAAATGGTGATCCATAGCCTTCCAGTCCTGACCTACCACGATGGCTTCTCCTCATATGTATTCTCATATACCCCTAAAAGACATGAACCACAATTCTAAAGTAAATGAGAAACTGTATAGCGGAGAATCTAGATGATTTGGCGAAAATGATAGGGAATATGAGAGGGGGCAACGGCAAAAGAGCCGTATACTTGTAATGTCGCGATGAAATGGAAACTCAAGCTATGCACACTAAAACAACCTGAAAGACGACCAGTCTTCCTCATCCTGTCGACCATCCATTGAACAAAGGCTCAACGACGTTCTACAAATCATCATCAGCACACCACCCCTCTTGAGAAAAAAAGGTCGAAACTCACTACCGACGACTTTCTGGATAGCAGCCTTCACCCCCTGCCCCGCCTTCTCCACCTCCTTCCTACTCCACACACTACTCACACAAACCTTCAAACTCGGCTCCGGCTCCACCACCTCCTGCCCCCTCAGCCTCCTCGCCCGCGTCACCAACACCCCAGAACTCGCCAGCGCTTCATCCACAATTTCTTGCAGGAGGCGTTCTTCCGCATCGAGCGTGGGCGGGGGGTCGATGAGGAAGATGTGGATGAGCGCGGAGGAGGGGTGGGAGGGGATGGAAATGAGGGCGTCCTTGTTGGGGTGGGCGTCGTCGGCGGAAGGCTCGAGTTTGACGAGTTGTTGGCGGAAGAGGGCGATGTTGGCTTGGAGGGTGCTGAGAGCACTGCCTTCTTTGAGCACGGTCAAGCCGAAGGAGGCGGTGGTGGCGAGCAGCGCGGGGAGGGAGGCGGAAAAGACGGAGGCGGACGAGTTGATACGCTGGTGCTTGCACACGACCTGGGAGCCGGCACAGAAACCACCGCCAGTGGCGAGGCCGACAGCCATGGAACCGAGGAGCATGTCGACTTCGGTGGCGGGGATACCAAAGTACTCGGTGATACCCTTGCCGTGCTGACCGATCATGCCGAAAGACTGGGACTCGTCGAGTATGAGACGGTACTTGTACTTTTTCTTGAGCTCGATCTGGGAAGAGCGTCAGCTCGCTATCATCTGGAGAGATGGTGTACGCACGACTTTAGGCAAGTCCAGCATCATACCGTCATTCTCAAAGATACCCTCAGCGACGATAAACATCTTTGTCAACTTGCTGCCCTTTCTCTTCCTGTCCTTCTCCACACTCTGCAGCACCCTCTCGAGGTCGGCCATGTCGCCATGGGCATACCACTTGATCTGGCATCGAGAGAGCTGAAGACCCTTGTGGATGGCAAAGTTGACACCGCGGTCGGCCACAATAATGTCGCCACGCTTGGCGAAAGCGGGAATGACGGAAGAGACGAGGGAGAAGGACTGGGAGTAGATGATGGCCGATTCGGTACCGATGAATTCAGCGATATCGCGCTCGAATTGTTGATGGACGTCTACAGCCCCTCGGTCAGCCGGCTTCCCGAGACAATTTTCGGCGGGACGCACCGATAGTACCGTAGAAACCTGAAGGACCACAAGACCCCACACCGTACTCGCGTAAAGTGTCAATAGCGATAGACTTGACCTTGTCGTTCTCCACAAGACCAGTCCAGTCGGGGATAGCCATGTTGAGCACAGACTTGCCGTTGGGCGAGAGCTTGACGCGGGCACCGTTGGGGCCGTGGACGATGGGGACGGTTTCGAGGGTGTGCGCGTCGTAGTCTACGAGCTCATCGACGAGGGGCACAGGCTGGTACTCGTCCACGAGCTCGTCGATTTCCTAAAGCGTTTCGCGTCAACCGCGCATAATACTACACGAAGCGGAAATGACACTCACATGCTCCTTAAACTTGATGACATTCTTGCCTTCTTCCTCACCTCGGGTCCGCCCTTTGAGAAGCGTGCGGATCGCAAAAGCAACCAGCAAGACTTCGAGGAGACTGCGCCACGGGTCGTTCTGATAAGACGACCTGATGTAGCGGAGGATGATGGGGGAGCCGGGGAGGGCGTCGAAGAGGTGCTGGGCGGTGTGGAGGAGGGAGGAGAGGGCTGCGAGGAGGGGGAGGAGGATGGGGGGGATGTCTGTGGGGGGCGAGTCGGACATGGCGGGTTGTGGGAGAAGAGGAGGAGGAGAAAGAGGGAATAACAATTGGACGCGTTGGTAATCGCCGGGGGTGGGCGGGAGACCTACGGGAGCTGTTTAGCGTGGTGGCGAGCGCCGCTGAGGGCGGGACTGCTTTCTATGCACATAAAAGCAGGGGTCTGGCGATAAGATGTAATATCTCGGACCACGATACGGGCTCAGGAAGGTTGATTGGGATGCATGGGGGGAGAAAGAACATCTGGCTGGCGGTGGCCCGTGCGCGTCGAGTCTACCTATTCATTGTCGCTCGTGCCTACGTACGTATTCTGGGTCTGCCCTCTCATCTGCCACAACATACCCTCCCAGTCCCGCTACATGCTCATGCTTAATCAAGAACCGTCCTGACCATGATACGTACACAAAAATCAGAATATATGCCGTCGGCGTAGTCCGCTATGACGGTGTCCGTTTGTCAACAAATCTCGCTGTTGCTGCGAGATTCCTACTGCCTGCGCTTCTTCACCTCGTTCGCTGTGCCCCTTCTTTCCTCGCAGCTTTTGGAAAGCAGTTCTATAACTCCAACTCCGCCATCCACCACTCACCCCTTCAACAAAACAACAACTGCACGCTCGCCGCCGGCACTGGGCCGCGAAGAAAATCCATTTCCAGATCTATACCCACAACCCCCTCACCCCGGACCAGCGAGTCAACATGGATACAGACCCCGAAAAGGGCCCCTCCTCCCATTCATCCCCTACCTTCGCGCATACCCCCCACCCATACGGTGCCCCGCCAATCCCGCACATCTCTCTCCGCCGGCGGCGGCTTATATCGCAGATCCTCTTGGGAGTAGGGCTCTTTAGTATAGCGGGTTGGGTGATTTGGGGGATGGAAGCAGATGCTTCTTTGGCCAAAGGTATGTCCTGTCTCGTCTCTAGACCTCTAGATGGGAGGGGGGGGGAGGGAAGCTGATGGAGGGATACAGGGCGACCGATAGATGCGTCCATACCTGGCATTCCGCTAGGCGCCGACGGCACGCCATACCCAATTCTCTTCGAGCCCGACCCCACATCCTCCTCCTCCTCCTCATCTTCCCCATCCCCGACTAGTTCTGACAAGGATCCAAACCGCGTCCTCTCCCACGCAGAAAAGATGGCAGCCCAGGGCAAGATCAAACCGCAATCCTGGGGCCTCGATCTCAATCCCGACCACATCACTGCCGGGCTCTCGCCATGGCCGGCAAAGCCCGAGGTGAATGAGAGCAATGAGCCCTTGTCGGTGTTGGGCCACTTTGCGGACGGGATCTACGATTACGGGCCCCAGGGGAAAGATGAGTATGACAGGGTCATGCGCGAATTCGTCAAGATCGCATTCCCCAAAGCAGCGCATGCTGTCCTTCTCAAAGGGCTTGACCATTTCCTGGGCGACGTCTCAGGAGCAGAAGAAGGGGGTGATTGGGCATGGGATAAAGAAAAGTATGTGTGGCAGACGGACAAGGACGGACAGCGGGTTGAGAGTAAGGAAGTGAAGAGCTGGAGAGATTGGAAGACGGTGAATGAAAAGTGGGAGTGGGATCTGTTGACGGATAAGGACGCTGAAAAGTGGGTCAAGAAGGTGCTTGCGGGTAGTCGGGTCAGGCAAGTCTGGGATGCGCTTCCCAGTGGTATTCTCGTGAGTCTTCATCCCCCCCTCAAAAAAGGGGGGAGAGAGAGAGAGCTGACAAGGGCAGCGCTCGGACATGCTCCGGTACCTCCTCCTCCTCCTCCGCGGCGGCATCTACTCCGACACCGACACCACCCTCCTCAAACCCCCCTCCAAATGGGGCGCGCCCCCCACCACGCCTCCCACATTGTTCAACAACGGCGACGGCTGGCTCACGCCCGAGCAGAAAGCGAGGCTGGAAGCGGGCGAGTCGCATGATGAAGTTTTGGGGCGGGCGAGTGTGGTTGTCGGGGTGGAGGCTGATGTGGGGGATAGGGAAGATTGGTATGATTGGTGGCCGAGACCTGTACGTCCTTCAACCCTCGAAATGAGGGACAACAGCTGACAATGAGCAGATCCAGATAGTCCAATGGACAATGGCCTCCACCCCCTCCCACCCCATCGCTCTCAACGCCCTCCTCCGCATCCTCCACGCCACCTCCACCGCCATCCACTGGTCCCACACCCAAGCCCGCGTCATCAAGATCCTCCTCGACCAAGGCCGCTACGCCGACGCCAAGTCCCTCGCCGAGGTCACGGCGCTGAATGAGCCAAAGAATGGCGGGCCGGTGGGGGTGATGGCGTGGACGGGGCCGGGGGTGTGGACGGATGCGGTGTTGAGTTATTTGAAGGTTGGGTGGGGGGTCAGGTGGGTGGATTTGAAGGGGTTGAGGGAGCCGATGAGGGTTGGGGATGTTTTGATCTTGCCTGGTGAGTATTTTTGCCTTTTCTTTTGTTGAGGATGTATTGACTGTTGCTTTCTAGTTACTGGCTTCTCGCCGGGTGTAGGCAACTTTGGCGCTCAGCAGAGAGGGGGTGAGTAACCATCCACATTCACAAGCAATACGTATGGATTACTGACGAAGGGTAGACCCTCAAGCAATGGTGGAGCACGGCTTCGCCGGAAGCTGGAAGACCCACGGCGAGCCATAAACCTCTGCCTTAACATTACATTACCACCCCAGCACAGCGCGCCCTGTACAAGGACCTCTGTACAAATGGCTATGGCGCGCCGAGAGAAAGTCGAGAGACCGCTGCTCTTCCTCAACATCCATAGACTGCCCTAGACTGCCCTGTTGTATCTAGTACCCTATCATAGCTCTTTATCTTATCGCACCGTCACGACTCCAATGCATGCGCCTTTTTGTACTCCGCCGTTGACCGTTGCCGTGGTGGCGTACGTAATCCGTGCCTTGAAGCGAGTCGCAACAATCATTTGGCTCGACTCCTGCTGGTTTACATCTCTGTTACATCTCATCTTGTCTCTTCATCGCATATATCATTCCAGCATGGCCGACTCGGTACTCCCCATCCCTCAAGTCTCCCAACCTTCCGGGCACTCCTCCACGAGCAAGCCCAAGCTCTACATCCTCGACTATGGAGCCGGAAATGTCAGATCGTGAGTTCGCTTCTATACCTGCCTGAAAGTGCTCATACAAACAGATTGGCAAACTCCATCAACGCCTTGGGACACGACTTTGAATGGATCAAGGATGAGAGCGACTTTGACAAGGCCGAGGTGTGTATTTACCCTTTTGGGCAAGAGCTGCGCTGAGACTGTATCAGAAACTCATCTTTCCCGGTGTCGGCTCCTTCGAAAAAGCCACCTCCGCCCTCCACACCTCCTCCAACCTCTCCAAGCACCTCCTGAACTATATCAACTCTGGCAAGCCCTACTTGGGTATCTGCATCGGTATGCAGGTGCTCTTTGAGTCCTCTACCGAGTCGCCAGGCTCAAAGGGTCTCGGCGTGGTGCCCTTCGGGATCACCAAGTTTACCTCGGAAGATGCGAGTGTGGAGGGAGGAAAGAAGAGTGTCCCCCACATGGGATGGAATAGGGCTTGGCGGGCGCACAAGCAGGAGGGAGAAGAAGAGTTGATCCACGACGAGGACTATTACTTTGTCCACTCTTACGCCGCGCTTCTGCCCAAACTCGCGCCCGGCGAGCAGCCTCCCAAATCTGTCGACGATTTCGCCTACACCCTTTCCCGATACGGATCTGAGACCTTCATCTCTTCTATACGGCGCGATAATGTCTTTGCTTGTCAATTCCACCCCGAAAAGTCTGGCCCTGCTGGTCTCGACCTGCTCAAGCGCTGGATCGAAGCTCCCGTCGAGAGCCTGTCCTCCAAATCGGCGGCCTCTTCATCCTCTTCTTCCAGCAAAGTCTGGCAACCCACCAACCCGGATCCCCTCCGCGCCCAGGGCAACGGCCTTACGAACCGTATCGTCGCCTGCCTCGATGTCCGTTCCAACGACGCCGGCGACCTCGTCGTTACCAAGGGCGACCAATACGACGTCCGTGAAAAGTCTGACGAGGGTGGAGAGGTGCGAAACTTGGGCAAGCCTGTCGAGCTCGCACAGAGATACTACCTAAATGGTGCCGACGAGGTCGCGTTCTTGAATATCACGAGTTTCAGGCAGTCGGCGTTGCTCGACCAGCCGATGTTGGAGGTGGTCAAGGCGGCGGCAGAGACGTGCTTTGTGCCCCTGACGATTGGTGGAGGAATCAAGGACACTGTCGACCCTGACGGCACCGTCCACTCTGCTCTCGAAGTCGCGGGCACCTATTTCCGTTCCGGTGCCGATAAGGTCTCTATCGGCTCCGAAGCCGTAATCGCCGTCGAAGAGATGCTCGAACGCGAAGCCCGTGGCGAGCCCGCCTTCTCTGGCAAGACGGGTATCGAAAACATCTCCAAGGGCTACGGCCGTCAGGCTGTCGTGGTTTCCATTGACCCGAAACGTGTATACGTCGACACCTCTTCCCCTGACTGGCTTTCCTCCTTCCCGCAAAAACACCTGCCTTCCCTCATCGTCGGCGACAACGCCACCTCACGCACAGCGCCGCAAGAAAAGGGCAAGGCGTGGTGGTACCAATGTACCATCTCTGGCGGCCGCGCTGTCCGGGATATCGATGTCGTCCAGCTCGCCAAGGGTGTCGAGCGCCTGGGCGCGGGCGAGATCTTGCTCAACTCTGTCGACAGGGATGGCTCGGGTGCCGGGTTCGATCTGGATTTGATCAAGCTCGTCAAGGGCGCCGTTGGGATTCCTGTGGTGTCTTCTTCCGGAGCGGGCGGGCCGGGTGATTTCGAGGAGGTGTTTAGGGAGACGGGGACGGAGGCTGCGTTGGCGGCTGGGATTTTCCACAGGGGCGAGGTGGGGATTGATGAGGTGAAGAGCTTTTTGGAGGAAAAGAAGATGGCGGTTAGGAACGTGAAGCCTTAAAGCTGGGCGCTGATAGATGTAGAGTCCAATGCATTGCAACCTACTGTCCGCGTTTGCCGTCGACTATGCCACTTTGCCCATTTCGGCCAAAGTATACGATCCTATACGAGTCCAAAGCGGGATGACACCTGCGCTCTAGCATGCCTACGGATGCTGTCAGCTCCAATAATGGCTGATGTGAGCGAGTGTGGCACCCGCGCTCAACGTTCGCTGATCGCCGGGATCAAATCTCTGTGTGGGTGTGTGTCACCATCCTTCCTCTTCCATTTGCATCTCTCATCTCACCTTTGCATCTTCACAATCTATTCCCTCTGTCTCTTCCCGCTCGCCACAGGGATAGTAGGAGGTGGAGTCGCTCTTCCTGGGGGCAGCATACAGCAAGAGCTGATCGTTGGGGTGCTCCTTATCACGATCATCGTCGCGTGAGGATTGGAGGAGGCTTTCGCCACCATGCAGGTAAGTAAGCATCAGCCCACCAACGCCACGCAGCACCAGCTGACGGTCTTTCAGAGCTGCTTCCAACAACTCGCAAGCGTCACGCCTGCCTATACACTCGCTTGGGCCAGACCCCATCCTTCTTCCGGCTTCTCCACTGGCGTTCGGTGCCAGGCCGACCACCTGACCATGACTGTGCCGATGTCTTCCTCCCAGATCACTCGGTAAGTCACGTCGCTCAAAGGCTCATACAATTGCTGATGCGATACAAACAGTCTTGCTGCGCAGGTAAAGCTTTGGCATCGGCGCCTTTTCCTCATGCATAACAACTTCCTCGCCAACGTTGGTTGATCACTCAACTTGCCTTCGTCAACGGCGATCGGACCCTTCCCAGGAAGTTCCACTGGCGCCCGGTAGCCTTCTCCAGACGGCGATAGCCCCTGGAAACCAGAGAAAGGCGCCACTCATCCAGAAGCCTGTTGAGCCAAGACCCAACAACCAGGCATATTGCGTTCAGAGCCAGGGCGCAGACTGAATGCATGGCGGCTCCAGCTGCCCCAGCCCCAGTCTGCTCCACCATCGGGCGAGCTGGTGCACACCTTCCCCCTCCTCCTGTTACCGTCCGTCCTCTTTTCGGTCCCCCTCCCAGCCGTCCTCTTCCCGGTCGCCCTACCGTTTGTTCTCTTCCCGGTCCCCCTCCCACCCGCTCCTGCCCCAATACCACCAATCCCAGCCCCAGGCCCGCACTCTCTGGCAGAGAATCAACCTGCTTATACCAATGGCAGTCGGTGAGTGACATCCTCGAGCCAACATGTACTGGATCTGACATACATTTAGCCATCACTATGTTTATGAGTGCAGCCTGCCTGGCTGTTGGGGCGTGGCAGGAGTATGACCAGTGAGTGCCGATGAAAAATTGTCTCCATGTTGATGCATACACTGATCCAGTTCATCAGTCCCACGGTTGCGGGTAGCGCCCTGACCAACTACGCCGGCCCAGGCCTCTGGGTAATTGGCGCCTTTCTCTCGTTCCCCGGCCTTATCGCCGCCTGAGACAGGGTACCGGGCGCTGAGTTGACGCGTGGCGCTGGCTTGCGATATCGATGGCCGCGGTGGTTCTGGGCATCACCACTGCCCCAGCCCCATCCCCAATCCCAGGAGCAGCCCCAACTCCACCAACCACACACATACCCTCCTCCTCCTCATGAATCCGCACCCCATCAGTCTTCTTCCCAGGTCCCCTCTGCCTCTTCCCCCTCGCACGCTTCCCACCCGCCCGCCGCTTCCCCAACGCCCGCTCCCCCCCCCCGGCCGCTTCTTTCTCACCCACTCCTCCCCCCGCCCGCCTCCCATACGCCACTCCCCCGCCCGCCTCCCATACGCCCACTGCCCCCCGCCGCCTCCCATACGCCCACTCCCCCCCCGCCCACTCCCCAGCAGCCAGGTTGGGCCCACGCTCTTTGGTAGAGAGTCAGCCTGCCAATCCAACAGGGTATCAGTGAGTGACATCCTCGAGCCAACATGTACTGGATCTGATACACATCTAGTCTTTACCATGTTGGTAAGTGCCGTCTGCCTGGCTGCTGGTTTCTGGCGGAACTTCGACCAGTAAGTATCGACAAACATTGTCTTATGTTGAGGGAAACACTGATCCAGTTCATCAGTCCCACGGTTGCGGGCGGGCGCCTTTACAACTACCCCGGCCCGGCCTTCTGGCTTTGTGCCGCCTTGTTCTTGCTCCCCGGGCTTATCGCCGCCTGAAACAGGGTGCCAAACCCTGAGGTGCGGTCGAGGCTCTGGCTTGGGGTGGCGGTGGTCGCGCTGTAGCGTGCCTGGCGTACGCACGCCCCATGGACTCTCTTCTTAACTTGACTCGTCTTCGTCCTCGTCACTCGTCTTAGTTCTCTTCCTCTCTTCTTGTAAGGCTGCCCGACATAGGTCGACACGCCCGTATTCGTCACCCTGACTTTCTTCCACCCGTCTCCTCTTCTCTATTGTCTTTAGCCTTTCTGTACGCTTCGCTGGTCGACCCGTACCCTTATTCGCTTCGTGTCGTAGACGTTCCTCGTAGTCGTCCCGTCTATCGTCACGTCACTTATTCATGTATATAAGAAAGGCTGGGTGTTGGGAAAGAGACCCATAACCATCTCTTCTCTCCCCTCCTCTTCTTCCTTTACCTCAACTACTACTTTCAAGACCACATCCAAGCGCATCCGTGTCTTCCTCTTCAAGTACTTGGACTAAACCATCGATTTCACGTGGTGGCACTTCCGGCTGTCACCCCCAGAGCAGACCGGGTCACCACACGCGCGGCTTGTGGGTTTCGTCGCCACGGTGGCCAACTTCGTGAGCGGACATGTCTTTCTCGTCACGGATTAGAAATCTAACTTTCTCGATAATCTAGGTCCACTACAAGTACTAGTACAGTGGATTGAGTTGTTCCGCCGTGCTGGCGATTGTCTGGAAGCAGTTGGGATAGGGTCATGCACGTGTTGAGGACGGGACAGCTGCAGCCTCTTTCTCTCGCGTACACCATCATCTCAAGCAGAGCTCACCAGAAATGCATACCCGCACCCCTGACCCTATATCGTCCCAATCAAATCAAACTAACACCCTCATCTCCCGCACTGACGAGCGCCTTTCCCTCTCCCCCAGGCGCAAGCGCCACCGCCAACCCATTCACCACCCCCATATGCCCCGTATGCCCCGTATGCGTCCCCACCAACGCGCCCGTACGGATATCCCACGTCTTGAGCGTGCTGACGGCAGACGCGGTCGTGACCAAGTGGAGCTGCGGAAAGGGGTGCGCTGTGACGGTGGTGATGGGCTCAGAGTAGGAGAGCTCGGCGCGGACTCGGCCTGTGGCGACGTCCCAGACGAAGGCTTTGCCGTCTGTAGCGGCGGAGACGAGGACAACACCCTGGTACCACCCGTAGCGTACCGTGGCACATGCCCTACGTTACCAACGCGGAATTCAACGCGAAAACATCATGCAAGCATAAACAGAAAATCCCGCTTCGAACCCCCTCTACTTTTACCAGTATCGCCGACTTTCTTGCAACGACACGAGGAAGGGTTGGATAAGGTGTGGTGGGATGCTTATACGAGCAGGTATTTCCGAATGAACTTTGGGGTAAGTTGCGCGTCTCTGCCTTTTGAGAAAGAGGAGGTGTACTTGAAGATGATCTATCTGGATGTGGAGAGAGAGGGTAATACTAGCTACAGCAGCTGGCGGATCGTAGAACGAGCTCATACCTCGCGATACCCGCCTCTTGTCATTTGCCCGACAATGGAGGATTGAATCCTGAAATGTCTGTCGAAAATTGGTGTATAGATAATGAGCATTCTGAGTCAATGCATATCTCAGAAAGTATGGATTTTACAATGGAAAAAAAGCACGAAGGCGTAGTGAACTGAGAAGCTACCAGGCAACATTGACAAAAATTACGTCAGAGGCATTCCGCCCGCCGAGTCTCCGCCGCCCCACCTGATCTTATCGCTGCCGCCTGCACATCTTGGAACATTACAAGGTCATAATCACTGCTGACTCGTACAGTCCATCTTCTTACTTAATGTTTCCTCGCATGTCGAAGTCACCTACGATGCCTACGATGTTGATCAATCAAGACAGCAGGCTCTTGGGATCTTATTCCGGGGAAGTTATTTCTGGGCTATGGTCTGATCCGCAAGACCATGAGCTTGACATCAACGAGCAAAGAGAGTGGAGAGCACCGGATCTTGAGTTTTGGAAAAAGATAGATAAAGGGTGGTGGCCTGATGGCGAATTTGTGTGTACAACAGCACACCAGCGGCAGCACAAGCTCTCGGCGCACAATAGGTCCGCGCGACACATCAAGGAGGGGCGAGATGAGACTAGTGGTGCTGTGATGTACCGGTATAAAGAGTATCGGTCGACATGGGCAGCTGCTTCAATCAAACAGTTTGCGCCAAAAGGCAGAATACGATCTTTATGGTTTGAAGAGTTCATTGACGAGCAAGGAAGTTCCGCAAGTATTCTGATCCTAAATCCTTGGTAGAAGTACGACTGACTGATGCTATTTGCCAGATCACCCGTACGGATTTAGTCAAAGCATTCCTGTGCGCCACGCAAATGTCACATTTCCTCACTGGCCTCGTCATGACACTTCATGAACGACGAAGTTGGGGGACGCTTCCGCTGGAGATGGAGCGAGAGCTGATCCTTCGATACTATGAAGTGGGTTCCCGCAATCGTGATAGAAGAGTTCCATATGACAGCTGCTGATGGTAGCTTGCAAACATAGATGCTGTATGCTGTACGTGAGTGGCACCACTAGACTTGGCTACTATCCTTGAAGATGCCAGCTGATTTGATCTGAGGCAGGCGAGCTAGGCCCAATGCTGCGCATGATCTCTAACTGGGAGAGGGGCCATCACAAACCCCGCCGATGGGTGCCTGATGCTACATTTACTTGGGGTGAGCCCCTCGATCCCAGCACCGTCTTCTACCAAGAGTGCGAGCACAAAGTTCCGATGGCAATTCCTTCAACCTTTATCAGTGTCGCCAAGCTAGTGTTGAAACGTCACAAGGAAGGTATGGATAAGGTCTGGTGGGATGCTTGGTGGATAGTGAGGCCAGATATGAGAAGGTATTTCCGAATCAATTTTGGGGTAAGGTTCGAATACCTCCCAGTCCAGGAAGAGGACATCTATTTGAGGATGAATTATCCCGATGGACGACAAGTGGTGGAATCTGACACGGCGTATCGTAATTTTCCAAATATTGAGCCTTTAAATCCCTGGTCATGTCAGGTAAGCCGTTCCAATAATAATATGAATGAGGCCGAGTCACTGATTCAAATTAGGAGGTTGCCAGCAACTTTTATGTCCAAGAATATGGCAGGCAACCTGCCTCCATAAAAGCTGCATCATCTTCATCATCTTCATTGTCGTCGGTCTCAAGTCTGAGAACTCTTATCGGCGACACTCCAATTGCGTCCACAAAGACTTTAAGTTACCGCAAGGCAACTGGTGAGTTGAGAACTAAATCTGCTCTGGACTCCTCCTGACTTTGGGGCAGATGAGGGGGCAAGCGCCCCAACACCAGGCTTTTGTTAACGTCCTAGTTCCAGTATGTGTCTCCGTAACGTCTTGGGCTGTGACTACCCCGCTGTCTGCTTGACTGCCTGCATTTGATGCATTAGCGGGGAGGTGGTGGCCTTCTCGGTTGGGAAGCCTGTTATCGTCCTAGTTCCCGGTATCAGTCAACGTGTACTTCCAGACACACAGATGACCAGAATGGTGGGGAACTAGGGAGCGTAGCTATGAGAATATATATATATGTGAGATAGAGCGGAAAGAAAGATATAAATAGGTAGGATGTACCGTAGTGAAGGTAACGGGACAAAGGTAACTGTTACGGGACCATAACGACCTCGGGTCTCTATCCCAACAGCTTTGTCCCACGGATAATAACTGTGCACGGCTGGAGTCTCCTACACGCTAATCCGGTCGAGGCCAATCGTCACTGGGCTGTCGACACTTATTTGCGGGATCATATTCAACGTTATATACCCGAAACTCACTGGGTGTGGCTCGATTATCCACGAACAGAGTCAGTAGGGTAGGCAAAAGCAACCAGATAGCCCTTCACAAAGTGTTCTTCTCTTTGCCAATTTCTTTCGCCATTTCATGTTGCATGTATGTCTTGAGGGCGGCCCACACAGGTTTCTGACATGTGATTCACAACAGGCTGATATATCAAGTCTTTCGAAGATGCATACTGTCGCCCCTAAGGCTATACCTTCTGGCCCACTTGCCCGCACGTATGCGGTGGTAATGAATGAGGTGGAGCTGCAAGGGCGGGTGGGCTATCATGGCGATGGTGATGGGTTCCGAACAAGTTCCGAAAGCTAGATCTCGCCGCGCACTACGCCTGTATATAAAGACGCTGCAGACGAGACCATAGAACGATAGCTGACACCTTGCCTACAGGGATCCCTTATTCTCCATCCCTCCTCTCCGCGACGATGGCAGTCAATCTACCTCAGTGATGCGAACACATTCTCAGCGAAGAGTAGGCAAATACAACCAAGAAAAGGCCAAGGATGTTCTTTTTGATGGCTTTTACAACGAGGGCAAGGACTCATGGGTTGTGACCCCATTTTTACCCACCCGCTAGCACCGTATGTTCTTTCTGTTGCGCAAAGTGGCTCATCTACTGAGCATCGCGTGAAAGAGCTCTGCTAATCGCTTCTATATAGACACTGTTCCACTACTTCATCTCCTGTTGCCGATACTAGCCGGCCAATCCCGGTGACTCAATGGCTCTCGCACGTCAACGATATAGGGTGGTACATGAAACTAGAACAAAGTCAAGGCCGTCGTGTTTGACGGTGGTCCATCCTCCGACGATTCGGGGGACTCGCTTATATCTTTGCGGGCTTGTGACTCCGATCTGCCCCCTGCAGGCGCGAGGCATACCCTACACTGAAGAGTCCAGCAATCATCTCTTCGATGGGTTCTCTAGCGATCCAACGGATGCTTCGATATCTTTGACTCTGCCATCATCCAGCCGCTTTCCGCGTAAGCAACTTCCGTTTGCTGACTGACTGTCTCTCTGGCTCTGGTCATATAGCCCGATAGACGTACAAGCGTACTGTACGAGTACGCTGGTATATTACTTTGTCCAAAGCGACGAGGACAATATCAACACTTACTCCAGTTCAAGCTTTGCAACAGAGGCCAAAGAGGGCGTTAGTCCCATGTTGGCCGAGAGGAGAGAGTTCAATTTCGTTATTGACATCTGTCATATTACTTTGATGATACTTCCCCGCAGACTCTTCCTTGAGACGTTCCCATCTTCCCGGGCAAGCCTTCATCGACATCGTTATGGTCTTGGGTAAAGCCTGGGAAGACATTCATGCCTCAACTTGCCCCGACGCCTTCAGATCTCTTGTGAGGGAAAAAGCGGTATCATCATCATCTTTATTACATCTGAGAGTAAGTCTCTGTCAGCCCCAGCTTTGCGCGCTGTAGTTCCACGCATTTCATCCTGCCTTCCTCCGACCAATGACTTTTGCCGAAGTCCTCCAAGTGACCCAAGTCATCTACGACTACCCCTGGAGCGTTATAGTCAACACCGCCCTCAGCTCTATTCCTAGACGGACCAGCTCAATCCAGCGGGAGTATTATGGGTGTATCAAGGCTCTGGGCTTGGGGGTCATTGATGAAGAGGCAGTGTCGGATGGTGTGGCGGAGTATGGTTCGGAAAATTCGGATCCGGGCACTAAGGACAACGATCCTTCATGGGATGAGTGGTCAAGATTATCACTAGAGTCAGTGAAAAGTAGACGGGAAATTCGATTTGCGAGTGTGCAGGTTGGACGCAGTGTCGGCAGAAGAACCTGTACTGCTGCTGGAGCTGATGCGAAAGACGGCCGAGATAGAAAGTTGCAATGTGTGTAAGCGTCCTGTGCATTGTCTCTTTTCATAGAATAAAGCTACAGTACTCAATAATGACGGGAGGAGAGAACGATACCCAACATACATCATGTAAATCTGTATATGTACGTAACCTTGCGGTATTCGGCTGCCGCCGCCTCCAGTTCCAGTCCTCCTCCGTGTATCTGATCCAGCATTTCTATCTTTCTCTTCTCTTTCTATTTCAACTGTCTTTTTTGTGTCCCGCCCTGCATATATCCCCGCCACCGAGTACACCGCCGACAAGCAGCAATCCTCGGTGTCTCGTCAGCCCTGTGTCCCTTGCCACTGTTCGCCAGCCCTCATCATGGCAACCAGCGTCTTTGGAGCCCTGGCTCCACCAGCGCCACTGAGCTTTGAGCTCTGCTGTAACACTCCACTGGCATAGTACCCCACTAGTTCTGAATACGAGTAAGCACACCTCCCATCGCGTCGCTGAGCACCGCTGATAACATCTTTAAAGCCATGATCCGCACCACACCGGCTCTCTTCGACGACGCCAGTCATCCAAACTTGGTGGCCCATGGCCCGAGCGCGCCACCAGTGAAGGATCGGTTAACATTCAATAACGAAGCCAACAATGTCCTCTGCCTGATCCAGCGATCCCACCAACGCTCTCATCGGCTTTGCGGCTGTCATCGCCTTCCCGGTCTCTTAGTAAGCCATAACATTCAGTTCGATGATATAAACCGCTGATACTGTCATCATAGTCCGATCGATATACAATCCTACCACACTTTGGTATATCGCGTTGACAGCTACGACGATGACGGTGTCAATCACTACTCCAGTGCCCGGGCAGTCTGCGCAGAGATAGCTGAAAGGTAGGTCAGTCGACATATCTGCAATCATTGCGGTATACTGACGATGCCTCCACAGCCTCTTCCTCCGCATGTACGCCAAGAAAACCTCGACTTTTACTGTATAGAGCCGCGCAAGACCAACGTCCTCCTTCTTGCTCCGACACCTTCTGGCCTGCTACGCGGCAACAGGCAGTATCTCGTCTCCTCTCTCAACAGCTACTACTGCAAGTCATTTCAACCCCACATGTTGCAGCTTGACTGACTTTCTCGTAGCCAACATCCACGCCTTCTACCCACCCTCTCGCTTTTCCACCATCCTCGACGTTATGACCAGACGCAAATCCTCCACGACTACCGGTGGAGCGTCGATGTCATGAAGAACCACTGCCCGACATGCAGGGGGAATCCTGATCGATACGCACATCACGGTTGTCTCGATCGCCTTGGGGTGGCTGACGACAAGTCGATTCCAGATGGCGGCACGGAATATGGCTATTCGGATCCGGAATCAGGGGTGAGGGACGATAATACTGTATGGGATCTCCGCCCTCATCCGACATGGCAAGCAGTAGAGTACCCAGCATCTTCTGAGCCCCGGCTTCACTATCACCGCCCCCAACTGTCCAGTCTCGTCAAGCCACCTTGCTTTGATATCCACCCCGACTCGTTTTGAGGAAGGGTAAGCATACCTCTCATCGCGTCGCAAACGCTGCTGATCACCTCTTTATAGCCATCATCTCCACCACTCCGCCTCCCATCGACGATCGCAGTCATTCAACTTCAAACGAAACCAATATTGCACTCCTCTATGGCTATTTCGAACATCCCGAGAACGCTCTCTTCGTCGAGTTTGGGTTTGTCATTGACGGGAGGTCCCGCTTGTCGCGTACGTCGTTAGCTTTATTTGACTGGTACTATGGAAGTAGACCGCCACGTCTACAAGCCTACTTCACGCTGGTGTATCGCTTCAGAAGCTGCGACGATGACCGAGTCGAATTGCACTCTAGTCCATGTTACAGCATATCACGGAGATCAAGGAGGGTGCTATTGTCATACCAAAGAGGAAGTCGAAGGGAAGGTCAGTGTCGTAGATTTTTACATGAGCATGTGCTGAAAATATTTACAGTCCCTTCCTCAACATTGTCTCTTGTGCGCAAAAAAATTATCGACTTTTACCACCCTTCCTCGATCGCTTCACGTGTTTGTGAAGAGCCCCGTGCGACCACCATTCTGGAGATTTGGGCAGACCCTTGCACTCTCATGTTGCTCCAGCACCCTCTGATCTCAACATCGAATCAGAAAACAATACTCTCGTCCCATCCGCCCGCTGCTCAGAGTGAGTATCTGGCTATTTCGATCTCGCGCATGTTCTGATATCTCTCGCAGATCATCCGGAGACCTCGGAGATACTTTATGGTTATCAGCGGGGGTACACAGTCGATTTTCATCCAGCACGAGCACCCGGAACAATCAATGACCATCATCTCTTGTCAAATCTCTCCCCGGCGATGTCTTTAATTGCCCTCGCAAACAACTCCTCATCAAGGCGCTCTTGGAGCAGGGTGGAGAGGCGGCAGCTTGATGATAAAATGATAGGACGATGCTGGAGAGAGGCAAAGTACATCCTTCCCCGGTATCCCCTTGGGATCGAGGCTGACATTTGGCTGCTTTCCAGAAAGGTCCTTCATTTTCGCTTAAGGAGGTGATCGTACCCTCAGCGTCCCGACGACCCCTTGTCCAGAAGACTCCTTGCCCAGACGGCCCCTCATTGACTTGACCCCTCCCGTGCTCAACGGTCCGTCCTCATCTGTGCCGTGCCAGCTGCCTGCCACATCGCCTATCGCTCTCCTACGTTTCGATTGACTTCGCCTCATGATGTCATCTCTCAATACTGTACCGGGAATTGTTTGCAGATTCACAGTATGGAGCCGACGCGAGTTGCAATGTCTCAGCCACGGTCAATCGTATACTGGTCTGCAGATACACCAAGAACTAAGGCTCTTGACAGGTCGTATACTATATGCACATCATTTACATGCTTCTATCTAGGGCTGAATGTCCATATGCCCACCGACTTCGATTTCAAGCCGAACATCCCTGTGATCCCAGTGACGCCGCCATCTATCGCCTGCCCACTACTCTTCCGGCTCAGACGACTGTGCTTCATAGCTCCCAGAAGAAGCAAGGTCGACCGTCGAACCGCCAGGCGGAAAGGTGCCTTCCCACCTGCGTCTCTCAACCTTCTTCGCTTCCCCTGATTTGCGATTCTTGAATGGTCTATCAAGGCGTAACCAGTGAGCTCAAGTAGGACGACGGGGACATTCTAGAAGATGGAAGTGTGAGCGGAAGTTTCTGGCACAACACTATATTGAATCAGCGCGTTTCTGCCCGTAAACATCACTCGACTCACGGTCGCACCGCCCTTCCCCCTCTGGTCCCCCTCTTCCTTTGCCATGCGATGAAAAACCCCGCAATCATGAAGCAGCCTGTGGCTACACCAAGCACTATCGCCGCAATCACCCCACCGCTGAGGCTCAGGATGTCAGGGGAGGGTGAGGAAGTGAGGGCGAGGGGCTTGCGAAGCAGAAGAGGGAAGATGGGCTAGGGGGATGATAGGGGGGCGCGATTATGGAGCTGGTGTGGCCGATTGATGTTGACGAAGAGTGGTGCTGGATGGAGGTCGGGTCTGGATGGAGTGGGCGCCTGGGTGCGAGATGGGTTAATAGATCTCCCAAAAGCTACAATCGCGGGGGTATGGCCCCGCTAAGCAGCACCATACAGCTCATGGCCTCTGCTGGCAAGCATAGTCGCTCTGTGCGCCTTTGAAAACCCTCGCACGCGCCGACTACGGCTTCACGTCAGCAGAGCGACGTTCCTCCTTCCCCTATATGTTCAGCCTGCCGGTCAGATTTCTGAGTCTCTTAGTATCTCTAATGAGAGTCCCGCCGATGCATGCCCCATGTCCCATGAACCATGCTAGTGCATCCTGATGCCCAAGCTCTGCATTGCCTCCACAATTGATCGTCTCCTCAGGGGCCTGCGCAACCTCCTTTGGTCTAGGCCAAGGTCTCACATACCCTCTGTCTAAACTCTCAAACGTATTGCATCTCTCAGCTCTATCACAACTGTACAACATGCCCGCATCCCAGTCCCAGCCCCAGTCCCAGGAGCCCACATACCCTCCTCCTCCACATGAATCCTCACAGCACCCGTCCTCTTCCCAGTTCCCCTCAGCCTCTTCCACCTCGCCCACTCCCACCCCGCCCGCCTCCCACTCGCCCACTCGCCCCCCGCCCGCTTCCCATTCGCCCACTCCCCCCCCGCCCGCTTCCCCTTTGCCCTCCGAGGCGCATCAATCACAGCAGCACCAGCAGCAACAACAGCTCCAGCAGCTGCAGCAACAAATCCAGCAACAGCACCAACAAATACAGCAACAGCAACAACAAATACAGCAACAGCAACAACAAATACAGCAACAGCACAAGCAAATACAGCAACAGCACCAGCAAATACAGCAACAGCACTAGCAAATACAGCAACAGCACCAGCAAATACAGCAAAACCACCAACAAATACAGCAACAGTCGCAACAACTCCAGCACACCTACCCTCCTCAGCAGCAGCATCTTCAGCAGACCTCTCAGCAGCAACAGCAGCTCCCGCCCAACGCTCAGACTCTCCAGACCCAGCAGCCCCAAGCTTACCCTCGTTGGCGGAAAGTGAGCTTGTTTCTACAATGGGTAGGCAGTGAGTGACATCCTCGAGCCAACATGACCTGGAGCTGATATATATTCAGTCGGCGCGCTCTTGTTCAATGTGGTTTGCCTGGGTGTTGGGTTGCTGCTGATTTCGCAGGGGTGAGTGTCGATAAAAATTGTCTTATGTTGAGGGAAAACACTGATCCAGTTCATCAGTCAAACGGTTCCGGGTCGTCGTCTTTTCAACTACGCCGGCCCAGCCTTCTGGATCCTTGGCGCCTTGGTATGGTTCCCCCACGCTATCGCCGCCTACAAAGGGGTACCGGGAGCTATGTTGACGACGAGGAGCGGGCTTGCGGTGCAGATGGGTGCGGTGCTTATAGGCATCGCCAACACGGTGGGCAACTTTGTGAGCGGACAGGTCTTCTTCGTCACGGATCGAAGATCTAACTTGCTCGATAATCTAGGTCTACTCAAGTTAGGGACACGAGTAAGTTGCCCCACCGTGCTGCTGACTGCTGCAGTCCCTTCGAGTCTATTGGAATTGAGTGATCAAGTACGCCGCCCACGTTAGTCTTTGTAGTTGTGTAATTTCATGTATAACGGGCGGACCATCATGTGGCGGGACGCCACATGACGGCTAAGGTCAAAGTTGGCTCTGTAGTTACATCTACATCCAATCGTCCAACAAATAGAGCCGCTATCTACCCTTCACTGGGCTACAGAGATACTCGAGTACAGTACAAACTACTTCGACACTCAACAGAACCTCCCGCCCCGGAACCGGTCATCTCAGCTGGATGGTTCAACGTAGGAGCGTGATCTGGTAGCAGTTGGAGTAGGTTCAGGAACATGCTGAGGACGGGACAGCTGCAGCCTCTTTCTCTCGCGTATACCATCATCTCAAGCAGAGCTCACCAAGAATGTATACCCTCACCCCTAACGCTAAATCTTCCAAATCAAACTGACACCCTCGTCTCCCGCACTAACGAGCGCCTTCCCCTCTCCCCCGGGCGCAGGCGCCACCGCCACTCCATTCACCACCCCCAAGTGCCCCGTATGCGTCCCCATCATCGCGCCCGTACGGATATCCCACGTTTTGAGCGTGCTGTCGGCAGACGCGGTCGTGACCAGGTGGAGCTGCGGGAAGGGGTGCGCTGTGACGGTGGTGATGGGTTCAGAGTGGGACAGTTCGGCGCGGACTCGGCCTGTGGCGACGTCCCAGACAAAGGCTTTGCCGCCTGTAGCGGCAGAGACGAGGACAACGCCCTTGTTGCCGCCCGTAGCGCCGTTCAAGAGGTCGACAAAGACGAGCGCCTCGACACTTTCGCCTTCGGCGTGCCCGGCGAGCTTGGTAGCCAGCTGATCTCCCTTGGCTACATCGACGAGCTTGACCTGCCCGCCTGCACTTCGGACGGCAGCGATCTGGCCATTGGGCGATACAGCGAGGGCGGTGATACCGTGTTCTGAGGGGTCGAGATCGGGCCAGTTGGGAGGTGTAAAGATGGGAGATCTCCAGATAGGCGAAGGGTCACGGGGGTCCCAGAGAATGAGGGAGGAGTCGATGGAGGCTGTGAGGAGCTGCTTGCCGGAGGGAGTGAAGAGTCCGACGGTACTGGTCATAGTGTGGGCGGAGAGGACGTTCAGGGTGTTGCCAGATGGCACTGGGGACGAATCAGCTTGGTCAGAACAAGAAAGTTGAAGCACGTACAGTTCCATAGCCAGACGGTCGCATCTTCACACCCAGCAGCCACGACATTACCCTTGGGATGCCATTGTAACCACTACATTCCGATTAGTTAACGTCATACGAGGGGTGTCTCGATTCACAGAAATCTCGGTTCCCGTCTCCAACTTTTGAACATTGTGCCGGTTGCTACGGCGCTGGAGAAGCCCCATCTCCCACCTCTAGCTCGACAGTGTCTTCAACAGATATGCTGGGTATACTCCCCGGCGTCGAAGCGGAGCTGCGCTCAACCGGGCTTTCGTAGTGGAGCGTCGTGATCTGCGGTTTCGCTGTGGGTGAAAAGACGTCTTTATCCGTCTTGTCGGACGGAATGATTTCTGGGACGCTGTCGTATGATGGGGAGGGGGATCAGGATAGGACGTAGGGGTGTTCGGGGGTGGGCAGGGTTGTCTCGAAGGGCGTGTTCGACATCGCCAGGAAGGGGGTAGGGGTGGTGGAGAGGGGCGCGGTAGGGGGACGATGTTTACGGGGCTACTGGTGTCTGTAGCTGGAAAGACAGTCAGCGGTGAGCTTCATAACGAGTATCCGGAGAACAACGTACAAACGTGTCGCGAAGAGCCCTGATAGAGCCGGCGGGCGGCTGCTGATGTATTTGTTCGATTTTCACTGCCACAAGGGGCGGGGAGGATATTGTTCCTGTTGACGAGGGGGGATAGAGTCACAAGGCGATAGAAGAAAAAGATGAAAGAGATAGAGAAGAGTGGCGGGTCGGAATCGGGAACGCGTCGAAAGCTAATCAACTAAGCTAATAGACGCGTCCATTTGTATTATCTCGAAGTGCATTACAAACTGCTGGCTTCATTCAACTCTGCTCTTATACTCTCGTACGTATGCCCGGCCTATTCGTTCGAACCGCCGCCCATTTCCCAAAAAACAATGTCTATGAATTCTCTCATCACCTTTGATCATCCCCTTGCCTGCCAAAAGAGCTACCACTACTTCTGGTCAGAATCGCAGCTGGTGCTCGGCAAGCGAGACAAAAGATAGGGACAAGCACCGAATGTAGAGTTCTGGCGAAGTCTCACAAAGGGGTGGTGGGTGTTGGAAGGTTAGGCTATCTAGTTTGCATATAAAGAAGAAGGACTATGTACACGAGGACATGAAATCTATGGGGAAAACTCTCGCGCGCCTAATTCCCTCCTTCGCCTATTTCTACCACTACAAGTTCACGCCGGGATACCACAACAGTGGGCTGGCTCGACACAAGCCCTTCCCACCCCCCCACCGAAGGGCTTGTGTCGAGCCAGGGGTGGTGGCCGGACGGTCGAGTAGTAGCGTAGTCCAGGATCTATAGCATATCGCAACAAGAAAAATTACGTCAGAGTCATTCCGCCCGCCAAGTTTCCGCCGCCCCACCTAGTAATCTTATCGCTGCCGCACATCTTCAAAAATCGCAAGGTCATAATCACTGCTGATTCGTACACTCTATCCTCTTACTTCATTATCTCCTAACAGCTCGAAATCACCGACAATGTTGATCAACCAAGACAGCAGGCTCTTGGGATCTTATTTCGGGGAAGTTTTTTCTGGGCTATGGTCTGATCCGCAAGACCATGAGTTTGACATTAACGAGGAAAGAGCGGGGAGAGCACCGGATCTTGAGTTTTGGAAAGAGATAGATAAAGGGTGGTGGTCTGATGGCGAATTTGTGGTTACAACAGCACACCAGCAGCAGCACAAGCTCTCGGCCCACAACAGATCCGCGCGACACATCAAGGAGGGGCGAGATGAGACTAGTAGTGCTGTGATGTACCGGTATAAAGAGTATCGGTCGGCATGGGCAGCTGCGTCAATCAAACAATTCGCGCCAGAGGGCAGAATACGATCTTTATGGTTTGAAGAGTTCATTGATGAGCAAGAAAGTTCCGCAAGTATTCTGATTCCAAATCTTTGGTAGAAGTATGACGGACTGATGCTAATTGCCAGATCGCCCGCACTGATTTAGTCAAAGCATTCCTGTGCGCCACGCAAATGTCACATTTCCTCACTGGCCTCGTCATGACGCTTCATGAACGACGAAGCTGGGGGACGCTTCCGCTGGAGATGGAGCGAGAGCTGATCCTTCGATACTATGAAGTGGGTCCCCGCAATCGTGATAGAAGAGTTCTATAGGACGACTGCTGATGATAGCTTGCAAACATAGATGCTGTATGCTATACGTGAGTGGCACCACCAGACTTGGCAACTGTCCTTGAAGATGCAAGCTGATTTGGTCTGATGCAGGGGAATTAGGCCCAATGCTGCGCACCATCTCTCACTGGGAGAGGGACCATCACAAACCCCGCCGATGGGTACCTGATGCTACATTTGCTTGGGCTAAGCCCCTCGATCCCAGCACCGTCTTTTACCAGGAGTGCGAGCACAAATGGCCGATGGCAATTCCTTCAACCTTTATCAGTGTGGCCAAGCTAGTGTTGAAACGTCACGAGGAAGGTATAGATAAGCTCTGGTGGGATGCTTGGTGGATAGTGAGACCAGATATGAGAAGGTATTTCCGAATCAATTTTGGAGTAAGGTACAAATACCTTCCAGTCCAAGAAGAGGACATCTATTTGAGGATGAATTATCCCGATGGACGACAAGTGGTGGAATCTGACACGGTGTATCGTAATTTTCCCCATCTCGATCCTTTACATTCCTGGTTATGTCAGGTAAGCCGTCCCAATCTAAAGGAGGATGAGTCACTGATTCGAATCAGGAGCTTGCCAGAAACTTCTATGCCCAAGCATATGGCAGACAACCTGACTCCGTAAGAGCTGCATCATCTTCATCATCTTCATTGTCGTCGGTCTCAAGTCTGAGAACTGTTATCGGTGATAGTTCCAGCGCGTTCACAAAAACCCTCGATTACCACAAGGCAACGGGTGAGTTGAGAATTGAACCTGTTCTGGGCTTCTCCTGACCCTTGGGCAGATGAGGGGGCGAGTGCCTCAACAACAGCCTTTGTCCCACGCATAATCTCCGTGCACGGCTGGAGTCTCCTTCACGCTAATCCGGTCGAGGCCGATCGTCAATGGGCTGTTATCACTCATTTGCGGAATCATATTCGTCCTTATATACCAGAAACTCACTGGGTGTGGCTCGATTATCCACGAACAGAGTCAGTAGGGTAGGCAAGAGCAACCAGATAACTCTTCACAAAGTGTTCTTCTCTTTGTCAATTTCTTTCGCCATTTCATGTTGCATGTATGTCTTGAGGGTGGCCCACACAGGTTTCTGACATGTAATTCACAACAGGCTGATATATCAAGTCTTTCGAAGATGCATACTGTCGCCCCTGAGGCTGTACCTTCTGGCCCACTTGCCGGCACGTATGCGGTGGTAATGAATGAGGTGGAGCTGCAAGGGCGGGTGGGCTATTATGGCGGTGGTGATGGGTTCCGAACGGGTTCCGAATGCTAGAGATCACCGCGCAATTCGCCTCTATATAAGGACGCTGCAGACGAAACCATAAAACGATAGCCTCATGCCACCTGACATTTGTTCCACAATTGTTCTGAGGGCTTGTCCGAATATGGCTAAGCTGTCAGGGCTGGTATTGCTCTCACATTATCTTGCCCTGATAGAAATCATATATGCACGTGAACTGAAATTCATCTCTTCTTTACTTTCAAAGCGTAGCAGCAGCAAGCTCAGCGCTGAGGTCACCGTCGATTTAGCCAGTTCTACTCTCCTTGGTGTATTGGAGACTTCGGTACTCTGAGTCAACAAAGGCGTGAAAATGACCTGCTGACTGTGTTACTGAGCTGATCTCCCTTCTACCCTACCCTCTCCGAGCTCGAATAACCCGTTCATACGACACACTTCGGACTTGTGGTGGCTTCGCACACATGTTGCTTGGAGTGGAATGCCAGCTCTGACGATGTCGCACCCATGCACAAAGTACGGGCTGTCAAGAATGACACAAAATTGCCAAATATCATCCACGAAAACGCCCAGAAAACGCCTCTCTGGCCAGTCGTCCATCAGGCAACAGGAACAACGAAAATTCACTACGCTTAGGCACGGCTAAAAGAGATGCTCCTTAGATGTCCCCAACCAGTCCGTGGATACAGTCTTCCAAAATTTGCAGGCATTATCACCCGGCCGAGCTCACTTGATGTGGTACGATGCGATGAAGAACAGTATCAGTTCAATGTGGGGCCAGCCTCCCCTGAGGATATGCCATATATCAATGCAGCTCACTCCCGATGCTGACCATCATACAGATACATCAACACCCACCATGCATATATGCTACCCATCGTTCCCCTCTTCCTCAACTCGGCATCCCAGGCGTACTATCTGGTCAAGGGCCATGGCGAGAGACGGGAGCCGGCTTCTGGATGAAGCGTGGTAGTGTAATGATGCTCTCAGGAGAGGAAGAGATGACGGAGAGGTGCTGTCATGGCTGAGACCGGGAAGGGTTGAGTGAGTGGGACATGACGAGAGCACCGACGCGAGGAACGAAGGTGTCGACGTCTCAGCGCCGGCGTCTCGTCTATGATGGTTGGGCAAACTACACGGTATGTGCACAGCATGCTCAGGATGCCCAATGCTCAAGCTTACAAGCTTATAGCCCGCCGAAACTGGTGGCTGACGATGACCAGCCTCCACCCTTACGGCGAGGCCCGATCAATACCGTCACCCGCCCCAGGAAAGATATATAAGACTCCCCAATTCTATCTCTCTCTCTCTTTTCCCCATCAACAAATTTTTTCTCACTTTTCCCCACAATGCTCTTTGGTAACGCTCTCTCCCTCCTCTCCCTCGCCGGCTACGTCTCCGTCAACTCGTGTCGAGTGCTCCCTCTACTAGCGTCCGCGACCAGTGCTCCAACAAGGTCGACTTCCTCAGCGAGCTCCTTGGCAAGGTCTTCTGTTGTTCTGACGACAACCGTACCGAGTGAGTCCTATGTTGGTCAATACCCCACCCGTTGCTGACACTCTCACAGCCCCGAGAATGGCCTCACTTGCCCCTTAAGGATGGTCCATGCACAAGGAGGAGATGTGGTGAGTGCTTTCGTCAGCCAACTTCCGTACCGACACTGACAGGTCATCGACAGCTCAAGTCAGCGCCTCGACATCAACTCAGCGCCTCGACATCGCCTCGGTGCCCGGTACCCTTCTCCAGACGGCGATAACGCCGGGGAACCAGAGAAAGGCGCCAATCAGCCAGAAGCCTGGGCCAGTACCACCAGCCCCAGCCCCAGCAGCCCCAGGCCCAGTCCCAGTCCCAGGAGCACACGTACCCTCCTCATCCTGTTTCCTCACCCCATCCGTCCTCTGCCCCGTCCCGCTCGCCCTCTTCCCCATCGCCCTCCGAGTCAATCCAGCAGCTGCAGCAACAACTCCAGCAGCTGCAGCAATCCCAGCAGCCCCCGCCCCAGCCTCAGCCTCCCGAGAGCCAGCAGCCCTGGGCCCACGCTCTTTGGCAGAGAGTCAGCCTGCCAATCCAACAGGGTATCAGTGAGTGACATCCTCGAGCCAACATGTACTGGATCTGATATACATTTAGCCTGGCCTCTGTCTCTGAGCGCGGTCTGCCTGATTGTTGGGCTGGGGCTGGACTGGAACAGGTCAGTGTCAATGAAAAATTGCTGCATGTTGAGGGAAACACTGATCCAGTTTATCAGTCCGACGGTCGCTGGTGGCGCTCTGCGCAACTACGCTGCCCCAGGCTTGTGGCTGATTGGCGCCTTTGTCTGGTACCCCAGCGTTATCGCCGTCTGGAGAAGGGTCCCGGGCGCCCAGTTGAGGGCGAGGCGCTGGGTTTAGATCATGATGGCCGCGGTGTTTGAGGTCATGGTCTACACGATGGGCAACTTCGTGAGCGGACATGTCTTTCTCATCACGGATCAAAATTCTAACTTGCTCGATAATCTAGGTCCTCTACTACATATACACGCACCTAAGTTGTCCCGCCGTGTGCTGACTGCTGCAGTCGATTCGAGCCTCCCGCCCCGGAACCGGTCACCTCAGCTGGATGGCCAACGTGGATCGAGTCGCCGGATGAGTCTAGGAGCGTGATCTGGGAGCAGTTAGATAGGGACATGCACATGCTGAAGACGGGACAACTGCAGCCTCATTCTCTCGTGTACACCATCATCTCAAGCGCAGCTCACCAAAGATGCTATTACCCAACCATATGTACGAGTACATTCATGCAAAGTTAAACAACAGCCCATACTATACGAGCACATTATGCAAGTTATACAACAACCCTATCCCTCTCCTTCAAGCTTCACAACGCCCCCTCATCAAACTTCTCCCTCACATCCCTCAACCGTCCCCTGACGCCCTTTACATTATCCCCCGCGAGCTCTTTAAGAACGTTCACCATCTTTCTCGTCCGTACCTTGAGCTTTGGCAGTTTCGGGGTTGTCTCGGGGTCGGAGAGATGTTCGGAGAATGTTTGGAAGGTGCGTAGGTCTCGGGCGAAAGTGTGCGTCTGGGTATGGTCAGCCAAGATACAAGACACAAGGGAAGAGTAAGCGAGACGTACAGGCAACCGCTCCAACCCCAACTCTCCCGCTACCAAGCTCCAAACCGCCATAATAACCAAATCCAACACCGCATTCGCCACATACTCTTCCACCTCTGCCACCCCTTCCTGCACCTCTCTCAATTGTTTCGTACAGAAGCGGCGTACGGTATCCTCTGCCGACTGGACGGGTTTAGTCTGGTTGAGAGGGGAGGAGCCGAAGAGGAGGGCGAGGGAGGATATGGATTTGTGGATGAATTCGTCGCCTTCGGACATGATGAGGACTTGGAGGTAGGAGGCGAGGAGGTGCGGGGAGGAGGAGTGGAGGGAGTAGTCGATTGCTAGTTTGAGCTAGAGGGGGTCAGCGAACGAACACCATCTAGGTTTGCCGGTACGACTTACGTTCACCCCTGGAGACGAAGTCAGCTTCCTATCACTTTTTAGTGGCATGGAACTATGGGATCACTCACGAAGGCCTTTCAGAATATCTCTAGTCTCTTTCTTCTCAAAGTCTTCCTGGTCTAGATGATTCACATATCTATATCGCAAGGGTCAGATCCAGTCGACTCTTCATACCTTCAACATACCTTGACAATGCACCTACGAGGATGATGACTATATCCCTCCATTGCGGCCCCAGCCTGGCAGCATACACGATCGGAAAGTCCGGCCCACTCTTCTGCAGCAGCATCTTGAACGAGTGATCCCTGATCCGTATGATGAACTCGATATCATGCTTGTCTATCGCGCGATACAGCTCCCACGCTTGTGGCGGATGAGCCAAAGCCTGCGATTGCCCCCATTTGTCCGATATTGACGACCGCAGGTCTGGCTTCTTTTGATGTTTTGACCAAGTCCCCTGCTGATCACGGACTTGTGCTCTTTCGACAGACCACTGTTGGTCTTGCAGCGCTTCTTGCAGCTCCTTCTCTTGCTTGATCTGGCGCGCCTGGCGGTCGAGTTCTAGTTCGGATTGAAAAGTAGACTCTTGGGCGAGAGCGGAGGCTGGTGGCAAGGGCTGGAGGAGAATGGGATGTGAGTGAATTCTGGGCGAGGAGAGCGGGCTGTTGGGTGGGTAGGGCAAGACTGCTGGGGAGGCTGCGTAGGCGGATGTTTGTGGGCGAGACATGGCGTGCATAAGAGCGAAAGAGAGGGATGCCGAAATGATAGAGGTCATAGTCGGCACGGAACCAAATTGTGAATGCAAGAGCGGAGAGCCGACTTGATAGAGATTTCAGGTCTCTATTTGCAGCGTAGATGGAGAAGATGATTCTGCTATAGCATGCCCAAACACGTCCCCACCTTCAAGCACCTCTTGCACACCTCCCACACCCGCCCACAACAGGACCAACAGGCAGAAGCGCCCCGACCACGCCGACGACAGGTCAACCGCGAGATCCCCGCGTATCTCATCGGGCAGAACCCATGGGTCCCGAATTCGGCTGGAGGTGTGGATGCAGAGCTGTTGATAGATCTGGGAAGGGGAGCCGTACATCCGCAAGTCTGCTGAAAATCATTTGAGGGAAAGTGCTTATGGGAAAGTAGGGCAGAGCTCTTGCGCCGGTTTGAGCACTCGCGATGGCAAGCGTCGCGGACGACCGCTGGTCCTGCCGCACCACCCTCATGGCATGTAGCTAGACAGGAGGCCTCTAGAATATCTTCAGCACCTAGTGTGGAGCCCGAGTATCCTCCGGTGACTCGCGGCGATCTCGAGCAGTCTTCAGCGTTACTCAGTCATCGACCCAAACCTCGCTCGACGCCGGTCCCGAGTCTACTCGAATATTGCTTCAATGCAATGCTTCGATACATCGACGACGTCACTGTGATATACGCTCCGGACGAAGGGCTCGAGGGAGAGGATGCTGAGGCAGAGACGTATACGATCAGCCGGCTGGTGAGGGAGCAAGTCACCTATCTCGAACCGCATCTCAAGATCGCCCTCTTGGACGCTTCTTCTCTCGTTCCAGAACCTTACCGACCGATATCGAATGACTCCATACGTGCGATCCTCTCAGATGCCCCACCCGACTCTGACGATGAAGTCGAGCCGGAAGGGGAAGAACCTGGCGACGATGACGATTGGGACGATTGGGAATTGGCACCTGTCTCTTTGCCCGTCACCTCCCATTTCGCCCTCACCCGTCATCCCTCTCCACACATTTTCCTCCAAACACTCCCATTCACCACATCCCTAACGAGTATCAACCTCGCATACTCTACCATCCCCAATATCGATGCCCTCGTCGAAGTCCTTCCAGCCGGACTGAAAGAGTTGAGTTTGGTAGGCGTCAACTTTGGCAAAGCTGGAGAACAGACTGTCAAGAGGGGTCTTTTGAGACTGGGTAGGAAGCTGATCGTCCTTAAAGTAAGCCACCTACTCTCTCTTTCCCGTTCCTCAGCTGATGATATACAGGTACTCGACCTATCCAACCCCCGCTACGCCCTCTCAACAACAATTCTCACATCCCTCCTCCACCCCGCCGAAACACAGCTCCCCTCTCTCCGTACCCTCGGTATGCGGGACCTCCCCTTGCCGCTGCTTACGGCATCGCAGAGCGAGCAGGGGGTGAAGGAAGATGAGGGTGAGGCTTTGACAGTTGGGAGGAAGGGGGTTGGGAATGTCGTGAGAGGTGGTGGGAGGTTGAGGTGGGTTGATATTGTCTGGGATTGAGTGGACTGCAGGGTGTGATTGGAAGTGCAGATGTCGGATGTATGTGGGACTTGTTACACAACATGTAAGATTTTTCGTATGCTACTTTCTCCTCTTCGCTGATCCTTTCTAGGACGCGGTCACAACGATTTTCGCATACTCGTGGACTTCTCCGCGCCCCATCACCTCCCACGGCCATTAACATCAAGCAGTGGTATCGCCATCCCTTTCGCCGTCCCAATCTTCGCTCTCCTTGCAAGTAAAGGCGACAGAGAGCTCCCAAAGATGAAGAGCTTCGAGAGCTTCGAAAGTTCAGTGGGCCGAGCATGCCACACCACATACTCTACTAATGACATCCGGGGAGAAGGACGAAGAACCATGCTTTTGATGCATACTTGGACGACAGTCATGCAATATAATGAGGATGTTTATAATTGGGAGATGAAGATGCCAGGGCAAGGAGACATTGTGGAGGCACATTTCCAAGATTGTACACACTTGTATGAGTAGTTACCGCGCTTTGAAGAGCAGACCAGTCACGGCGCCCAACAAGATCGTCACCGCCGTATAGATCAACAAGATCCCCTTCAAGCTCGTGTCAATATCAACCTTTCAATGAGGTGAGGGGGAAGCTTACGTAGTTTCTGAAGCCGTACGCCCCTGTGGCGCCTCGGAGGGCGCTGATGTTGAGGAGCGCTCCGGAGATGGGACCTTTGTAAGATAGTCAGCGTTGTGTGGTGTTTGGTGTGAGAAAAGGAGGAAGAGGAAGGATGTACCGGAGGTGATGTTCCCTACACCGCGCATGAAGGCGAAAGTGCAGAAGACTAGAGGTGAAGCCAGCGGATCGTCTTCTGCTCAGCACAGTCAGCTCTCCCTTCTTTCTCTTTGCAAACGTTCTCGGGATAAAGGCACATACTGGAAATATAAACAATCATCTGCGTCCACAACGCCGTAAAACTCTGTCCCAGCAGTCCAAACACTATACAAAACCCAACCAGCGTCCCACCCCCTGTTCCCCAGCCCCAGAGGAAAGCGCAAGAAAGGGCGGTACCGATGCACGAGATGGAAATGACGATTTGAAGGGGAATGTGGTCGGACATGAAGCCGAGGAGGAAGTTGCCGGGCACGGAGGCGGCGTTGAGGATGGAGATTAAGGCTGTGCCGGAGGGGGAGGTGAGGTTGAGGTCATCTGCGTAGGCTGCGCGAATAGTCAGATCTTGGTGCTTTGGGGAGAAAGAATGGGCGGGGGTGACGTACAAGGAAGCCATAGACTGGGGACAAAGTTGCCCAAGCTCGTAAAGAGGATGGTGAATATACCCATGAAGAAGGTGAAGGATTTCATAAAGCCGAGGCTCAACCCCTGTCTTCTTGGACCGGGTTCTCCAGAGCCGTATCTTGAGAGTGGTACCCGCCTTGTCGTGGGGATCAATGCGATTCCACCGATGATGGCGTACGCAACGCCAAGGGATACCATAGTCGCCTTGTATCCCACAGAGGAAAGAAGGCTGTTGATGATGTAGGGAAACACGGTACCGCCGATACCGGTGCCGGCGTACATGATGCCGCTGGCAAGACCACGGCGTTCAAAGAACCATTCGAAGAGAAGCGTTGCGCAGGGCATGTAGAGGGAGCCTGCTAGGGGAAAGATACAGCCCCAGGTGATGACCAGATGGAACGGCTGCGATGAAATCAGTGAGGTTTCGTAGAGTCAGCAAAAGGCCGCTTACTTTGGTGACGAAGCCACTGGATATCAGACTGATGCACGCCCCTGATAATCCAAGTATCTGAAAGTGTCGTTGATACCTCGGGAATGCTGCAATGATCGGTCCGAAGAATGCAGTACTCATATATAGGAGACCGGTCTGAAGGGTAGCAGCGAGAGTGATGGTCGAGGCGTTATAGCCAGGAAACAATGTGTTGGTCCAGTATACTATAACTCTGTCAACGGGTCACTTCCACATAAGGAGATTTGTGTTACTGACCATGCAAGATACCTGGAGCAGATGGTAAGTTTCGTCCGCCAGCTAACAGCAGATCACTTACCGACAGCGAAAGGCAGTCCCCATACGAAGATCTCTATGGTCGTCGCTCCGGCCAGAAACAACCACGCTCTATGCCCCGTGTCGACCGGTGGCAGAGCACTTGCGTTTTCCGGCTCATCCCCCAGGTGATGCTGCTGCTGCTCCGCGAGTGCCGTGCTGCCGCGGGCGGTTTCTGTCGTTTGTTGCGAGAATTGGGATGTGACTGGGGTCAGCCCGATGACTTCAGCCATGCTATGTGGATGTGGTTGTAAAGATGTACATGGACAATAAATGCATCGACGCAAGGCCAAGGCAGCATTCGACTCTTTTTCGCGCGCAAGATCTCGTTGGATCTCGTTGGATCTCCAGGCACTACATTAGGCTAATTGATTGTTACGTAAACACATTATCCAACAGCGCTGTAAGAAGGCGCAAAGAAGGCGATGCGCTCGCTGAATCCGATAGACACGGATGCAAGGAAGCTATGAACATGAGCTCTTGCTCATAGGATCTCAAGCTTGCTAGCCATCTGGATATTCTGACCACGCAAAAGCTTCTTCGGATATGCGGTCTTTTCTCCTTCAATTAGCGCCCGCTCCCTTTCACTTATATCGCTGAGGTACATTTTGGCAGCCGTCGCGTAGAGACTGAGGATATGTGCCTTCTTCCAGCTGCACATCAAGCTCCGTGAGACCGCTAGGGTCCCTCTTACCACTTTCCTGAGAGATATAAGAGATAGGCAGTCGATCTTTTTGCGCACAACACATCTCGACAACTGTCAATTCGCGTCGTCGGAACATTCGTAACTTTGAAACAACATCATTTTCAAATCATCCAAGATGGCACCTAGTAGAATCAGCAGTAACCCCTCTTCCGCTCCAGAAAAGCCTTTGTCATCCATCGCTGAAGACGATGCCTCGATGATTCCATCTGCCGCGTCTAGAATAACGTCAGCTTACCTCTCCTGCTGCACCAAGCAGCTCAACCCTCAGCAGACTTCCACATCCTCCAAAGCTCGGCCGTACATCGAGACACTGCTCAATAAGGAGATTGGGGATATATTGAGTACAAAGTTGAACACGAGAGTGGAGGAGAAAAGAACGGAGGGCGCTTTGGAGGATGTGACAATGTTTTTGGTTGCGATTGACGTTGAGGATAACGAGGTGACAGCTTTGGGTAAAATGATGGGGGAATGGATAAAGGGAGATACATATGTAGACGTGTCTACCCAGGTATAGAGAGTGGGAGCAAGGAAGGGAACATACGAGACCTATACGGGGACCGTACATACATGATTTTGTTACGCAGCTGCTCGTATTATATAGTTTGGTTTATCGTGTCTAGACTGCATGGTTCCATTGCCTTTCTCGATATGGAGTTCGCATAATCAGCAAAACTTCCATAGAGAGCGGGCGGACTGTGATGTATAACAATGGGTACACCGACGGGGACGTACAACATCCTCCGACAACTCCGCTTCTCCGATTTGAAGGCGCCACGAAGGACACTTCAACCGCCGAAATTACAGTGGGCCCCGCAGACCTGCGTCTTCTGTATAGCTGTACAGTATAAGAAGCACGTGCGCTTCTTGGTCAGTCTAGGACCAGACCCTTAACAAGTCACATGAGCAACATGAGCAATTCTTCCGAGATCGAGCTTTCCGACATCATCGAAGAACAAAGCTCCCCCAGCGAAGATGGTTCTTCTTCCTCTCCTGGATCGGAGGTCGGAGCATCGTCATCAGCTGCACCCCCTCTGACAAGACAAGCCAGCTTCAAAACATTCATGAAGAGCATCAAGACACAGTTCACAAAGCTGAAAAAATCAAAGTCTGCCGGGTCTTCATCAGCAGATCCTGAAGTCATGGAACCTGTTCCCGAGGAGGAGAGACATTCAGTCTCATTATACTCTGAGAGAGCTCTCGAGAAGGCGATTGACGATGTCACCCGAGAGATCCAGGAGGATCTCGCATATCAGCGTCTGGGCAAGGCTTGCTTCGTCGATCCAGCAACAAGAAACGCGCTTCCGTCGATAGAGCACGTGCATATCGTATACAGAGATATCATGGACAATGCCACTCTACATGACACTATCCACAGCTTTGTCTCTGAGAAGATGGAGCTGGAGCGCAACTTGGCTCTGGAGGCTGTAAATTAGGGGGAAATAGGACACTTGGAGTTTGCTCACTGTTTTCTCCCGGAAGTCGGTACCGCTCCTGGTGCATGGGGACTGAGTATGTCCATCTCACCAGGCTGGGGAGGTGATAACCTCGTGCACATTGACCCCCTCGAAGGGATCAAGTTCGAAAAAGAAGAAGTGAGAAGTTGGTTTGCAGAAGGCGAAAAATCTGAGATGGCTGCGACGGGTAAGAGGTTGGCTACAGAAGGCACCAAGCTCGTTAGCAACATGAAGAGCTATCCGGACCCCCTGGTGTCGCCGATGTTTGAGTGGGGCACAATGGATGAGAGGGTCGAGCAATACGATTGGCACGGAATTGGCAAAAGCATCGAGGAGACGCTTACGCTTGCCGGGACGATCGATGGGACCATCGCCGCTAACGGCGGGCAACGAGAGGAAGGAGGATTCTGGGGGCAAGGTGAACAGCGAAACATCTGGCTACAGCCCATCACCGCTCTCACCGAAGACGCATTGAGCGCTTCTCTCAGGTGGAGATCGAAGGATGGGTTCTTTGATGGGACAGGCAAGCCAGATGATATTGATATTGGTTCGCTGGTGGAAGGCGGGCTGCAAGCTTGGCGAGACATCAAGGGAAAGAAGGTGGTGAGGGATTGATGACGGAGTATCGGCAAGGTGAATCGTAACCTCGATATGCGAGCTCGTAGTAATATTCATCTCAAAATTCCACAACCTTTTTGCAATATACATGTTGAATGCCTCGAAACCCGGATCATGTTGAATGTCGTTTATACAATGTTTTAGTGGTGGAACTGTACATCATGTCAGCAAAAGATCCCCGAGGTGATACGCCACGACGTACCAATCTCAAGTTGGTGTGGCAGAACACCAAGTTACTCTCATCCGCAGCCTTGATACACTCCGCGTCCATGATACTTCCGCCAGGGGCCGCAAGGTAGGTCGCTCCCGACCTCTTGGCTCGGTGGACGTTGTCGGGGAAGGGGAAGAAGGCATCACTCGCGCACGCAACACCCTTCAACTCCTTCATGTGGGCAACCTTCTCCTCCTTTGTCAGAGGCTCGGGGGTAGTCTCAAACAAGCTCTCCCACTGCGCCCTCTCACCACCCTCAGCCTCGAAAGCCTCGCCAGTGACATAAAGGTCGATGGCGTTGGCCTTGTCGGCTCGCTTGGTGCCCTTCTTGAAGGGCAAAGCGAGGACACGGGGGTGGTGTCGGAGCCACCAGTTGTCGGCCTTGTCACCAGCAAGGCGGGTGCAGTGGATACGGGACTGTTGGCCGGCACCGAGGCCGATGACGGTACCGTTAAGGGCGTAGCAGACAGAGTTGGACTGGGTGTATTTGAGGGCGAGGGTGGCGACGACGAGGTCGGTGAGGGCAGACTGGGGAAGGTCCTTGTTCTTGGTGACGACGTTCTGGAAGAGAGACTCGTCGATCTTGCAGTCGTTTCGCTTTTGTTGGAGGGAGATACCGTAGACCTGTCGGGTCTCGATCTCGGGAGGAACGTAGTTGGAGTCCATCTGAAGGACACAGTACTTGCCGCCCTTCTTCTTTTTGAGGATCTCGAGAGCCTCGGCCTCGAATCCGGGAGCGATGACACCGTCAGAGACCTCTCGGGAGATGATCTTGGCGGTGGGGGTGTCGACGGGGTGGGAGAGAGCGATGAAGTCACCGAAAGAAGACATCCTGTCGGCACCACGGGCTCGGGCGTAGGCGCAAGCAAGGGGAGAAAGCTCCTTCAAGTCGTCGACACCGAAGACCTTGGCGGATCGCTCGTCGAGAGGGATACCGACGGCGGCACCGGCGGGAGAAACGTGCTTGAAGGAAGCAGCGGCGGGGAGGTTGGAGCCGGCAGCGAGCTCCTTGACGAGAGCCCAAGAGTTGAGGGCGTCGAGAAGGTTGATGTAACCAGGGGATCCGGAGAGGACTATTGGGTATGAGCGTGGGATCCAAGGGATATACCGATTACTCACCCTTGATGGGCAACTCGCCGTTTTCAACGAAAGCCTGGGCGGGCTTCTGGTGAGGGTTGGCACCATACCTCAAACCCAACCTTTGGTAGCCGACACCAGCACCAGCCTGAGAGTCCTCGCCGACATCAGGGGTAGCGTAAGTCTTCCTGAAGTAGTCGCTGATAGCCTCGTCGTAGCTCTTGGTGTCCTCGAAAGCCTTGAGGGCAAGACCCCTCCTGGTCTCGGCAGAGACCTCCTTCTTCTCCTTGAGCTCAGCAATGATGGTCTCGTAGTCGGAGGGGGAAGAGATGATAGAGACTCGGCCGTGGTTCTTGGCAGCAGCTCGGAGAAGAGTGACACCTCCAATGTCAATTTCCTCGATAGCGCCAGCAAGAGTGCAGTCGGGCTTTTGGGTCTGGAGGACGAAGGGGTAGAGGTTGCAGACAACAAGGGTGATGGGGGAGATCTTGTTGGTCGCAAGGTCGGCAAGGTCGGAAGGGATGTCTCGGGAGAGGATACCACCGTGGACAGCGGGGTGAAGAGTCTTGACTCGACCGCCCAACATTTCGGGGGCCTTAGTGATGTTGGAGACATCCCTGCCTTCGAGTCAGCCTGAGCCTCTAGAATGCTAGATCCAACGTACTCAATTTCCAGACCAGCCTCTCGGATCATCTTGGCAGTACCACCACTGCCCAAGAGCCTGAAGCCGAGCTCCTTGAGCCCCTTAGCGAAGGGAAGGAGACCGGTCTTGTCGTACACGGAGAGAAGCGCTGTGACATTGTCAATGATCCCGTTCTGCGGGAGACGCTATAGTCAGTGTTGATACATATACTGACCGATAGGAGCTTCAGAAGACATCTTTTGAGTATCGATTGGTATAGTCAGACAAAAAAAAAGTGGACAGAAAGTGTTGAAAGTTCGAGTTGGACGGAGAATTACTTACGTAATGTGGGATAATGTAATATTCAAATTCATATCCACCCCCCACTTATCCTATCTGTCTCTCAACATGAACGGACTGGCAGTGCGTGAGTTCGTTCATGGTTCGCATGTTGAATGTACTTCTTGTGATCTGAGATGTATCCCCTGCTGCATTTATGTTCAAACTGTATATCAGATCTACACAGATCCTCAAAGCGACGAACGAACACACGTTTCTCGAGCTGGGGCAGAAGACTACAGGGTTGCAAGCATATGCATACCCAACGTGTGCAAATCTTCAGGGTAGAAAGGGGACTTTATGAGAGTCATGTATTGAGAACGGGAATATGGTGCTTCAAGATGTATGTACCCTTTTATACTTTCTGCGCGGTCCGAAATAAGCCCATTGACGGATTGTTTGGTTCCACTCGGAGGACCGCGCCGGGCGCGGACACTTGCACAATGATGCCAGTTCTACGAAGCTTCCGTTTGCTCGGTTGAACGCTGATATCCTCTTCTTGGGCAACTGAGAAGGACGGGTAGCCTGTGGAACTGCATCAAATAAATACATTCTTCCCTGACACGCCAATATCCCCTCAAAGCAGAAGCTGATGCTTGGGAAAAAAAATCAACCAGGGGCGGACTAGTCAAATTGAAGTTGGCAGTCTGGTTGGGACTTCCCGCCAGATCAAACCCCAGCGTACTCGGCCAAGAATGCCCCAAACCTTCAACACTCAACGCCCTCACCTCGCCCTTGGGACAATCCCTTACCTCCTCCCACACACCCTCATATATCTCCTTCACCGCTGGCTCTGGATAATGCCCCGGCCAGCGCCCTACACATTCATTACGCAGAGCCCACTCGCGCCGCCAAAGCCTTACATCTGGCTCGGGGCCGTACCCGCCTCCTTCCGGTTTGCGGCCGTAGAAAGGGGTGTTATCGTCTTCAACGCCATGAACTTGTAAGATCGGGACTGCTCTATCCTCTTGACAGCCGTGGAAAGAGTACACCCCTTGGTAGAGTGCGGGCGAGACGGGGACAAAGGCTGCAAAGAGGGCAGAAGTATCGGGACGACAAGCGAGGAGCGCTGTAAATCCGCCTCCATTGGACTTGCCGCAGGCGTAAAGACGGGAACGATCGATTGTGTAGGTAGTGGAGATAGTGTGAAGGATGTCATATACGTATGCAATCTACCAAGTCCATCAGCTTTGCTCTATCTCCTTCGCCGGGCGACCTTCTTCTTTCGTCTCTGCGATGTCTTCCCGGACAGCAGGTACTCACATCGTCCATGGTCTTGTTCTCATACGGCGCCCCTTTCCAGATATGCGTCATGTTCCAATCCGTACTGTTCACCCCTTGCGCATATACGGTCAAGAAGGGCTTGCCGGCAATCTTGAGCATTGGGTCCGAGAGCTCAGTGACGCGCTGTTGCTTCTCGCTAAAGCCTCCAGCTGTGGAGCCATCAGTTCCCGACTTATCGCAGAGGGAGACGAAGGAGGTGTTTGCTTATCGCCATGGAAGGTAAAGACGACAGGATGCTCTTTCCCATGCAGGTACCTGTCACACGTAGTAATTCCCTGAAGTGGCATGTGCGCTGAGTTGTGTGTATGGTTGAAGGACGCGTGGTGTACATACTCAAATTATATCTCTCTGTTCTACTCTTTCTCTATGCGATAATACCGAAAAGGTCTTTTCCCCTCCAGAATCACCTTTTCCAGTCCTCCCCCTTGCTGTGTCCCAGCTCGGCCGTGACAGTACCCCTCGGGCACGTTCAGGAGAAATGTCCTCTCGGTCGAAAGTATGTACTTGACATTGCCTTTAGGTGGATCTGCCTGACCTTTCACAGGGCTCAGTGTTGATATGAGTGGTGATTGGGACTGAGATAAGAGACTGATATCGTCATTAAAGTCGGAGTCTGGGAAGACGAGCTGTGGTGACGCGAGGGCGCTGAGAGCGAAGCCCAAGATAGTCGGGAAGATTCTCATCCTCCTCTATAGTTGAGCTGGCGCGAAGGTTTGTTGCTGACAAGTTCATGAATGAAAGAGGAGGAAAGTAGACTACACACGACGAGATACAATCACGAACGAAGGCGATAAGTCGCATGTTGCAGATGTCGGATTTGGCCGAACGCAGTCGCACTCTTCGGTGTTCCGCGATGGCTGCTGTGAAGTGTGAACTGAGGAACAATTTCGTACATCGAATCCAGCTCAGCTTGACCTCTGTGGCCTCTGCTTGTACGTAACACCCAAGATACGTATGAGCAGTGCCTGCGGCCGTATAGCGGCTTCGAACATCAAACGCCCCCCGGAAAGTTTGCGTGGCATGCCGGAATCGGAACGCAGTTTCAGGCCTCAGGTGTCAACCTTTCTCGCTAGTGCTTACGGCACTGAAGGGTCGAGGCAGTTGTCGATTCTTCATCTTCCTTCTCCTATCTTTTTACGTACGTGCACTTATGGCACGACGAAGATTCTCTCATAAGGATCAAAAGACAAAAAACATAAAATTCGAATGCGTAAGAACCTGTCCGGCAACTACATTTCGTTGCGAAATGTCGATTTTTCCCCTACAAACTTAATGTAAAATGTCGCGACGGAAGCAATTTTGTATGGGAAAAATCGACATTTCGCAACGAAATGTAGTTGCCGGACAGGCCCTAAAGAGTGGAATAATCTGACGAGAAAGACGGAGGGGTACGAACTCCGAAGAAAAGGACGCGTCGCGTTGAGCGCGTCGACCCGTCAGTCGTCGGTCGTCGACGAGGAGCACATGCTTACGACCCAATGGCCGGTGACTGGAGTTCTGCAAACTGACACATCTACACTTTTGGGCATGATTTCCATCCCGTCCAGTGATTACTAAGCGGCACCCGAGATGCCAAGAGCATTTGTTGTGTAACGCCTCACAGTGTATCAGTTCTTCTGTTGGAAACTTGAAGGGATATTGTGGCGTCTTCAAATACATGTTCAGAAAGACAATGATCGAAATCAGAAGTCAGAAAGCTATTGTAAGATTGTGCAGCTGAATGCGAGTAATGAGTTTGTTACTCGATATAATCATTTAGTCCAGATTGATCTTCCAATTTATACATGCTGTTGCTAAAGTTGTTGTAGGAGAGCCGTATGATCTTGGTAGAATCAAGACTGTAAGAGTATGAGGTGGCTGACAGCATGGGAGGGTTGGACAGAGGCACGGGGTTAGGACAACGGATTTTGAAATTTGATTACCGTCTTCGATACCAGATCTCTTCTCTCGGTGAACTTGACACAAGTGATTCTCACAGCCGCAAAGCTTCATCTACTGTAACAGCTCTCTCTCCTCTCTCTTTCGAGTATTGGTCTATCGATGAACCTGCTTGCGAAGCGTCATGGAATGTTGAAGGAGCAGCAAGAAGAAGAGGCTTTCCTCCTCCGACTGATGACGCGAGCCGGCGGAGTCATTTTACCTTATTGGACTGGATGCACACCTTTTTTTTGACATAGGCACAAGGATGATCTTACCGTACGCTCGAAATGCATCATGTTCAAGTCCATAGTCAGATTCGATGTCGTATATTATGCGCGCCTCTCGTTGCCTTCGGCCTCTGCTCGCCGCCCGCCGCAACATCTTTGTCACTACTGTTGTTCGATTATCAATCCAGTCTGTTGCGTGTGATCAATCTGAGAGGTTCAGGTCAGGTACGTACAGCATGGTATTGACGAAACTATGACTGCGAGAGCTTGAGACGGGCATCGACCAGCGACAAATCAAAGTTGCTTCTCCTCTCGTGCTTCGATCGCGCTGGATACCTGCTCTCTCTTGTTGCTGACGCACATCTGTTATATTCCCATGTGATACTGGGGATAACTTCAAATGCCGGACCCTGGGCGCCTGTGTACGAGCCACATGTATGAATCCCCCCGGCGTTCGAGCAGCAGTAGACAAAACAAGGCCAAGGCAATTGTCCTGAGCTCCACAGGATCTTTCCCCTCATACATCCCTCTGCTTTTACTTGCCACCGAACGTCGCCCTTCTCAGCCTGCGGCACTGGCTATCAACCGTTCTTAGCCAGCCACAGACAACGCGAAAAGAGGCCCAGAGGCCAGAGCTCCACAAGATTATTCATGACCCTCGGCCTCTTTCCATGCCCCGACCACCGAATGCCATAGTCGCCTTCCTCCACCTCCAGCACTGGATTTATTTACTGCCGTGAATCTTATTCGACGGCTTTGAGCCCCGCTCTATGTGCCCCGCTGCTTCGGCTGCGACAACGATCTGGAATGAAGAGACATAACAATAAACATTTTACGTTTAAGGAGTACGAGTAATGTAGACTGCGCGGCTCGGCTGGTGAAGCCGGCGAAACTTTCCTAAAGCGGCGGGATCCGGCGCGCTAAACGGAGTAAAGTTGACTTTCTCATCCAAATGTCCAGCCACACAGTCATCAAGGTGCTGAACAAGAGCAATCTGTACAATTTGGCATGCTTGTATAGCACCAAAATCCACTAAGACCCACTGCATACGCATCATGGAACAATGATCGAGCCCAAATGACTTCCCAAAGAAGCTGAATGATGTCAGAAGCAGTCCCCCTGGAACTCAAAGACCAGATATCATTCGTCATCACAATCACTGGAATCAGATCTCTCTTTGATCTTTGGCCTCGGTACCTTGTTTGTGCCAGGCGGGAAGGGAAAACCAGAGTTTTTTGGAGCACATGTCACCCTTCTCTCAACGTCCCACCATGGTCACTGTCTCAGTCGTCCTCAGCTCCCAGGCCGACGCGACCACAAACGCGTCACGGGAGGACTTTGAATTTCGGACATTGCGGTCAAAGCAAAGGGAAGTGTGCGATTAGTATGTATGCGCTGTGCTGTGGCCCGCCGGCGGCGATGCTTGTCGCTGTCTGAGCTCAGTAGTGACATGTCAAGTACGAGTACTCAGTAGTGCACAATCGGCCAGCTGCAGGTGTGCCTTTGGGGCCTTCGAACATTCAAGCAGAAAATCTCTTGTATCCCGGCGCAGTTGCCTGCCTTGTGCTGGCCTCGTGACATTATTAGTACCACAAGCCCTTGAACTTCGGGCTGGAGCAAGATAGAAGACGCTGCATACGATCTTTGTGACCTGTGGGGCCTGTGGCTGGCTAAGCACCCAAGAGAGAGGTCCCGTCCAAGGCCGGAGATCTCGTCAAGGCTGGGTGCCACAGAGGGACGCATACGCACGCACGATATCGATATGAAACGCTGGACCGACCGACATGCTTTGGACATGCTGGCCAACCTCCACTTTCGTCACTTAGGTCACCTTCACCGAGGCACGCCCATAGGCACAGTGGACTCGTGGAGAGTTAAGAAACGCCGCTTCGGAAACTCTTCAGAACAAGCATTCAGGGCTTGGAAGAACTTTATTTTCTCTGGGTTTGTTTGTTGACGTGTTTACACTTCAATATCCTGCTCTTTCGCTTCATTCGGTCGATTGCTGCAAGCCACCTCCGCGCGCCTCCGTACCCTCCTTACGAACCCCAGATGTCACCCCTGGGTTACTCCGGTCGACCCTTACGCATCATGTTTATTTTCGTCGTATCCTACGTTTTTTGGATCTGGGCTCTGCGCTCTACGGCCATTTCTCGCCCTCGGCTTTCTGCCCTCTGCTTGGAACCTGCACGTCTCAGCAAAGTTCATGTTTGTGGAACTGGACAACGACATCATCGCTACTCCTTTTTAACTTCATTAACCCCTCATCGCCGATCGGCTATCTCCTTGGACTGATACATATAATAGCCCACCCCGAAATACCTTTTGCTTGCCACACCCACCCCCGCGCTTATCATCCTTTCTATCATTCGATCCTCGAGCAAGTCTACAAGACTCGATAACGATTACAAACTTTTGCGACGACCATGCTCGTCAACCCACTTCACCTCTTAGGTGCTCTTTCAGCAGCTGTCTTTGCCACGGCAGGCGATTCAGCATGGCATCTCGACTACGTCAACACATTGGTCAACGAAGCTCTCGACCCGGTAGTCAGTCCCAACGCCCAGGCGAGCCACATGCACAAGATCATCGGCGGGTCTCGCATGGCCGCTTACTATAATTACGATGACTATGCGGGCGCAAAGTGCTCATCATTGAGAGTGCAAGCCGACAAGTCCAACTACTGGATGCCTAGTAAGTGATTTTGCCCTCCCACAACCTCGCCATACTGATAGCCACAGATCTTTATGTCCTCGATAATGCCGGTACATCCAACGTCACCTTCACCCCTGTCCCCGCCAAGATCCGATTCTACTACTTCCTCGCCCAAAACTCGGACGCCGAGCTCGTCTCCCCTTTCCCCAAGGGCCTTCGTATGCTCGCCGGTAGCCCCAACAACAAGGCTACCACCAGCGTCGCCTCCTTCACATGTCAGATCAACTCGGGCTTTACCGACTCTGTCATCCTTGACAACTTCAACTTTGAGCGTGACTGTCCTTGGGGAATGAAGACCGAGCTCTATTTCCCTCCTTGCTGGGATGGTGTCAACCTTTACAAAAGTGACGGCTCGCACATGTCTTATCCCAGTCAGGATGTGCGAGATGGGTCCTGTCCTTGGTCCCATCCGGTCCGACTTCCTG